GCTAGGGGAAACTCTGTGCAAATTGCTCCGAATTTTCCCGCCAAAAGTCTTAGTGTATATATACGAAAAATTTCTCTGAACATTTTTTATTGATTTAATCGAAAATTACCTTACTAATTAACTTGAGAATTTGAGACAAATAAAATGATTTGTTAAGATAAACATGCTTGTGGTTTAATATGTAGTTGAATGGGGCAATAGTTAGAACACAAGAAAACTATAATTTATTGACTTGTTTGTTAATAATGATGATAATACAAAAATGCATCGAGTGTAAAATATTGGGAAAACAAAATCGGCGCATGCGTATTTTGGGCGCCAATTTTGGCGGCGGGGAAAACTCAACTCATTTCAACAGAATTTTCCAACAAATGCGATGAAAAAAATTGGCGCATGCGTACCTCCAGCACCCGTATATTTCTAAGTTTTTTGGCGGGAAAATTTAAAATTTTTAACAGCCCTCGAAGACGAATCTCTTAACTCGCGAGACAACATCTGCTTTCGTTTGGCATCGAGCTCTTGATTTTCAAATTTGACTGGTCATATTCTTGAGAGAGATTCATTGCTTTTTTGCAAATGCTTCTTGTCCTTCGCCTTTGATTTGCCCTTTGAGGTATCAGAGACATTAAACAGTCAGTCTGTAAGGAAAAAAAATTACAAAGAAAAATCAGCAAATGCAATTCGTTTTAAATCTTGCTTTAGTTTTTTTTTGAGCCATAATGATCGAGTAGAGTTCGCCCGCATGAAATATGAACGTTAACCTTTAACTCCCAAGATCTCATTAGTAATTCTCCTCACTGTTTGGCATATAGTTCTTATGATGTTAGTTTGGAGAATTTGGTATTGGATCAACTAATAATTCCCTTATTTACATTTTTCTTTATTCTAATAACTTGTCTGCTTGCTTTTTATTGATATTGTAAGGAGGAATTCTGTAATTGTCAAATATGGGAGTTTAAAGGTTGAGCCTATTTAGCTGTTATTAAACAAATATTATCAGTATTGAAATCAAACAGTGTTGAGTAATAATAAGCGCGGACGTAACTGGATTTACATGTACCGATAAATTCAATACGAATGCTGAGGAATGTTTTTTCAAAATCGAGGAGTTTGTTGTTGTTGTCATTGGAAAAGACTTGGCCCCTAATACGCTTACTCTTCATCTTGTTGTGTTTACGTACTGAGCTCTCTTATTTTAAACTGGCACGTTGAAAGTCATCAGTCAAGCCTCAACAAGCAATTACTCTCTCCTTGTATGCCAGCAATTCAAAGTTTCTGCGATCAGGACGGAATTTATAATTAAATGAAATAGCTGAATGAATTAAGTTTCCGAAGCTTATAATTAAATAACATTTCCGATCATTCTCAGGGTTTATATCAATCCCAAAAGTGCACTGTCGTTCATGCTTTCGACGAAAATACCAAAAGGTCAAGGAACATAATTCTATTTTTAAGTTTTTTTTTTCCGAGCCGAATAAAGATCAGATATAAATCTTGGCGACTGAAAAACTGATGAATATTAGACAAACAATTTAAATTGGAATGGAATCCCTGAGCGACGTTTTGATGAGAAGTTTAAACTATTCCTGTGATAACATATATTTTTTAAAAATCATTCAAAGGTATTTTCGGCTGACAAGTGTTTTTATTCTTCTATGAAATCAAGTGAACTATTCTGTCGACGAAATTGTTCCATAATCTCTTCCTGTAATAAAATTCATTCTTAAGATCATCACGTAATACTCGTTTGTAGATTCAGCTAAGACCTGTTTTCATTTATCTATGAGATCAAGTGCACTATTCCTTCGAAAAATTTGTTCCATGCGAGGATTCTTGAATGAAGAAATGTAAAATGGTTTCCATGTTTACATAGCCTGGTGTAAACACGCGGGAGGTTGGGGGAACACAAGATAAACGTAGGAAACCACGACGCGAAGCCGAGTGGTTTCCAGCTTATCGAGTGTTCTCCCAACCTTCCGCGAATTTACATCAGGCTATGTAAACACGGAAACCATTTTACATTTCTTTTATAAAATAATTAATGAAAGAGGGACGAAAACCGTGTTTACATACGCTCATGTAAAATGGTTTTATGGCCAATCAGAGCGCGCGTACTATTTGAATTATTTTATAAAAAAAACGTTCTGGAACGTTCTACTTCTTATGTAATTACTCAAATTTAGAAACCGCGTTAATCTTCTTAATTTAATTCTTTAGAGAACTTTCTAGATCCTTGGACTTTATGTATATAAGAGCGATAGTTTCATAAAAAAAAAAAAAAGAGAAGTGTGAAGTTGTAAAGTCGAGAAGTCAATTACGTGGAAATAAATCAGTTTGTTGCTGTTACCGACGATCCTGAGTTTTCTCTAGGAACAACCCTGCTCTACATTGACACTCGTAACATTGGTGAATTCTTAGAGCCATTGGAAAAACAAATATGTAGGTCTGAACGTACGCCTAAAAATGAGACTTCAAAGTTTATAAATTTAAAAAAAAATTGGACTCAAAAATGTATCAGGGATTTAAAAAAGCAATGATGAAAACACATTTTGAAATATATATATTTAATAACTGAGGAAATGAAACAAAAAATGAAAAATGGAAATGAAAAAAAAAATAGGAATGGCAAAAATCTAAGAGGAAGCTTAATATGCTTATTAATACTTATTCTAGGCAAAGAAATATTGTTATGCAAAAAAAGTGTAACTGAGAATACAAGAAACGTATGTACATAAAACGGGAACGACTTTTATTTTTCAAAGAAAAGCAACTTTTGAGCGGTCCCTTTAAGATATCAGAAGTGTAATTTAGCCATCATTCTAGTACCACGATTTTTGAAAAGCTAGCCTTGAAAACCTGGAATGAATCGCTTGGTAAAGACGAAACATTTGTGCGTCGTGTTAAATTCTGCCTTGTAAAAATAAACACTTTATCCGACAAGTTGTCGCTAAAATACCATCAAAAATGGGGAATACCGAGCCAAAACAACTTTTTTTCTCATATTATTTTAGAAATTAAAATGAGCATCTACCAGGCTAAATGGTTGCTATAGTAACTTGGTGGAACAAATAGATTTAAGTACAATAATAACTCGGTAATTCTTTGACTCTTGTGTTTTAGCACCAGCAGAAACGAAGTGATAGAAAAAAATGATTCATGAAACCAAAGATGTTGTAAACTTCTTAAAAACCATTCCAATCAAAGATATTAAAGAAATTAACCCACTTATCTGTTTACAGTTTTTGGTTTCGGACGTAGGTAAAATCCAAGTTTAAGCATTCCATGACGACCACACATATATTCACACACAATAACTCGCTATTAAGGGCCGGTTATTCACACGAGGTCTAACCCAAACCATGGCTTTACGCAAACAGTGGCCTCAGGCTTTCTCTATAACGGGGTTGCTTTAATTAAGTAGAAATGTCTTTCCACTGTTAGCTCTTGGCTCTCTTGACGCTGCTTACAGATTCAAATGTTCAGACTGAATTAAGGATTGTTCTGGACGCGGTTTTGTTAATCAACGGCTAAACTTTGTTTTTGATTATCAGAGATAACTGACTGACTTTGCTGACAGTTGTATGTCTTGCCTTCCTTTTATTCTTTCAATTCTTGATTGTTGTGCTGATTTCATTCTTTGCTTGATACTAACCCACAAATAAGAGAACTTTTTTAGAAGTAACTGGGTAATGACGTAAATTTGCCACCGTAAAGAGTTTCGAAGCTGACTTTTCGAGCGTTAGCCCTTCGAAAGGCTAACGCTCGAAACGTTTCTCTCCCACCGACGCAGCACCACAGTTTCTCCAGAAACTTGCCTCTTTGTTCATTTATTTTAGAAATACTTTCATACCGATTGTTTGATTAGCCCTTTCACTCCCAATATCTCATAAGTGATCCTCCTTACTGTCTGCCATGCAATTCTTATGATCTTGGCCAGGAGAATTTAGTATCTGATTGAATCAACTAATAATTCCCTAACTGATATTATGTTTCCGTAACTTCGTTTCATGCACCCAATCTAGGTTTATGTGTTAAATGCAGATTATAGTTACAAGCTTAGATGAATTTAATTGTTTAAAAACTGAATTACCAACCTCCTAGGATGCTAAATATGTTATCCCTTCCTCCTTGGTCAGTTCTTTCTATTGAATATAATGCTTGACGCTTTCCTGGAGACAAAATATGAGAAATACATTAGGAATTCAAGCACGCTCGTATTAAGTTGAATACTCCTTATAAATAAAATAAGGCGAGATAACTACTTAATGTTTAAAACACGTTCAGAGAGATAAACAAGTAAATAAGCGAGCAACACACTAGCAATAAAGTCTATTTCCCCGAAAGCCTCGTGGTCCCAAAACGACCAACCATGGCGGTCGCCATTGAGAATTTCTTGCGCTGTACTATGTTCGAGCAAGCTTTCCCCCATATTCGTGTCTAGAATTTGACGGTCATAGACAAGAAAGACTACAAAATTCACTGCATCTCTAACAAAATTCTATTCATACGCAAGTTATTTACCTCGAGAAAGTTTGTGAAACTATTCATCAATCCTCGACGTCGAATTTAAGCCCCTCGTCAGCAACCTCGAAGAAGCGGGCAAACGCTGGTCTTGACAACGTGGACGATATCCATAGCAATATCATTAAATTTATATGTTTGGCTTCAAAGTAGCTGAAAAAAAGCTCGTACATGTCGTAAGCTCTCACCACGTGCAAGTTTTGAAGTAAATATGAATATTAAATTCGAAAGTTATTTGCAATTCTATGAGCTTCCGAAGTTGAAGGGCGATCCGAAAATTCCCGAAAAGCTCTTCGGCCAGTTTCGTTCAAACTGAATGACCTGCTATCGGCTGATTTTAAACTTGGAAAATTTAAAAGATAGCCGCCTTTATCTTCGTAATTTTAAAGTGCTAACTCGACTCAGATGCACTCGTTCTTTATTTCGATAGATTTTTCATATCTTTGGCGGAAATTTCGATTCAGCGCGCAGGCATCTATTACACTGCACTGCCGAAGCGCTAATAACAAGGCGTTGCTCGCAGGCTACTCATCTCAATAATAACTACACTCAAACTTTAATCTTAAATATTCACTATTTTTATAAAGTTACAATGTTTTTTTAATGACATATGACGGAGGAAAATGCTCGGAAATTTCTCTGTGCGAAGAAAGCCTCGGGCGTGACGATTCAGCCTCGGCTCATGAGGGAAATAAAAGTGCTTGGAATTTAAAAACTGCCGACAACTTATAAATACAATTTTTTCATGCGAACATTGCTCACACGTATAATGTATTTGCACTTATTTTGGTAGTATGTCTTTGTAACTTAGAGACAAGATGTACATATCCTCATTCTGTTGTATTCTACCTTAGTTATTTCTAACACCTTTTGGTCTGAAACATTCTAAATATCACTTAAACATACCAAACTTATCCGACAAGGCTCTCGCGAAGCCTGCGCGTTTCGAGTCAGCGAGAAATAGAAGTGCACGAGAGGTTCGCACAAGTTCTGGCATAAAGAGTGAGATCTCTCCTAGATTTCTCGCGTGCTCCTCTCGCTCGCTGGCTTGAATCTCGCAGGATTCGCGGCTGCCCGCTGTAGAGAGTCTGCTTGAAAGGCTAAATTTTCTAATGTCCAATGTCCGTGATGCTAACAAGGCAATGCAGCGTCCTAATTCATTCTGTTGTCATTTGTTATTTCAGTCACATTCCCTTGAAAAACGCCTAGGACAGTTTGCAGCCTTCTTTTATAGGCATTGCTGTCACAAGTTTCACAGCCACATTCGGTAATAACCAAGTACTTCAAAACTTTAGTACTGCCATCTGGGCATTTCATTGACACGTTCGCGATGCTAAAATTCTTGGGTTTACAGCAAGAACATTCGATGTCGACCCAAGATGAGGTTATGTTCAAGACCGCGGTTGAGTTGCAAAAACCATTGCAAGTTGTCTGTTGAATTGGATGAGTGTTAGAACAGCCGGATTTGTCAACAATACTTCTTGGCTCTGAAGTGATATTGCATCGTGATATTGGAGCTTCAGCCTCTGTAATTTCCGTTATTGGTTGAATGGATGTTGTCGGCTTTGTAGTCCCTGCTATTGAAGAAGTTTGTGGAAAGCTCGTGCTTTTCGGAACGGCTTTTGATGTTATTGGTTCCGCAGTAGGTGTCACCATCGTTGATGGAGAAACTGTTAGAATTGCCCCAGCTGATGTCGGCTTTGTAGTTCCTGTTTCTGAAGAAGTTTGTGCAAAGCTCGTGCTTTTTGGAAGAGCTGTTGATGTTGTTGGTTTTGAGAGAGTCGTCGTGGTAGGTGTCCCCACAACCGTCGATGCGGATACTGTCGGAACTGACTGAGTTGTTAAAGAGCTCACCACAGCTGTTGATTAAAACAAAAGAAGTAAGCAATGATTGTGAATATATGAAACTCAGATATGTAAACTGCGGATTGAGACATGATTATTAAAGCGCTCTTCGCAATAATGATTCAGTGACTGAAAAACTGTAAGCAAAAGATTATGATAAGATAATTTTAGTCATATGATTAACTGAATTACGTATGCATTTGGATTGATGTATTGAAGGTTTGACGTATGGATGACGTCGTCATTAACAACATTTGCTTTTTTATCATAGGAAACAAATAGATTCTTTGTTGTTGTGAGTCTGACGTCAAAACGTCAAAATGTGGTCAGAACAAAAATAGCTGGTTGCACAGAAACAAGAGAATATAAACAGTTTATATTCTCTTGGCAGGGTATGAAAGGGGGGCCATAGAACATTTGAGGCCAGGAGGGGGATCATTAGCATTCTACAATGCCTCAGGGGAAACCAGGTAAAAATTGTCGTCCCCCCCCCAGATAATGAATGAGGAGCGGTCCCTTAACCCTAACATTAGCTAGTTACTGAGAATTAATGACAACTCAACTCCAAAACGAATCCCAGAATATTTACAGAAAGTTTCCAAGTGAACTCACAAGGAGAGTTCCACTTACACAGCCTTGGCTTTTTACGAAAAGAAATGTTTACAAAAATTGGCACTTACAACGGGTTAAGTTATGCATAGTAAGAATGCACTATACTAGAGACTGACCAAAAACTATAAGGTCTAATACGATAATATTGGTGATCCCTTAAATGTAGGAAGATCTTCCCCATTACTTAAAAATGGTAATATCCTTCCAAATAAATTTACTGGTTTCCATATGGGAGTTATATTGGTATCTTTTTTAAGGACACTATCCTTAGATACTAATGAACGAAATTATCCTTTTAAACGATCTCGTAAAAAAGTTCTAACCTGGTGAAGGAACTTGGATAATTGTGGCGGACGTTGCGCTTGAGGCGCTTGTTATTGTTGTTTTTCTCACGAAAGATCCAAGGGCTGATATTTCCGGTATCGGGCTCGATACCTTTGGTGTTGCTGACAGTTGTTGTTTAAAAGACGTAAATGTCGAACCTATTGGCCTTCCAACTTTCTGTATCATTGATTCCTCCGTGGCCATTGCTGTGGTCGAGCTTGTCTCCTTTGAAATTGTTCTCGATTTTGTTGGAGATAACGCTGTCTTAGACAAACCTGTTGCCTTTCCAGTTGTCGCTTCCTGAGTGGTTATTGTTGTTGTTGGACTTGTCGTTTTTGCTGATTTCTCTGAGGATACCGTCCATGTGGGGGATGATAACTGTGTTTTAACAAACTCCTTTGCAGATACGTTTGATAGTGGACTTAATGACTTATACGTTGATTCCCGAGTGGGTTTTGTCGATATCAGACTGCCCACAGTTGGTGTTCTTGTCAATTCTTTTACAGATGACATTGATGAGGTTAGAATAGTTGTAAGACTTGTTGAAACTGCTTTACTCCCTCCCTTTGCTGAAATTAGCGATGTCGGTTCTGTTGTCTTTGTTTGTTTTAGCTCCTTTTCGGATATTGCCGGTGTCGCACGTGATAACTCTGTTGTTTCTGGCTCTTTAGTTGTGGATGCCGTTGATTCCACCGTTGATAAATTTACCACTACCGTTTTTATTTTTCTTGTTTTTGTTGTTGTTGCTGTTATCGTTGTTATTGACCCTCCCGAAGGTCTCGTTACCATCCAGCTTCTTACCTTCGTTGTTTTGGAATTCTCCGAAGACATTGTCGTTGATAGACTCTCTATGTTTGATACTAACAGAAATTGTTGGGTTGATATTGTTGTAGGTGTTTTCAATCGTTGAGCTTGGTTTCCTGGTCGAGCCGGTTCACTGTGACCTGGCAGCAGTATTCCAATTGCTATCAAGAGAATTATCCGGTGAAAATATGATATTAGATAATGTTCTGATTATCAATATAATTTGAGGCTTTCTTTAACCAAGTAAATTCATTTCTTCAAATAAAAAGAAAATTAGGATCCAAAACAGCCTCCACTTAGCGAGAAAATATCCAAGGATATCTTTTCTAGATCCGACCTCAAGGAAAATAACAGATGATGTATAACCCCTAGCCTCTCTTTTGCGCGAAAATATGCACGAATATTTGTCCGTAAACACTATTCGTTACTAAGAAACGAAGGGTCTTCAGAGAGCGAAGCCCAAGGAAGACTGTGAGCTTCGGGAAAATGATAATGTCCAAATTGGGCCATCTCAGACGTTCAGGGTGCTTGTTAAATCTATGTATGATGTGGGTATATCTATACAGTACGGTATGCCAGATATATGTTTTCGATGTGAGGTTGCTGTAGTTTTATCCTAGGAGATGTTCGTGAATTTTCACATCGTTAGCGTGCATCATCTTTCAACTTTTTCACTCTTTTGAGGTCGCAATGTGCTTACCTGCCGTGGATAATGAAGGAGACTTTGCATTTTCCACACTTATTGTTAAACTATTTCCAGTCCCCAAATACATTTTGACTGTGGTTGAAGTCCCATTTATTAACTGACACCTGCAACAGCCGGCTGAATTTTCCGGCATAACGAGTTTATAGCCCTGAGCAAACAAAACAAAACAAAGAAATTGAGAGGCAATTACGCAATTATGTTTTCAAAACTGAGATTTTTTCGAATAATTTTTTGTAGCTTTGATCATAAACCAATATGCGTACCTTAGTACAAGACAGCGTACATGTGGTTTTGCAGACGGCTATTGTTTGGTTGAGGGTGTTGGGTTTCCTCATGCACGTACACACGCGGCACTCTCCGTCATGTATTGTATCCTTGATCTACGAAAAAGTAAGTATCCAGTGTATAAGGCTCTTCCATAATAGTAGTGGACTTGTCATAATTTATCACCGAGGATGGAGGATCTTGGGGGATTGCATGGTTTTGAAGAGGAACCGAGGAAGGGGGGGGGGGTCAACGAGAATAAAGGGAGGACTGTAGAGAATTTACTCCCAACTAACTTCCCCCTCCTCTCTCTTTCTCTCTCTCTTCAGGGGTAATAATGAGTAGTCCCTTAGTGATGTTAAGTTAAATGAAAGAGTGTTAGTACTTACTGATTGGTGCCAAGGAAAAAAATAAGTTTTGCTTCCCCAATACCCATAAGAATAATAAGCGCACGTATGGTTTCTCTTAGGAGTTTGGTTCGCCCTTGGGAAAAATCGAGTCTCGGCCCACGGCACGTAACATGTTCTTCCCCAATCGCGGTTGTTTTGCTTTTAAGTTTTTCACATATCGATGTGAATTTTATTAACATCTTAGGTGCTCTAGTAGATTATTCGACTCAGTTCCCCGGCTCATGTTCAACAATGCGGACGTAGGTTGCCAAGGTACAAAGCTATTTATTAGAACAGGTTACTCCTATTTTTAAAGACACTAAAAGGGAGAAGAGTAAGTATGAATATTTATCTTCCTTAAATACATCGCAGCAGCCTCACATTCATTCAAACGTAGTCCTCTTCGTTTGGTTGCTTATTTTAACTTTACCGGAAATTCGTGTCCTTTGATGTCACATAGAGGCAAGCATGGCTCAGGCATGGGTACAACACATCGATTTTGCCACTTTAGCGTACCATTGTCACAGATGCAAGATGGACAATTGGCACCACGTTCACAATTGATTTTGCTATAGCAGTCCATCCTACAGATGCATTCTTTTCCGCACTCTGAAATGAAATCGTTGCATAGAAGGTAAGCAAGGAACAGAATCACAGGAGCCAGTTACTGTCAGTATTCGTGGATATTTACATGTATTTATGAATAAACTAGCTTGCATCAACCTTAAAAGTATTTGCATTTATATCATGTGATTAAGGGAACATTCCATAATCTACCAGAGCCCTGTAGAATCAGTGCTGCAGCCTTACTTAGAGTAAAGCGAACCTACTATCTTCACGCTTACCCTTTCTCCTCACCATTGAGGTGCCAACAGACAAAGTTGAAGGTGTTATGACCATCTTCGTGCTCTCTGGTAAGCTAATAGAACTCATTTTTGCTGTAGCTTGACTAGGAAGCGCTCGTATCTCCGACAAGGGTGACATAACCTCCGATGTGGTTGACATAATCTCCGAGACATGTGACGTTAACTGCGACACGGGTGACACCGTCTCCGACACGGGCGACATTATCTGCGACACGGGTGACTCCATCTCTGACACGGGTGACATCATCTGCGGCACGGGTGACATCATTTTTGACACGGGTGATATCATCTCCGTCACGGATGACATCCTAATCGACACGGGTGACATCATTTTCGACACGGGTGGCATCATTTCCGACACGGATGACATCCTAATCGACACAGATGACATCATCTTTGACACGGTTGACAACATCTTCGACACGGGTGACATCATCTCTGAAACGGGTGACATCATTTCCGTTGTTAATCGAGGGGTCGTAGTTTTGCTCGGGGAACTTCGGTTGATGGTTGAGACGAGAGTTGCTATCCTTGCCGTTATCCGCAGGGTGGCATGTGTTAGAGTGCGCGTGATTCCTGCTGAACCGGCTGGAGTTGGACATTGAGTCTCGTCCTGACCGTCTGAACAATCCTTGTGGCCATCACATAGAGATCTATGGGTTTGATTAGAATCACGTTAAATTTCAAATCTTAACAGAAACTTTTAAAATCTAAAAGCCATCACAATTTACATTTTATTCTGTAAGCTTCGCACGAATGTCTAAATGTGTTCTGGCAGAGGTTGACAGGAATACGGCCCCTTCCATCCTGGTCTATTTGCTTGATGAAAGCAGAGAAGAAGAATTCGTGATTGATAGGGTCTACAGGTTTTAAAACAGGGGAACCTCTCTCTCGGAACACCTTCGACTCGGGCAAAGGACACAAACCATAGCAGCCGATTAAGAAAATGCTTCCATTAGCATAATGTTTGCCTCTATCATTGAAAAGGCACCTTGACATAGGTCCAAATTCAACTGCCATGAAAAGTGAATATCAAAATATCATAGAATCAATTATCTCCCACCTCCTGGTCTGAGTAATCTAGGGTTCACGTTATCCATGTGGGAAACGAACGGTACAAGAACAATACGGACGTGTCCATCCATTAAAGTTAAAAGATAATGAGCTACAAGAGCAGTTTTCAGGAAGGAGCAATATTTGTGTCCCCAAAATTAGAGTTTTACTGATCTGAGGAGCCACAAAGGATGGGTTAGAAGGTCGTAATATGACGTGTCAACTCCCGTAACCGCTGTTCAGGTTTGAGATCCTCAGTGAGTTTGCGATAAAATAAAAAGAGTTCTCTGCAATCGCAAATTTGTAGACATACGAATGACCCCAGGATCGATCAAGTGTGTGGACTGAAAACTTACTTGAAGGAAATGCACTTGGTGTTGTTATCACAGTGAAATTCTGCACATGGTGTAGAAGGGTTGCATGTCATCTCGTCTGAGCCATCACCGCAATCATCTCGTCCGTCACAAACGTTCTCGTGATTAATACACTTACTGTTGTTACATCTGCATCGTAAGGGCAACACGAACCATTAACCCGGCTGATAAGATACGTTGATATACCAATTGTGAGCGTAAAACACTTAAAGGACATGATAATAGTCCTTATGAGAGACAAAATCACTTGTCCGTTCGCTGGACTCGGAGCTAAAAGATCCGGTCTAGAGCACTGACCAGGGTTTTGCATTGTGCTAGACACTTTATGATCACCATTCCTTTTCCCCACCCAGGCGTGTAGCTACTGGCTGACTGAAGAGTATAGCTACTGACGGACTGAGGAATATAGCTACTGGCGGACTGAAGAGTATAGCTACCGGCAGACTGAGGAGTATAGCTAATGGCGGACTTAGGAGCACAGCTACCGACGGACTGAGGAATATAGCTACCGGCAGACTGAGGAGTATAGCTAATGGCGGACTTAGGAGCACAGCTACCGACGGACTGAGGAATATAGCTACCGGCAGACTGAGGAGTATAGCTAATGGCGGACTTAAGAGCACAGCTACCGACGGACTGAGGAATATAGCTACCGGCAGACTGAGGAGTATAGCTACTGACGGACTGAGGAGTATGGCTACTGGCGGACTGAGGAGTATGGTTACTGACGGACTGAGGAGTATGGCTACTGGCGGACTGAGGAGTATGGCTACTGGAGGACTGTTTGATTAAGCCTTACAGAATTCAAGGGAGAGCTACCCGCGAAGAAAGAGCCATTCCCTTTAAAAGGAATTAAATACCCCATAAGCCTTTACTTCACAGAAAGTGAGATAGGCTCCGATAGCTCTGTTAGTTTTTCTCTTATTCAGTAATTGTCCAATCTGCATTGTGGAAAATATATTACTGATAACCCAAGCAGACAGAAAGGTTCTATAAAACTATCAGTTTGAAGTCGTCAAACATATGAAGGACCGGATCCATTCGTTATTATTAACTTTGTCGGCTGCCAGCGGGTGAGGAAGGTTTTACTTTTTATCGAGCCAAGAGAAGGAAAACGGCAGGCGGTAACAATGAAGTCACTAACCTAACTTCAGGACAAATAGGTGGAACGTCGACCTTAATGTTGCAGCCGTAGAACTCCAGCCGCAGACATGGATCGGTGTGTGACTGGATTGGGTACACTCGCAGGTAAAGAGCCTTAACTGGCTGTGGAAACTTGTTTGTAACAACGGAAGTTTGGTCCCTGTTCGCGTGGAATGCCTGCCGGAAAAATTGTACCATATAAATATAGTGCTCGGCTAACTTAGCATTCCAATTTCGTTAAACCACAAGACGCTTCGGAGCTTCTTATGTCGGCATTTGTACTGCACGCAGCGATCAGACTAAGTAATAAGGACAACAAAGGTCCAAGTAAACACAACCGTGTTTCGAGATTTCCGATTGTAGGATAAAAAATTTTGTTAATGATTAAAATGAAAAATATGATTCAAATGTTTTTGTTAAGGGGAAGAGTAAAAGGAAAATGGAGAACATAGGCGGAGGGTTTACGGAAATACTCGGTGGATTACCGGGAGAGGCGATTTCGCCTGAATAAATAGGGTTACTTCCATGACTGAAATTCGTTGATGTAAATGACCGCGTAGGAGTGAGCACCGACACGCCTATTCTATCTCAAATTGCACAATCAGAAGGAAAATGATACAGTTAACGGCACCTTTTGTATTTTGGTCCAGGTAACTCCATTCCGACTATATGACATTCGAAACAATGTCACCCATTTGTGAAGAAATGGATGTCCTTGGGTTGCTACCGCGGTCACCTTCCGTAAGGAGTCCAGCTGGACCTGCAGATATGGTTCTGTATCGTCAGGTTTGGGGCACCAGGAACCGTTTCCCTTTCCTTTAACATGAGTATTATTAAGTCGTCCCTCACTCGGTCTGTAATATACACTGACAGAAGACGAGGCTGCGAAGGAATGATCTGGCGCTCGATCTGACAATCCTAGCAATGCAGAATCAAAAATTATCCAGTAAAGAAAGGAAATTAATTTAAAACCTCTGATTACGTTGCTAGCTGATAAACACTTTCGCTTGGATAAAAAATTGCAGTGGCATTTACCCGTATACTTTAAACGAAAGATTATCAAATAAGCTTACCTAAGGATGCAAAACACGGTGATATACTGGTGGTGCAATTTCCCTCGTCTTCGCCGTCTTTACAATCATTTTGTCCGTCACAAACCCAGTGTTTGGTGATGCATTTGCTATGATCTCTGCATTTGTACTCGGGTGAAATACATTTTGTTTCATTTTCAGGTACTACACAAGATTGACAGCATTGTCCAGGAGATATCAAAGCCACGGAATTGTTAGGACAAGGAACGAGCTGGGGAGGACAACGAACAGGTCGGCAGATGACACTATTATTCCAACACTGGCACTCATCACAAGTATCATTCCATGTGGCGCCTGGATCATAGTACTTTCCTTTATGGAAGCAAATGCAATCTGCTGGTTTAACACAATTTGTGCCATTAAACACTGTTTCACCGGGGCACTTGCATCCGGGTACACAAGGTATTGCAAGTGTCTTTCTGCACGTGTTGTTCATGTACTGACAGGACTCATCACAGATTGATTTACAAGGAGTGTACACCATGTTGGGAGGGCATTGCAAAGGAGTAATTGTAACAATGCTTGTATTTTGTGGCTTGATGTTTGTTGAAATTAATAGTTTTGTTGTAATAGTTGATACTGGTGATGCCCTTAATGCTGTAGATGCTTGTGATATTGTTGATGCTGGTGAAGCTGTTGATGCTGTCGTTACTGGTAATGCTGGTGATGCTGGTGATGCTGCTAATGCTGTCGTTACTGGTGATACTGTTGATGCTGTCGTTACTGGTGATGCTGTTAATGCTGGTGATGCAGGCGATGCTGTTGTTATTGTTGATGCTGGTGATGCTAGTGATGCTGGTGATGCTAGTGATGCTAGTGATGCAGGTGATGCAGGTGATGCTGTTGTTGCTGGTGATGCTGTTGATGCTGGTGATGCTGTTGATGCCATTGATGCTGGTGATGTTGTTGATGCTGTCGTTACTGGTGATGCTGGGAATGCAGGTGACGCTGTTGTTACTGTTGATGCTAGTGATGCTGGTGATGCAGGTGATGCTGGTGATGCAGGTGATACAGGTGATGCAGGTGATGTAGGTGATGCAGGTGATGATGTTGATGCTGTTGTTACTGTTGATGTTGTTGATGCTGATGATGTAGGTGATACTGGTGATGCTTTTGTTGCTGGTGATGCTGTTGATGCTGGTGATGCTGTTGATGCCATTGATGCTGGTGATGTTTTTGATGCTGTTGTTACTGATGATACTGGGAATGCAGGTGACGCTGTTGATGCTGGCGATGCTGTTGATGATGGTGATGCTAATGATGCTAATAATGGAGTTTCTAATGTTTCCTTTGATGCTGGTGATGCTGTTGATGCTGGTGATGCTGTTGATGCTGGTGATGCTGGTGATGCTGGTGATGCTGTTGATGCTGGTGATGCTGTTGATACTGGTGATGCTGTTGATGCTGTCGTTACTGGTGATGCTGGGAATGCAGGTGATGCTGTTGTTACTGTTGATGCTAGTGATGCTGGTGATGCAGGTGATGCAGGTGATGCAGTTGATGCTGTTGTTACTGTTGATGTTGTTGATGCTGATGATGCAGGTGATATTGTTGATGCTGGTGATGCAGGTGATGCTGGTGATGCTGTTGATGATGTTTTTACTGGTGATACTGATGATGCTGTTGATGCTGTTGTTACTGTTGATGCTGTTGATGCTGGCGATGCTGTTGATGCTGGTGATGCTAATGATGCTAATAATGGAGTTTCTAGTGTTTTTGATGACGCTTTTAGTGAAATTGTTGACTGCACTGTTGAGGCTATCACTGTGGTAAGGGAAGATGCAACTTGTTTTGGCATTGGTGGTACGGAACTAATTGTCATATTTGTTGGCCGCACTGGCGTTGGGAGACTTGCTGTCATCTCTACAGGTACTGATAATGGCAGGGAATTTGTTTTTACGAGAGATGATAAGGCTGCAGGTGGAGAGCTTGCTGCCACCTTAATGCCGGCTGATTTTTGCGAGGCACTTGCAAACATTTCTGGTAATGCCTCTTGTGCCGAACTTGTTTCTATCCTAACTATCGCTATTTTTCGGGAACTTATTTGTAGAGAGGTAACAATCACCTTTGAAGAAGGAACTAATGTTGGAGCACTCGCTGCCAATTCTGAGGTTCGTGTTGTTATTAAATAGCTTGTCAGCACTTTTAAAGGAGATGCTACTGGTTTGGAGGATGCTGGTGCCGTAGAGAGTAAATTTTCCGTCACTTCTGAACGTAATGTCCCAGGTAAACTAGCTACTGTCATATTTGAAGTTACCCCTCCTGGTAAGGAGCTTTCCGATTTTTTTGAACTTGGTTCTGCCAGTATAAAACTTACTTTTCCTTTCGTAGAGGATGCTGCCGGAAGTAAAATCTCTGTTTCATTTAAAGATATTCGTGTCGGCAATGAACCGTATGTTACTTTCGAAGGGGAGGTTGCTGTAAGGTGGCGTTCTGTCACATCTGAAGGTTTTGTTGCTGCTAGAGATATTCTCGTCACTTTTGAATGTAGAATGGAGGGTGACGTTGCAAGTTTACCACTTCTGGTTACTCTTGGAATGATAAATGTTGGCACTGAGGAGCGTGATGCTTTTATCAGTGAGAACACTGTGACTATTTCGTGCTGTACGGCTAATCGAGAACTTGTGGTTACTGTTATGCGTGATGATATTGTTGGAAAAATTGCTGTTTGAAAAATTTCTCTTGCTGTTGAGTATAATGGCGTCACCATAAGGGAACCACTGGTTGCTATTTCACGTGGAGCTGCTATTACGGAGCTTGGCAATGTTACGTGGGCTGCTGCTTGTTGGGAATGTGATGTCCATGTAGTTTGTGTTGCTGTTAGAACGAATAAATAGTTAAAATCATTTTCACAGCAGTTAAAAGCTTTTCTCTAGTTTGGGAAAGAAATACTTTTGGGCTAAGTAGGCGCGCGTGCTGGTGCCTTACTTAGGTTTAAAGATAATGGCTTTTCGTACCTGATGATCTGCAAGAAGGACCAGTACATGAAAAACATCCAGCCTCACACGTACTAAAAAAAAATAATATAAAGAATTATTAAATCAATAGTGGCAGCTGGAGTGCACTGAGTTCTTTTCTTGAGCATTGCGTGCAATCTCTTGAGTTAAGTCGCTAGGGTAAGGGTAATAAGAGGTGTATGGAGCGAAACGCCTTTTTACTTTCTAGTTTAGCTCTTGTTTCACATTTGGCAAATAAATCATAAAAAACTCTATGATTCTTTGGAGGATCCCTCCTCAACTGTCTTACCATCGTTGACAGTTTATCACCACAATTGATCCAGGTTCATGGTCAAACTCATCCAAACTACACGGACAGCTTTTGGGAGAAATGCACTTCCCATCATGCAGCACTGTTCCATTTGGGCAAGAGCATCCTTCAAATGTTACGGGACAACGGGCAGGATTGGCTTCACACTGGTTTTCACATGTCCTGGGACAACCTGCAACACAGGGCGTGTACTCAAAGCAATGACCGTCCTCGCTAGGACATTGGATAGCTGTGTTTGGAAAAAAAGGATAATAATCATTGGCGAGAACAGTCCCACCCACAGGCCTAAATATATTATGTAGTTCAAATTTAATTGATACTTACAGAACTGCTGTAATACGGGTATTTGAGCCAACGTAAAATCATAGAATGAAACAAGTAATTCTTACGGTAGAAAAAGGAATTTAACATAGAGAAATAACCGTGGAGGAAAGAGGAAGGTTACGAGAGAGGAAGGGTAACCTGTATTTGTAAAGAAAATTGTGAAACGTTCAGGCTCAAGTTTTTAAGATGCAACAGCCGTGTCGATGATTTTTAAAGACTTTACCCTTCCGTTGGTTTCCAAGGTTACAGACTGCTTCTATGAAGTTATTTTTCTCGGATGTATTACAGTTTTTGACTGTTTCGAATTTCGTTTGTATGCAAGATAAAAATTCAACTCGTTTAACATCCCTACGATACTTACGACACAATTCTTGCGTTCTCCATTTGATTGGCACACTATGTTTGCAGCACTCATGGCCATAGGAGGCGATTGCTGTACACAAGCACTCACAGTCACCACCGCTATCACAAGCACAAGCATCGCGGTAGCATGCATCGTACCAAGGATCCGGGTTTACCTGAGAGTTAAATGTAGGACAAAACTCGGGGAAAGCTCAGCTTTTCTTTGATAAAGTATGGAACACGTTGGATTAAAAATGACCCACGTTCAAAATTTTTCGTCAATGCAATTTTTAAATCAAGTAAAGTGTGACACGACATCTGCCATAAACCAATGATTAGTTACTGCCGTTGGGGGAGGGGGGAAGGGGGTTTGGAGGATACGATAAATTTTATCCCATCCTCCACAAGACTCTTTAATGTTCTTATGATCTCCCCCGCCCCGCCTCATTGGCAGTTAATCGGCAGTGAATTTGCTCTGATTCCCCTTTATGCTCTGTTGGCGACGACTGATCCCTCCGTTCCCCCTGAAAACTATGTGACCCCCTTAAATCCTCCAATACCGACCCCTCCCCCTCCCCCTCCCCCTCTCCTCAGGTGATAAATAAAAACTGGTCTCCTGTTCGAAATAACCTTATCAACTTATTTTGTGTTACAATAGGCCCAGGACTTACGACTTCATGACAAGGCTTGAACACATCTGATCTGATGATGCTGCACATCTTGTGAGCCCATGGTGCACGATGCTTATTTATCACGCAGGGATTCCTGGGTATGACTGCATCCGGGCATGATGACTCGACCCTCCAGCTGTCGCCAAAGTCATTCGCTAAGGTCTCTGGCAACATTTGTGGTGTCATGAAATCGTCATTTCTGTCACCATTAAAATTGCCGCATAGCCCACACACTCGCCCTGAAAAACAAAGATGTGCTATGAACATGTCACGTAATGCAAAAGACGGATAATTGACTTTTGATATTCAAATCTGCAAACGCCAATGAGGCAAGGCTACAACGTTTTGTCGTCCTAAAATACCGGTGGGAATATTCTTTAAACTTGAATGTAACTCATTGTCAGAGTTGTACTGAGACAGGTCTTGGTGATCGTCTTACCGGGAATAGGGAATTTACTTATCTCAGGTAAGTTATTTATCATATGGCACTTGGACCAAACTTGTTTATTTTGAATCAACCGGCTTTCGCGAACAAAAACACGCGGCTCAAGACCTTTTACGTGGAAACCGTCTGTATGGCAAAATTCAGACCCAGGAAGAACCAATAAGAGCGCCTAGATTTTAACTCAGGACTACCTCGCCAAATAATGATAAGTTTGATTCTCTCATGCCATAGCAAACACCAATAAAATTTCCACTCACCTGTAAATTTGGGATCCAAAGTGATATATAGCCTTGTTCCTCTGTCCCACGTGATTGTTAAACCAAAGCCAGTCTCTAACACGGTAAAGAAGTGATGCTCTCTGATTTGAAACTCTTCAATCATGCTCAAGGCTGCAGCACCCGGCCTCGAGGATATCACGGGATGCTGATCCCTCTCAAGAGTGACCACCGTGTTGTTGAGCGTGATAGTCACTTGCTTTGTGCACGTGACGCCACTGTTCCCGCAAGGGACATTCTGGGCCTGGATTTGGAAAGTACGTGAAGAGGCGTCATTACAAGAGTCCTGAGCAAGGACATAATCACAGGCCCCACTGAAAGTGTACCTCCTGTCGTCGAAGGTGATGTAATTCAGTTCACCGTAAACGGAGCATGTTCCAGGGCAAACGTGGTCAGTACATGACCATTTAGTACCTTTGCAAGAACTAAAATAAAACAAATAACATCTATCTGAGAACTCAGAGATACGTAAATTCACATGAATAAACTACTTTTTCTTAGCTTTAAGTGAGACAGAAGTAATTTTTGGTGGCTATTTGTTGCCAAGTTCCAAAATAACACTTTCTTCAACTTGATTATCTACATTCAGCTTCCTGTCTAGACAGCAGCATGATACTCAGTCACTCAATGGTATTACGTGGTACAAATAAGTCATCTTACACTTTGTTATCATACTTCGCTGTCAAAAGCTAAAAACATTAAAAAGGTGTGTGTTGGGATCAAGAACCACTTGCTGTCGTCCCTAGTTGTGGTATTACCCCCAAACATGTGTAAAGCCTTTTTCAAAACTTTGTCTAAGACAGGTAGAATTAGGCTTGAGAGCTTCTGATTAAGAGTCCCTTCTATGCGATTGGCTGCAATTTTTCTTCACAAGATCGTAACACCATATTTATTGATTTTAATCAGATAGACTTCTTCAGCTTGTTTTTTTTTTTTGTTTTACACCTCTCAGGTCTCAAGAGAATGTAAATTTTGCGTACATATGCACGTCAATTATCGAAGGGCCTTAAATGGATAAGCTAAAGAGGTCTATTGTCTCATGATTGTTGAGCACAGTGTCCTCTTCTGTCATGTGTTGTGGAACCCACGCACATTGTACAATTGCGTTCACGGTTCGAGGTTATTGTTCTTTCCTATTCGTTATTGCGCCTATACGCGGTTGTCTTTACGTTTCTGTTTCTAACGAAATACGTGATACTCCTCGTATATCAGGCCAGTAGATTGTAGCATCTTCGCAGTTCAGTGCTCCAATCATCCGGTCTGTTTTAGCTGTAGCCATTCAATGTAACCCACAGACAACTATGGTGTTGTGAGTGGTTTGTGTTACCTTTAGAACATACCAAGTATTGCAATCCTCTTTAATCTCTTGTCCTAGCCTGTAACTGTGACCGCCGCGATGACAGAAGCACTGGGAAGAGTTGATACACCGCTGACCATGTAGTACTGTGCCCTCCGGGCAGACACAACCTTCCTGGCACTTGGTCTCCAAACATGGCATATGAAAATTTTCACAGGTCCTTGCGCATTTTGCACCACAGCTTACCCACTTTTGTCCAGAGGGACAAGCTGAGAAAAAAAACTAAGTTACATTTACTCTAGCTCTAAAGAACGAAAGAGCGAAAAAGATACCATATCCGTAAGTTTATTCCACAGCTAACCCTGGGAGTATGTAGCCTAACTCTATAGAAATTGGCGTTCACGGTAGCTCAGAAATATAGAAGCACGTAGGATTGGCGGTCTGCAACGCTGTCCAAGAAGTCCCCCCCCCCTACCCTCCCTGCTAGCGTAGCCTACGCCCGTGACTGATGGATGATCTTTACACTTGTCTAGAAAAAAGAGCGCGCGCAAAATCCACCGTCTTTTTTTTAATCTCGCTAATTATCCTGTCCAGGAGCTTCTTTCCTGTCTAAACTTGATGAACTTTTAGAAAAACTAAAAGTGGAATAAAATAAAGCGCTGTTGATTTAAAAAATGTAGAAAACGAATTTTTAAAATATTAGTTTTGATTTGCTTGTAATTGAAAACAATTTCAACATCTTAAAGATATCTCAAATTGTTTTTTTTCGCAAATTCTTTTAATGAAATATAACTAGAGTAGTTACATTTCTGCGAAACAAACTGGAAAATATTTATTAAAGTGTATGAAAAGGTAAAGATCGAAGAAAGTTCCCACACCGGGAGTCGAACCCGGGCCGCCTGGGTGAAAGCCAGGAATCCTAACCGCTAGACCATGTGGGAAATCCTGATATGTTCGAATACTCCTTAGGTGGTTAACAAAATATGAAAAATCCTCGTGAGCAAAATATACGTTGAAATTTCATCCAAATATAGGTTAAGATGGCTTTCAAACAGTTTGATCGATTTATACATTCATTTGTAAACACAATAAAAGCCTGTTCAAAGCTAAATTTATCTATAACGTATGCAAAATAACGCTTTTAAAAACAAAAGATATCTAGCTAGATCCTCCTGAAAGCGAAAACGTACAGCACTTTATTCGACCGTTGCCTTTTTTTTCTTTCCGTTGCTGTCGTTGTTATTGTAAATAATACTGGGCCATAGCCTTGAGGAGGAGGACCTCCTGGATTATACTCCATCAGCAACTCCTTCCCGCCGCACGAATACGAGAGGGAGAGCAGCGGCATTGGATTTTCATGTAAGGCGCGCAAAATTTAAACATGACCACTCTTAAAATATCCATGCTACGTCTCTGTGATCTGAATTATAAGAAAGAAAAAAGGATCTTACCTTTGCATGATGTTTTGGTACAGTTAAATCGTCCGCTCTCACAAACGCTGGGGAAAAAGAGAGTCATTAAGACTCTAGAAAGGACAGATGTATCACGCAGTAAGAAGGATCATTTCATAGGCCTCTCGCAAGCTTCAATGTTTTGGTTTTTTTTTGCGCTGCACCAGTCATACAATATTTTTTATCAGCACCAAGAGTGACTTTGCTCAGAAAGTTTTTCAAGACTAAAAGAACACAAGGATTGACCAATCACCTGACGCGCTGAGTGCCACACCGGTTCTTTCGTAAGAAGCTGAGAGTTTATATTATCCTTTTAATAGTATTTGATATGTTCAGAATACTTACAGCTCGGCTGTTTGTCCAAAAAAATGTTATTGCATATGTATACCGCATTGAAAATGTTTACTCGATTTTCATTTGAAGAAAGCGACTCGCTCCCTAAGTGTTCTTGAAGACTCTTGAGATGTTTGTAAATTGCATAAAACGTTGAATGTTTGGTAGACTGTCTTAATCGAAGAAAATTAAACTTAAGGTAACCAAATATATTAAACTGAAATTGGAAAAAAATGGGTTGGACATTAAACCGTTGAAATTCACAACATACGGAGCCCATTTCGCAAAATTCCCCGTAGTTATCTTCTCCGAAAAGATTCATTATGTGAGCCTTGTTTACCTTGAAAATCGAAATATTTTACAAAGGTAAAAAACCTTACCATTCTTTGCAGTGGGAGGGTCGTATCACAGTTCCAGGTTTATAATAATTTCCATCGAGAGAACAGGGACATTGTGAATGGGGAACACATTGATTATCCTCTGTGAGTGCCATGCCCCTTGGACAGTTACACCCCTCAACACATTCCTCTTCACAAGGGAGGTCCATGGAGATTTCACGACACGTCCGCTGACATGAAGAGCCGCAGACCTGGTGCACTTGGCCGGGAATGGAGCAAACTGCGTCTAAAAACGAAAGGCGTGTAAAATACAGATCTTTTATAGGCGATCAAATGGAATATCTAGTGGACGTCTTCAATTATGGTCAGCTTTTACTACATTCGTGCATTCCAAATTGACGGAAATTATGTCTGGCTAGCGAGTGATAAGGAAAATAGATCAAACCAATGATATAAATGACATGAATGAGTTTGTGAAGGAAAACCCAAGCCCGCCTGGAGTAATAGTGTTGTATTCTTAGGCAATACTCTCCTTAAAAATCAGGGATTAATATCAGTATCTGGGCAACTGCCCACCTACCCCTCCCCTAACCCAACATTAACCCTAACTTGTTATCAATTAATTGTTGTTGAGTTAGGGGAGGGGTAGGTGGGCAGTTGCCCAGAAACTGATATTGATTCAAAATCAGTGCCCTCCCAAGCAATTAGCGAAAGGACACTAACAAAATGTCAAGGAAACCTGGCCAACTGTAGGGATGGAGATGCATTGGACCAACTTGACTAATTTGTGTAATAACTACACTTAAAACCGTTCGCTGTTTTAAAGAGACTACAAATTTTAGCAGATCAGAAAGTAAAAGGGAAGAGTCTACGTAAGTTAACTAAATACTTACCACATTCCGGCATAACTTTAGAATTTATCCATTCAATCACGACCCCATGTCTTGCACAGTCGTGGACATAAGCAGCGATAGCACTACAAAGGCATTGGGTTCCCTGTTGACATCCACAGACGTCGTACATGCAGCTAGCGATGTAACCGCTAGATGGGTCCACTGTGTGATGGCAGCTGCTAAATGGAGACTGCAGTAATCTGTTGCACAATTTTCCCGCGGTAGCCTTTCTCTGTATCTGTACTTCACAAGGATGCCTTAACGGCTGCGTGTCATTACAAGCTGAGCTCACCTTCCACGAGTTTCCGAAGGCTGTCACGCTTGTTTCGATAACGCTTTCTTTGGTGGTGAGTTCGTCTTTCTGTTTGCCATTAAAAGTTCCGCACAAACCGCAAGTCATATCACGAAACTGAGGCTGTAATGTCACATAAATGCGCGAGATGCCGTCCCACTTGACATCGAGGCCAATGGGACTATGAACTGACGTCATTGATGACGACAATTGTTTAATGATGTAACCTACGAACATAGCATACTAACAGTTATTTCTAATGAATTTAAAAGCTACCACAGTGAAAAATGCTGTTATCGTCAACTACTAATTCCAACTTTACGTATTGCACTTCGATTTAAAAATATCTTCTTTTTTTACAACGTATTCTTGCATAAATTGTTCACCGTCACTACTCCATTCGGGCTGCATTGAAAAATCTAAACTAAGAGAGATAATGGCGTTATTTAATTGCTTACGAATTTAATTAAGAACCCGGCTAATTTAGCAAGCAGTAAGAAATCTATACCATCAAAAGCTTCTTGCCTTTCTATCATACAGCGTTTTTCTTCCACATAGTGTTAACAGTTAAACAGAATTTCACAAAGCTTTACATATAATCACCCCTTTCCATACTGTAATTTAAGGTTTTGTATCAGGGAATCAATGTCAGTATCTGAGCAACTGTGCACCCACTCCTCCCCTAAGCCAACAACATTATCCCTAACTTGTTATCAGTTGACTGGTGTTGGGTTAAGGGAGGGGTAGCTGCGCAGTTGCTCAGATACTGACGTTGATCCGATGACTTCTACTCACTCTCTGTTGCCATAGGGAAATTTGCCAATCTGTTTCCGTTAATGAGAACTGCCCCTCCTCCCCTGAGTGTGATAGTTGTCCCATTGAGAAGCACATATACGTTCCTGGTGCAGGACACTGAACCAACGGACCCGCACGCCACGTTGTCCACCAGAACAGTGAATGAATTGTTGACACAGTCCTTGGCCAAAATGTACTGACATAAACCCATAAAGGAGAACTCCAGCCCATCAAATGTCCTGTAGTGTGGGTCGCCAGTTGCAGAACAAACTCCTACACGAACAACATTCGGGACGATCTTAGAAATTTTTTCACTATTGTACGTCTTTTGAAAATACAAACCGAGCCCCAAAAACTAATTACTAGCGAATCTGTTCAGGACACTTCTATAAGCAACAAGAGAATACATATCAAAAACTTCAACGCGTTGAATAATTAATCTTTCATGGGGTCAACCTTCGTCGAAGTCTGAACCTGGGCTCGTGCAGTACAGTTGTAAGTCTGAAAATTTTTCTCGTGTTCATTCATTCCAAATTACATTCTTAAAATCAAAGCGAAACATTCTTACCTTGACAGTGGAGTTTCGTGCACAGCCATAGGCCATTAGCGCATGTGCTTCAGGTTAAAAAAAAAATCAAATCACTACGCTTGGAATAATTTTTTAATTTTCACGCAACTTTCAAAAAATATGCTTAACGAGTGATCCTACATCTCCAATGATAAGTATCGTTGGAAGTTGGAATTTGAACAGGAGGTTGCAAAATTGTCGAAAGAGATCTCTTTTCATCATGTCATGAGCTGTCGGTAAAGGCTTCTTAAAGGAGCTTGCATACCAAGTTGAAATTCTATATTTTCACATGAAATAAGTTTCCTTAAAATAGAAACCCTCTTATTTCAATCATACTCTTTCTTTAATTTGGCAGGTCAGTGATTCACACGGCAAAATTTTACTCGACATTTTCACGTTCTACGGTTATCTAAGGGGCTTCAGATCACATTACTTACCAGTTGTTGCAGTCGCGCTTAATGACAGAGTTTGGTGGGTAATGCTTCTTATTGTGAAGACAGGGGCATTGCTGTATAGTGACACATCGCTGACCATCATACACCGTCCCGTTACGACATTGACAGACATCAAGACATCTCTGTGGACAAATGTAATTTCCGTTTTTGATTTGACACGTCGGAGGACAGGAGGATGCACATTCGGTGAACTGCTGAGTTTTTGGACAGGTAATAGCTACGAATTCCAAATACAAAATTAAATCAATCTCTGCTCAGTTTATGTAGTAGGGACGCGTGTGCATTACGACACAGACAGATGGAGCGAGAAGCCGCGCAGAAGTGTAGTGAAAGAAGCTCCTTCGCAGCTCGCAAGCCTCTGCCTTTGCCACCATCAACAAGTTACATTTACCATCGCTCCCGCCTCAATGTATCAGCGCCTGTCAAGTGGGCCAGTTTACCCTTCTCGAGCAAATCATACCAGGAACACGTTCATAGTCATTTTTCACAGACAGCGGCAGTATCAAAGAACATGACTTTTTCATTTATTTTTCTTGCTTAGGAAAAAAATTTCTATCATATCGTATAGTTCGTTTCCCAACTAAGAGGTACGTGCTGTTCCTTTGCCATCGGGTAAAGCCCTATTGTAAGCCCTTACAAAGTTTGAGATGACCGCCTTAGCCTAAAATTTATTTCCGTAGGAGAACTGCGACAAAAATCATCTTTAAAATTTGAACTTCTTTTCAGTACTTCTAAGCTTTTTTGAAAATTAACAAAAGATACCAAGTTAAACTTACGGCATAGATCATTTGTTCTCCATTGTACGGCCGCCTTATTCCGCGCGCATGCTCTGGAGTACTGCGCGAAAGCTGAGCATGCGCAGTCAAGCCGGTCAGTCAAATTGCACTTGCAAAGTTCTTCCTCACACATTTCGATGAACGGCGAAGGATCAAGAACCCCGTGACAAGGAAAGAACGTCGCATTCCGTAGAAAGGAACAAATACCTTTTATCTAGGGACAAGAATTAATGAAATTACAACATCGAAGGAGCGGACTTGGAGGGATTATTTTGTGGTTCCTCTTAGCGCTTAGATCAACACCGTACTTCAGCTCATTAAATAGCAATTAAAAAAATAGATTCTATATCGCTTTGCGTCCGTTCTTTCATAGATCACAGATGAAGTCACCAAGTGTAGTCACATAAAGTCGAGGCTTATTGGTATACTACAACAGTAAGATAAAGCAAACAAGAAAAAAAAATCCTTCTTTCGAAATCGGACTTTTCTCTTAATTTCAAAACATCCTTCCTGAAGTGCCTGTCGCACAGTGGGCCTTAAAACAGTGGTTCAGAATTATTATTTTCCCTGTTCAACCAGACTTACCCTAAACTTCGTTTTTCATGACTGACATCCGGAATAATTAGGAAATAAGGTCTGGGCTTGAATTTTTGCCACACACTCACCTTCGTCACGTTACCTTGCGTGACCATACTGCAAGGACTCTTGGTTTCTTCTTCTCGTACGTTGGGACACATGTCAAAAACATCAGTCATGCGCCAACTATTTCCAAATTTGGCGATAGATGAAACTTGTTGACGTCCTGACGTCCTGATGTCATCATCTGGTAAGCCATTGTAGTTGCCGCATAACCCACAAGTCTTATTCTTGTGATTGGCTGAGACATGCACGTAAACCGCATCGATACCATCCCATAATACCGTTATCCCATTGTAACCGTACGTAAGAACATAGTTGGACACTTTTTCGATGACAACATTGTTCACGATGTGAGGAAGGGAAACGTTCTTGTCTGCCACTGTAACTTGGTCACGTTCTCCTAAATAAATCTGACGGAATTTTTCTCATTACTGGTCTACTTACACCACTTTCTAAACTAACCATTACATTGATAGAGATGATGGCTAAGGTAAGTTTTCCCCCAGAGCGACCCTGTAAAATTTAAGACTAAACTCACCTTGATGTCCACTCCTCCCAGGTACAAATTGACCGAGCGGCGACAGCGTGTGAGATTCTTACACAGAGGGTCGCCAAAAACGTGAACGGAGAAAAGACTATCCTCACAATCATGAATCAGTTTGTATGTACAGCGACCCGGAAAGTAAATGTAGCGGCCGTCAAAAGTCTTGATGTGTGATCGCCAAGAGAAGCAAAGGTCTGGCTCGTTCATGGCACCGGAGGGAACTGGTAGGGAAGAAATGAAAAATGTGAGTGAAAGCTCATCATTGAACAACGCTGGAATAACATCAGAAACAATACATTTTGAAAAAACTAAACGGATTCATTTTATTGTTCCCTCTCTCTAACCATAATCTAGCTTTTTTTCATTTGGCTGAAACATTTCTGTATTTTGAAAAGCGGTTTTTCATTCGCAATATAAAATTTGGGATTCAGATGAAAAAACCTTAAAAAGATCTTTGGTGGTGACAACGCCCAATATACTATTTTATTGAGAGTCCCCCTCTTCCAAGGAACTCCCTCCTCGAGTCTCCTCTTGGTGAATTGGATACTTACGAGCGTCTGACAGAATCGTTTGTCCTTTGACGTCTATGACATCTGGAAAATTGAATCAAATTTTATAGTTCAACACTTAAAGCGAAGCAGCACCTGTTATCAAAGATTTGCTGGCATGCGCGTAAATAAAGAAGTTCTTCTACAGAGATCGATCGGGCTTATCTTATAATGGAGAGCTTCACAACTCAACTGACAGAGCACTGCATTGGAGAAGTGAGAGGATTCAGATCCCTTAAAGGAACTTTTTTTTTATTCGCGCTTTTTTCCCATCTTTTACAAGGAGTTTTACTACTCTAAACTTTTAAATGTATGGAAAAGCGTACATATCGCAGGAAAAGCCAGTTAAAAGTTCTCTTTCCCTTAGTGCCATCATTGCTACTTAATTAGTTTAAATGTTTTATTCTTGGTAAAGTTCCTTTATTCAACCTTCTGTGATTTACAAGTATATATTTATTTTATATGGTCTCGTTGATCACGAACGATTCTTAATTCGTAAGCAGGCAAATCATGTATGGAGAACTTGAATTAGATACTAGGTTTCAGGTTCTTAGAAGCCCCCACTTACGCTTGGAGCGAAAATTACCGTTGATAATGATTGCATGATTGCGAGGAACCACCCATTTATTTTCAAAAGCGATGTACATGAATTCATCAAACTTTAAAAGCTGGGAGCAAATCAATTTTACCGTGAAGAGCATACCTTGATCACATGGTACATGTGCTGGCCAATCACACTGATTTATAGTGTAGTTGTACCTGAGGCCAGTGGGACAATCTTTGTAATTGGTGAGGCCATCAGAACATGATATATATCCATAACAGTTGGTAGGATCTTTGTAATCTCCATCAGGCAAACCAGAGCAGAACGATATTCCTGGAAGTCAAATTTGAAATCAGAAAACCAATAAAGTTAGAAACGGTCAAAATTTTTGATAGGAACCCCACGATTCTGAAAAAACATCTGACACCTTAACTTATTGTTTCGTGATATTTATAATATATCTCCACACAAGACATAACTTGCCTATGATAGTAGCGTGTAAGATACCTGTATGTCCCTCATAAAATTGGTAAATGGTCAAACCAAGCCCAAGATTCTGAAAATTTGTTTTGTATTGCAATCATGCAAAAACTTTGCATTCTATCTTAACTTACCTAATTGACACTGAGAGCCTGTAAAACCAGGAGCACATGCGCACTTTTCAGGCGCGATACAGGTGCCATGGTTAGCACATCCAGCAATACACAGAGCTTACGGGAATGAAGTGAGAACTTCGTTAGTTTTTGCCTTGATAAGAAGGAATTATCCGGAAAAGAAGGAGTTAAATCCGAAATTCTATTTTAGAACTTTCTTCTTACAAATCTATGTATAATGACAATTATAATCATTATTTGAAGGAATTTGGGTTGAATCTCAGTTTGATCGAGCAGGGAGGAACGATTGGAAGGTAGCTAACATAAAAATGAAAAAAATGAAAAAATTAGTAATATTCTATCTTGGTTCGCTTTAGAGTGTAGTGGAAAAAGTTTCCTCCTCTGTAAAGTGCGTGTTATCACAAACCTGTTTGACAGCGGTCTCCACTCCAACCAGGTGCGCAAAAACAGTTTCCATTCAAACAGGTTCCGCCGTTGCTACATGTCGGATCACAGAAATCTGAAGAGAGAGAGAAGCTAGTTTGTTATATATGGACAATTGCTTACTTAGTTCACTTCTCTCTTAATCTTAGCATATCACATGATTCTGTATAAGATTTGAAAATGATTCATGAAAAAAATGAATGGATTTTCCATCCTTCCTTTCTTTCCATAACCAACCTGTTTTGCACGTGGGCCCTGAGTAGCCAGGCCGACAGTTGCAAGTGTCAGGTGCCACGCAGATGCCACCGTTTTCGCACGGGCTGGAGCACAGTGCTACAAGATCAATTTAAGTAATCCATTTAACAAAAGTATAAAAATTAATTTAATTTATACACCTATCACTTGACTGGCGCAGTTTTTTTCCTCTGACGTTTTCGTGTGCACATATTAAAGAACCATACGAATGATAATTGTCTAACATCTAAAACTAGAAAACATCATTGCAACAGAAAACAAAATAATTGCAATTGAAAAAAAATCAACTTTGGCTCAAATTCAAAGAAAAAACGACTTTATATAATCAAATTCACGTGCAGATCACGAGAAATTTGTAAGAAAAACTCAGCATTTTTAATGACAAAACATTGTTAAAGAAGAAAGAAAACAAACCGTCACTTCTTACCTTTGCTGCATCTCGGTCCAGTCCACCCGCTTAAACACGTGCATTGGTTAGGTTTTGAACAGAAACCACCGTTCAGACAAGTTGGAACACAAACAGCTAAAACAGAAAATTTATCAAATTTTTCATTATTATCTGTCTGTTAGTTATATCTTAACACGAACATTTACTCTTCATTTGCAATCATCTGGACGTAAGCGAAATGTCTGTGCTTAAAAAGCCTGGAATACTACAGCATTAGGACATGGATTAACCACTTAAAGGCCGAAGTTTTCCTGAAACTCCATTTTAGTCTGCCTATTTAGTCTCCACCCGATATTAGTCTTATAAGACATTTTCCAAAAGACTTCGTTTTTCGATAAGAAAATGCACTCTTTTAAAGAGTAGACCAGGTGCAGCGAAAGAACTGTTCATTCAGATTTGAAGGTCCAGGGCTTATTCAGCCATTTACCTCGTTCACAGGCCCTTCCGGTGTAACCAGCAGGACAGAAACAAAAACCATCTGAACACAGGCCGTTGTTGAGACAAGATGGTGAACAGGTCTCTGTGGGAGGAAAAAAAGAACACCTTCAAGTTGAAAGAAAAGGGACCCTCATATAACCCTTCAGTTGAAACACCTACCCTTCCCCTAACGCTTAAACAGTCAACTGATAACAAGTCAGGGTTAATGTTGAGTTAGGGGAGGGGTAGGTGCACAGTTGTCTAGATACTGACATTGATCACAAAAGCTGTAGCTGTTATCATGGCAAACAAGAAGATAAGATGCATAATAATCCGGCATAAATTGACAACAAACTTTTTCTTTCAGATCCCAGTGCAGCATTAGAAGATAGGGTACCTTTTATAAATAGTACTTAATGTGAGGTACTCACTAGTACATTTGGTAGCGTTCACTCCATCAGCTATTGAACCGTTAGGACAAACTAGACACAATGTCTGACCGCTGTGAGGTTGATAAGTATTCCCACTACAGCCTGTACACTCTCCAGCATGTAGGTCATGATAAGAACCAGCGGCACACGGAACTATACACACAAGTAAAAATATGGGACATGAATTTATGACTCTTAATAAATCACATACAGCGCGTTTAAGGGCTGTCTATCTCTCGCATGCTTCAAAAAGTATAAGTTTGTTGCAAACGCTTCTAACATTTTTTTTTGTATAGGAAGTTCCTCTCGGATTACGGGTAACCTGACCATGGGAAGTAGCAATTGTTGCCAAGAAAATTAAGATTAACTCCGGTTCAAGATGCCACTTATACTCTCGAAAGAATTAAAATTTTAAAGGATAGAATGTTTCTGGTTTTTTATAATTTTGGCGTGACCCTTACTTGAAGGTCAAAGGAAGCCTGGTGTGTCAAGATGTAAAGCCAAAGTTAAATGATGCGCTCTATGTTTATCTAAATATAGAGGAGTAGGTTACACTAGCTAATTCACTCACCACAAATGCCACTGTTGTCTACGTGACCATACTTGCAGCACAATCCACTCGTGTCATAAGTCACGTCAACTGCTTTAGCTGAGTGGCCATTGAACTTTGGTGCCTTGCGCTCAGGTATAACTTTGAAATCCCTGAAAACCCCGGATTCTTTTACACAGTCTATGTCGATGCTTGAAAGAGAAGTGGATGGTGAAAGCTTGGATCGGAGATAGAAAACTGCAGTTATGGATGTCACGTTGATTATGCGCCTGATGTGAACGTCACGCAGTTCCACCGTCACGTCTTGACACGTGTAAAGCCCAGCTATCGCCTCGCCGGCTATCTCTCTCATCTCACTGATGGCCTGGTTTCGAGTGATGTTGGCATCATTATATTCGAGAGTTATGTTGACTTTCCAGCACTTGATCTCTTTAGAGATGGAAGCTTTCAATAAATAAAAAAATAAGTGAATTAATAACAATAGCCTCAAGATTCATCCGTCAAGGTCAATATTGATGAGGTAAGTATGGAGAATTTTTGTCTTGAAATACACCAGGTACAGGTCACGAACTGTTCGGTGGGACTTTTTTTTCAAGTACTCCCAAAACTAAGAAATAACAGCCTTCAAACTATTTTTCTGATTATGACCTAAATGACTTTGATCTACCCAACTTACTGGATGACTTTAAATCCGAAAACTGCCTCTTTTGAGTCAAAGAGTCATCTCCTGCAAAAGGATATTGAGCATCAGTTCATCTAGATAACCATTTAACTCCCAGAAGTGATTAACATGTAACGTCTCCCTATAAAATCAATACATTATCCAGCAAGCAGGTATTGAGGATTTTTAAACTTATCAAGTAGAAGTCTTAATCTTGATCAAACATCAAATTCTCGTAACTAATTTATAAGAAAATTTCTTTCAGCTGGAGGGGAGAGTCAACGATCAGATCTCGGGAGTTATAGGTTAAGTCCCTATGAATTTTCAGCTCAACGACCGAGAGTGCTTAAGGATAGACAAGTTTCCGACATGACGTTTCAAAGAGGCTCCTCTTCAGAGTTCCATCCGATCAACGAGGCAAGAGAAAACAGCTGAGGAATAGAAGCAAAAACGTACGCTGATTGCAGTTGATGCCTTTCCATCCACTACAGCATCTCTGTACCCTTCGAAGAACTGTTCTGTCAAGGTCCTTGACTGCAGGCTCAAATACGACCCTACGATCGAAGAGAACAAACATACTGCTGAGGGAGAGTCCCATGGAGATCAATTTTGCCCGCCCGCGCGCCAATTTCCCGCGTAAAATTTCAAAGAAATCACAATAAACAACCGTTGTCTCGCAAAAAGAGCCGAAGAAAATTGGATTGTTCATAGAAGTCTGTAAGAAGGAGCAAAAACTAAAAAAAAGGAATTATCGAGACTTAAGAATTCAAAGCTTATTCAAGTACGAGTACCCTGTTGATTTACCGTACTCAGTTATCTTTACCGAAAAGTTAAATTGGCTTGCGTGGTTGTTTGTAACTGGTGACATGCAATTTAGCTTTGACAGACTAAAAGCGCACCACCCTGTAATTACAACATTCGCATATGCTGTGTTGAGTGCCACGAACCAGACCATGAAGGATTGAGCAGAAAAAATGAAAAGAGAGAGAGCGAGCTTACTTAGCTAGCTATTCAATGTTCGTGCTTGTGGTGCAGTGTTTTTTTTTTAATTTTGTATTTAACGTGTGAAATGGTTATTTTGGTCAAAAGTGGTATATGAAATAATTAGGATTTTGACTATTCTTGGACGAGGGAATCCATACCATGAAAAACCTCATTTAATAACCCTTAACATTGTTGTTGTAGCAACTCTTAAGCCCTCTCAGGTAATAAGACTTACGAGCCTGAAATATTTTATTTAGTCGCGAGCCAAAGTCGCGTGCTTCGCTGACAGACAAAAACTTGGTTTTACTAATTTTTTATTATAATCCTCCGTTGCGGCTGTCATCTATCGTTCCATATTAGTTGCGTGTTTTTTCCTTTCCTGCCAAAGCCGGACGCTTTGGCCATTTTAAAACGTTCCTTTCTATTTTAGTCTGTCTGGCAGGAATGCGATTGCCGACAGTTACACGCCAGAGCCAGATGCTTAATTGGATGCTCTTGCGCGCAATCGGAAAATCATACACTTTACATGTGGTTTTTCGAGCAACCTTGCTGACTGATAGATCGAAGAATTGTTTCATTTAACTTGGAAGGTCGGGTGTGCTGCTTGTAAAGGAATCATTATCAAAAGAGCTTTTTTACTAGCACATTCAATGTTTGCTGCATGTAAGATTCAGGGAATTCTCTGCATCAACATACGTTTCCGTGTTTAAATCCAAGCTAATTTTACAGCCACTTTAAATTTGGCTGTTTGACTTCACTTGACCTCAGTTTAGAAGAATTTATGATTTCTTAAGTATTCACTTCCGATCTTCCGTTATTAAAATAACAAAACTTGAGTATTTTTTCGATGCTTGCATGTTCCGTTTCTTTCTTAAACGGGCCTGGATATGACTGGCACGATTTACTAACAGAATGAACAGCACTGCTTACTTGACATTACGGTTTGAGCCGTAGTTTTGCAAAATCTTTCAGGAGTGGACTGATATCGGGGGGGGAGAAGTACTCAGCCGCTGGCCTCTCAAAATCCCTACCACATTGTAGTTTGTTCTATGGCCAATTATGAACCCCATCTTAGCCACCTTTGGATAAATGAACGTGGCAACTTTTGATCCGGAATCTTCCCATTTTTCAATCCCTACGGAATTTTCTTACCCCCCAAAATCCTGAAAAGGTGCGACCCCATTCTAGAAACTCTATTGAAAATAGAACCCTAATATGGTCAATCCAGGCGTGAGAATGTGGCCCCATTCACCGAGACATCCCTATTAGCCTCTGACTAAGAATTCCCCCCCTCCTCACCATCCCGAGGCTAAGAATACCCTTGAAACCAAGTTAACACTCTGCAAATTCTTATAGACGAGTACGTTCTGTATTTTATGAAAACTCATTCAAGTTTATACCTGTACTGAGTGCATCGTTTAACGATTTCGCCCAGCTGGCAGGGCACTTGAAAACTCTTAACAGTTCTCCTTCTGAACTCTCGACGAACACGAATCTTGTGTGGTACGTAGAAGGTGCAGTAATGTCCTTTTCTTTTACTTTCATCAGATTTCGACGTCGTTTCAGCAAGTCTGTCAAGTTCATCTAGACTGAAAAATCAGTGATCAAGAAGATTATCATGCGCTGTTCCAGTGTACTAAAAATGGATAATGTTTTTGAAATTGTGATCGGTATTCGCAGCTACCAATATAGCATAAGGGTTCTCTTGGAGCCACCCATGAATTATACGTGGTTTAGGAATATATTTTTATTCGGAAGTTCTATTAAAATATGCTCGGCTGCGTGGTTCATATCCTTCTCTTAAGCTGCTCCATTGCGGTAAATTCTAGGAGGGGGTGGAGTGGAGGAAATAGGCGTTACCAATTCCCAGAAATTGTTTGTTTGCAATTTATCCACTGTTACATCAATAACACTTGAAATTCATGTCATCCTGACTATATTCTTGTTCAAACGAAACGAAAATCTCCTGGCCGACGGAATATTTTATTTCCCTAAACCTTCGCATACCACACCGCAATATTCTCGTGAAGGACCAGGAAAGGTCTAATTAGAAGTAGTTCTCTGCAGTATTTTTTCTGCCAACAAAAAAACAACTGATCCATTTTAAACTTGTTTACTAGACACAAAGGAAGAGCTTTAAATAATTAAAGGTGTCAAACGATCAGTTTCCTTTCATACATATCGTATTTATAGATAAAATACTTGCCCTAAAGACCCCACTTTTCCTTAACGAGATTAATGCACATGTTTTATCTCTGAAGCGATAAAAGTGTGTTTGTTCACTCATATCACTTGACACAAGGCTTGCCTGCCGAGAAATGGATGATTTTCTTAGCTTAACACGAACGAAAACTTTTTAAAAACGTTTGAAGCTGTCCCTCACTCAATGTTGATTAAATGGACGATTCAATTGAGGCCTTGAGCCAGAAAATTTCTTTCCTTCTCTGACAATGCCGTAGATGGACGAAAGCTTGGAATACAAAAAAAATACAAATGCTCAAGGCCTCAATCGAATCATCAGTGAAAACTTTTGAGTTTAAAGAAAACGATGCATCAAAAAGGTTTTCCAAAATAAGAAACCACTGCGCTCATCAAATTCTGCATCATTCCGAATTTTTTTTTCTTTTCATTTTGCCGTCTTTGAGGAAGTGTCAGTTGACGAAAAAAGGCTTAACTAATCAAGAAACAAAATTAAACGTAATCAATTAAAATCTTCAGCTGTAAGAAAAGTAAAACTTTCATTGGTAATTTGTACGCACATGAAAGGTTTACCTAAGGTGAGTTCTTTTTGAAACAGTTTCAACTTAGTGTGATTGTCGATAGCTTTGCGGCCAACAGCTTATTACAAGGTAAATCACGAAATTGCTTCCGATACTTACAAACCCAAGATTTCTTCTTGCGATTGCATTTCTCCGTAACTTGTTCCGGAATGTCCAAGCACCAACAAGACACCGTAAACCACAAGAAAAACAACATGGACAAACTTCATGATCTGAACGTCCACACCTGGTCAGACTTCACTTCGGAGAGACACAATTTAAAGTAGAACCGATCGAAACCTTTACAGATCTGCAGTTGAAAAAAACTCCTCTGAATTCTCTAGAACTCAATTCACCCTTCTATACCTCTGTCCTCGGCCAGTTTAAGAGGTGAACCCTATGTGGTAACCCTTCTAAGTACTTCTCGAAATTTTCCACTGGTATTTCCTCTTTTAACATTGGTGCACGAACAAATCTTTTGCCAATTTTTATGCTTCGTCCTGATTGGTCAAACCCTTGACCAAACGACGTCATCACCTGGTTAGTATCATCTTGAGCAGATTAATCTCCTGTTCATTGCATAAGTTAGTTATGATTCCTAAAACTTCTGCCCTTCTTGTTTGGTTTCAATATCTCGCCCTGAAGGGATTTGTGTTACAGGAAGTAGAAGGACATTCAAAGAAAAATTAAAAGAAAAATACATATTGAATTTATTATACGATGAATTCCACTTTCACTTCAGTTCTAGAAATTAAAGGCTGTGAGGTTATTTTAACAGTCTCCACTAAAATATCGTGATGGAGATCACTCACCAACAGATTAAGAAACAAATTTCTCTCAAAAAATCTGCGCCAGGCAGACAATAATCAGATTTCCCTGGAAACAGGAAACATTGATGCATTGAACGGCTCGTTTGCATGCAATCAGCCTTGATTAACAGGTTTTTTTTAATATAGTGGTGCATTTTTCGGACACCTCTTTTTTCTCTCAACGATACTCAAAGGGGCGCATAGAGAGGGTGCTTATCACGGTAGTTCTGCACAGGAGTCTCGCTAGAATCCAAGACCAAATCGGAACGTCTCTTACTGAACACACACCAACAACAATAACAACAACGAAAAACAGTGGATACTGAAGATTTTAGATATATGAAAATTCATAAATTTGCACTGCGGTGGAGAGATGAAATTAAGAGATCCTCGCAGCTAAGAACACTACTGAAACGAGTAGTTGTAAATAGGACCTGAAAAAACCATTCACTTGGATGTTTGTTTGGACCCAATTCATTGACCAGCTCCCAGTTGGCTTGTTAGCTCAATTGGTAGAGTGCTGCACCGGTATCGCAGAGGTCATGGGTTCAAATCCCGTACGGGCCTGAATTTTTTTCAGGTCCTATTTACAACTACTCGTTTCAGTAGTGTTCTCAGTGGATACTTTTTCATAATGGAGGTAAGGGGTCAGCAGCACCATAGACCCTCGCTAGGATCAGATAAATTATGCCGGCATAATTGTGGGCATAAAGCTACAGTCAAAGTATCGTACAGAACGCAGGCATAATGATTAAGCTTCTTAAAAGTTCCCTTGATAAGATGAATTCTGCAACCTGCTTATCTTAGTTGAACTTCAAGATTTTGATCCAATAAAATGATACTCTGAAGTTTGTTGAGCCTTTCATTCTTAATAAGTTTACCTGTTGGTAGTAAGAAGCATAGAGGGGGGTAGGGGAGATGATGAAGGGGTTAAGAGGCTCTTAGGAGCATAATGAATAGAAAAAAATTGAGGTTATTGGTTAGGTTCAAAAGCATAAATTTTTCAGCATAAATGATCTAAAACTAGTCCCCACCCCAATCAGCAAGTGGTGAATCTAATCATGACCTATCTTGACAAACATCCCCCACATTTCCTTGTTCACTGAGCCACATACTCACTACCATTCAATCAATTTAGTTTTGGCCCAGAAACGACAAAACTGTCGAAAAGCTTGTTCTGTGTCCTTCCTGTTTCCCTATGAAGATTTCAAAGAACTTATCCTCAAAGGTAGACCCACTGCAATTGAAGAAATTGGGAAAGATTTTCAAACCTCTTTCAAAGGTCTAAGACCAGTTAAGTCTCATCGGGTGAAAAAAAACATTCTTGCTTCTTGAAACGTTAAAATCATGATTGATACTCAAATCAAGGTCTTAGAACTTCAATTTATTCATTTAAATGTTGTAAAAAACAGCACACGGCAAGTGTATCAACCCACAGTACATTTACAAGTCTGAAAAGAAAAGAGCTGTTTACTGCACTTCCTCTGCCAGTCTCTCTGCCTTTGCTACAGCCTCACTGATGTCCCCTACCATGTAGAATGCAACTTCAGGCAGATGATCATATTCACCTAGAAAAACAAGAAGACATGTTAGCAAAAATATTCAAACCTTTGTGGCTAAACAGAACAGTAAAGATTTAAAAATGAACAGAAAGAGAGATAGAACTGGAAAAGTGCGGCAAACAATTTCCTCTTCCAAAAAAGGACTGAACCTTTCCAAACATGCTTTGTGTAATGAAGATATAAAAGAAAAACAAATTCTGATTTTTTTAAAATACATGTAGTTCAACCTACCATGAAGGATTTTCTTGAATCCTGAGATAGTGTCCTGACAAAGGGGGAAAAAAAAATTAAGAAAATGCTGCAGAAGTAATCTATATGTTTCAAGATGCAAACACAACTGTAATTTTCAATAATTTTGCACCAAACCATTTCTCTCTTAAAAATTTACTGGCCTCAACTAACACACATCCATCAGTTTCCATGGACAGAAACAACTTTTCTCAGTTGAATAATGAAGGAGAAAGTGAATATCATTATTGTTGTACCGGTAAGGGAACAAGCTTGCCATCGTGGCCCGTGAAAACCTCAGCAACCTGGAAAGGCTGTGAGAGGAATCTCTGGATCTTCCTTGCACGAGCCACTGTCAGTTTGTCATCTTCAGACAACTCATCCATACCCAGGATAGCAATGATATCTTGAAGAGATTTGTGATCCTACAAAAAGTAAACAAACAAACTTAACAATCAAACATGATATACAGTTAATAAAAGGGGTAAGTTTCTAAAGTATAGTATAAGAGGGTAATCTAGTATTATCAACTGAGTTGATAATGTGAATTGGCTACTGTAAAGGCTGACTTTTTGAGCATTAGCCCTTGCTCAGAGTGATTGAGGAAGGGCTAATGCTTGAAGTGTCAGCTTTTCAACTCTTAACAGAGGCCAATTTACATTATCAACTCAGTTGATCATACTACATTACCTGCATGTACATGTACAAGTTGTATTGTTAATTAACTGCAATAACATGACTTACTGAAAGGATATAAATTAGGTCCAAATCTTCCACAGAAGAAAAAATGTTATCATTACCATAAGAGATGAACTTTGTCTTACCTGCAAAATCTTCTGTACGCCTCTTGCTACCTCATAGTGCTCTTGACCAACTACATTGGGGTCCATAATACGAGATGTTGAATCCAGAGGGTCCACAGCTGGGTAAATACCCAGCTCAGCAATGCCTCGGGAAAGCACAGTGGTGGCATCCAAGTGAGCAAAGGTAGTAGCAGGAGCAGGATCTGTCAAGTCATCAGCTGGCACATAGATAGCCTATCAAGAAACAAACAGCCTTTTATCCACATGGGCAAGATTTTCTCTTCCCTTTACAATCAAAGTGGCTGCAAGCCATTGAACTTAGAAAATGATTTATGCAGTGGTGAGAAGTATAGTCCATTGAACTTATATGTACTTTGTATTTTAAAACTTATTGTTCTGAAAATGAAAATCTACCCCCTGAAAGCACTCCTCTTCTATGTCAGTTAAGGGTTTAATTCATTCCAAAGTACTATTCATCGCTGTTGTGTTTTACTGCAACACTTTCAACCTTTTGCCTAGATAAAAATGATCATTTAAATAAAAAAAGTCTTGCTAATGGCTACAGAATTATTGTAATTTACCTGTACTGATGTGATGGAGCCCTTTCTTGTGGTGGTAATTCTTTCCTGCATAGTACCCATATCAGTGGCAAGAGTTGGCTGGTATCCCACAGCTGATGGAATACGTCCCAACAGAGCAGACACCTGCAAAAAAAGAGAAACAAGAATACTTTGTTTGGCTTTTCTATTCCATGATCAATATACAAAGCATCCTGAGAAAGACATATATTAAGTACTTCCTGTGGTAGGTTGAAGCTAACTTATTTCTGTCTTATCTTCAGCTCAAATGAAACATCCTTAGGGTACTTTGAATAAAGCTAAATTGTACCAAGGATTCAACTGAAGGATCTGTTGATGTAAAAATTCCTCAACTAAGTTACTCTGTTCAACCCAGGTGAAGGGCTTCTTTACAAAGCCAGTGCCCTTTGAACATAAATAGTTGTGCGACATCACTGTTACACACACCTCTGAACCAGCTTGAGTAAAACGGAAGATGTTGTCAATGAAAAGCAGCACATCCTGTCCTTCCTCATCACGGAAGTACTCAGCTACAGTCAGGCCAGTCAATGCTACTCTGGCACGGGCGCCTGGGGGCTCGTTCATCTGACCATACACCAGAGCCACCTAACATCACAACAGAATCAACACGTTACAAAATTGATGATCAAAATAACCAACACTGAGACACCACCTAAGTCCTTGACTTAAGTTGAACTGTTGATGTTAATAGGGCCCTCTGAGATTAAGGTGGCTTTCATTTTATGATTTCGCGAGTGTGATTTGAATTCAGGCTTTCAGTGAACTATAACAGCTTATGCTCTCTTTGATGCTATATTATGCTTGTCCTGAGCAAGACAACATACACTTTTATTATTATCAAACATAACTGAGCCCCATTTGTCATGCATAGTAATATCACTAGAGGTGCTTCTGTACCGTTCAAAGGACCAAAATGTATCTTTCTACAAAGAGTATTAGCAGCCTATTTTGCAGTCCACAGAGTTGACAACTAAATATTTCACAACAGGTTCCTCAAAATTATCTGTCAATCACTACCTTGGAGCTCTTGTCTTTCAAGCTGATGACACCAGACACAATCATTTCATGATACAAGTCATTTCCTTCACGTGTTCTTTCACCCACACCAGCAAACACAGAGTAACCACCATGAGCTTTTGCAACATTGTTAATCAACTCCATGATCAACACAGTCTTTCCAACACCAGCTCCGCCAAACAGACCTGTAAATTTGTCATGAAAAAGAAAAGGGAAAAAGAAAATACATAATTCTTGGCAAAGTCAATCACAGGTTAGTCAGGATGATTTTGTCAAATAAACAAATGTCTGCTGGTATAAAGCCACAAAAACTAGAATTACAGTTTGGGTGAACAAAAAAGTACATGTAAATAAGCAAAACAATGGCTAAGAAAACATTTTTTAAAGATTTCTTTACTTCATAGACTTTAACTACAAAAAGTCAAAGCAAAACTGTCATATACAACAAATAATTGATCATACCAATCTTTCCACCCTTAGCATATGGTGCAAGAAGATCTACCACTTTAATTCCTGTTACTAGAATCTCCTGTTCTGTGCTCATTTCCACAAATTCAGGTGCTTCTGCATGAATGGCAGCACGTCTGAAAAGAGTCATAGGAAAAATAACTCTCTTTGCCATAAGAGCATGAAGTAAGACATAACACAATTTCAGAGTCTCCCAAATCAATTATAATATTTCATCTTTTCTTTATCCTTTTTCTCATCAGTTAAAAGCCAATTACTTTTTTAAGGCTCATCTGAAGGAAAAACAAATATAACTTGTTTGACTGTCTGCACAACAAAACGTAGATGATGTAACTTCTATGAAAAACTTTGTTCCTGACAGTGATTGGGAACTCAAGTTTACTATACCTTAATAAACAATGTAATCACTTACTTGTCAGTATCAACAGGTCCTCTTTCATCAATAGGCTCTCCAATAACGTTAATAATTCTTCCTAGTGTTTCTGGACCCACAGGAATTGTAATAGGCCCACCAGTATCCTTACATATTTGGCCTCTCACAAGACCCTCTGTACCATCCATAGCAATGGTTCGCACAGTGTTCTCACCTAAAGAAGTTAAGTCCATGAGTTACTAAGACCATCCCCAATCTTAATAGTTCACTAAATTCAACTTCTAAACTTTATCTTGAAAGCAGTTATAGCAAGGAATAGCATATATCTAGGTTTTTCCTCAATTCAGGCTCCTTCAATCACTTTTCTTCGCTTCTTTTTCTTTGTTTTTGCCAGGTTTGATTTATGGGGATTAACTTTCAAATTCTAGTACACTGGGAAAGTAAAATACCCATGAGTTGTAATACACTAGTGCTTACACATCCTCTTTTCAAAATTTTTATTTTTTGGATGGCAAAATGATTCATAAACTGATTGTTGGCTGTTTTGACAGATAAAATTAGACCTTAGACCCTCTGCAGACTTTTGCATTCAAGGAAAGCTAATGAATGATTTCTGGTCACAGCCATTTTTGATTTTCTAAACATGTCATGTATTTTGCTGTCAGAGACAAATGTTGAACCGTCTGAAGCAATGTAAAATGAAATAGTTGGGGGGAAGGGGGGGGGGGAGAGGGGAGCAATACCTATACTGTGGAAGCCTGAAGAGTTTGATGGGTTTTTCCAAATCACAAGTATGTGAAACTTTCTGGATAATGATAAAATAAGCAAACAACAACATTAGTTCTAACGGGCTGAAGGAATCCTTACCTAAATGTTGCGCGACCTCTAGAATGAGTCTTGGTGATCTACCCTCGACCTCCAGTGAGTTCAGAATAGGAGGGAGGGCCTCGTCAAATTGTACATCAACAACGGCACCGATAACAGCAATGATTTTACCAACTGCTCCTGGTGCAGCGGCTGGGGCTGCTGAGCCTGCCTTTGGTGCGGCAGCCGATGCAGCGGCCGCGGCGGACACGGGCTTATCGGTTGAAACATATCGACGATTATCTGGAGGAGGTAAGTTGGACATCAATCTTACTATACAAGCCGACACAATATCATCATGCAAGTCCACAAAGAATCAAATGGAAGCGCATAAAACTACAATGAAAAACGGTTGGAGACGTGAAAGTTAATTCCGGTCACTGTTTAAAGTGAACTTGAAAGTAGGAAGCAATCATTGCTAAACATGAAGTACAAAGTCAGTATCGTAATCAACGTGTCTTCCTACAAATGCCGTCCAAAGAACTCATTCCTTTAGCTAAAAATAATGAATGAATTTTCGTTATTTTTTTACTTACACAGTTGCGAACATACTGGAAGTGTTCTTTGTTGAGTTTGTCTTAGAGTGCGAGCGACAAAGTTAGGTCTGAGAGCGGCTCTTGCCGCACGCCGTAATCCGTGGACCAACATGGCGGCTGAGAAGAATGGTGAAGGAGCTACCGGTGACCATGTGACCAACGATGGTTTTTGACGGATAGTAACGAACCTTTCCGAAACTTTACGGATACTCTTCGAGCGCAGTCCCCACGGTCAGCAAGCACAACATGACATGCACACGTGATTAAATCATGATATCAACAGCAGATATCGATTCCATCCAATAGAATTCGACATAAACACACGCTCCTCTGTCTGCTGCAATCAGCGATATTCTATCATGTAACTCACGTACATGCAAAAATTTTCTTTCTCTTGGCTGTGTCCCAGAGAGGAGTCTTATTGCTGTACGAAACTGAAGTTTCTCTTCGGAGATAATTGCAGGAAGAAGCGAGTTTCTTTTGACAAAGTGAGTTTCTCTTGCGTTTGAAATCAACCAGGTGCGTTTCTAGGCCCTTCAAAATTTGGCGGGAAGAAAATACGCCTGTACCTATAAAACGTGCTCTTAATTGGTTTGCAATGCTCCTCGCGAAAAATATTGGCATGATGTCAAGAGGGTGATAAAATCAAGATCATGAGAGAGCTTTTGATTCTAACAATTTTTACGAGTTTGAAACTGCCTCGCTAAGCACTCACTGTTTATACAGAGGATTAGAATATGCGTTTCAAAGTCGGTTGTATTCCATAGTTCGAATCAGATTGTCACGGAATGCCTTGTTCGCATTTGTACTGTAAATGTCAACTTTAGTACACTATATATTATGGTTTCCTAGTTTTTATTAAATCCCTTTTTCTTGATGTTTCATTTAACAGATGTGGAAAGCGTGATCTACAGAACCTATGTAGCGGCGAAAGGAACAGGAATGTGTTTGCATTTTGTAGGGAAATTGTCTACTTTCTCCACTAGATGACGCATGATTCAAAGATCAGACGAGCAAAGAGGAAATTTTTCGATGAATCAAGTTAAAATAAAGTTTTTAAGGAGGACTTCATAGGCCTGCATAACTCAGCTGACTGAATGCTTTATTCATTGTCATGGAGGCAGCTGATCTTGTATCGTAGAAAATTAATTTTGTCCGCTCAGTGAGGGATGTGCATGCATGTACATTATGGCTTACAAATTACCAACACGGTATTTTATGCTGTGTTCTTTTATGATTCTGATGTTTTGGATGTTATTAAACGTGGTTTCTTTTATGTATTTGGGGTCGAACGATAAATATTTAACCAAAGGATACGGTAGACATCTTCAAAACGACAGCCCGTCGGATGATTTCGAGAGAGAGATGATAGCGCAAGAGAAGGACCCTAGCACTTTGGGTTTAATTCGAAATAAGGAGGATCAGAGAATTAGAGAAAACGGTTACGAGAAACACGCTTTTAATGAACTTGTTAGCAACAGATTGGGGTTTTACCGTGAAATACAGGACACTAGACACGAATTGTAAGTAGCCAATTTAAATGTATTTAACTGTTGACACAATTATGCTATTTGTTGAACTCTATAATCTTATAAACCATTGCTTACGATAACTGCTGCCTCCCCCTAAGTGATGGAAATCTGATGGATGAGTTCTATGACTTAAGCAAACATATGGTAAATAGGGAAACGCAAGATTTCTTTTGATCCAAATTTTCATAACAGCATTACAGGTGATTACAAGCAATCCTATTAGGGGGACATCAGTGGGAGGAACGCACAAGGGTCATGTCATCCGTTTAAATGATCTTGAGACACTGCTGCTTCATAGTGCTCTCCAAGTGCTACTGTGCTAAAATCTTCTTGCTCTCTCTCCCAATTCCAGAGCAATTTTTGATGGAAAGGAAGTTTTCCAATTTATATTGCCCCTCAAAATTCTAAGAATGCTCTTTTTTTAAAAAAAATCTATGCTTGTTTATTTAAACTCTCAGCCATTTCCAAATGATCCATAGGCCAAGTAAGTTTTGAAGACCCAGGATTTTAAGAGAAACTTAAGTCATTTTCTTGGGGCTGAATTTTGATAAAGGAGGAGATTATTTCATTTATCTATTCAAAATAATTGTTAGAGAATTTTCTCAGGGGAAGCACATCTATAGAGTATCTAGGGAAGGCAAGGTCCTCCAAGCCTGCCATAAAGTATGCTAGAGATGATTACTTCAACCCCAGATATACTCCAATCAATTTTCCAAATTAAGTGTGTGAGTACTTAATAATTATTATTCCTCTTTATTATATTGCAGGTGTAAATCAATGACATACTCTTCAAATCTACCATCAGCCAGTATTATCATTTGCTTTCACAATGAAGCATGGTCAACATTATTGAGAACTGTACACAGTGTCTTGAACAGAACAGCGGAAAATCTAGTTCATGAAATAATCTTAGTTGATGACCATAGCAGCTTAGAAACATTGAAAGATGAACTTCAAAATTATGTAAAAAAATTACCAAAAACCAAACTATTGAGGACAGCTCGACGTGAAGGTCTCATAAGAGGGCGAATGATAGGAGCAAAGAATGCAATTGGTGAAGTGCTAGTATTCTTGGACAGTCATTGTGAAGTGAATAAAGATTGGCTTCCACCACTTCTGGAGAGGATAAAAAAAAATCCAACTACAGTTGTTTGTCCAGTGATTGACATGATTAATACGGACACCTTTGATTACCAGTCCTCTCCCTTGGTGAGAGGCGGTTTCAACTGGGGTCTTCATTTTTCTTGGGAGCCTGTGCCCAAGCATTTGCTTGTGAAGCCTGATGACTATGTTCTGCCCATTAGGTAAGGAAGAAAGGTTTTTAACATTTCTACTTGGTTTACGGTGGTCAAAAATGCGTAATCTAGTCTAGTCTGCACAGAATTTGGATAGAATTTGTCACTGTACTTATGTTATTGTCAATAGACCATGTTCTTGCTCATGAGTAAAAGATTTGCATTTGATTATTTTTCATCCCTTATCTCACATTTTCCTGTAAGCTTAACCCTTTAACTCCCAAGATCTGATTGTTTATTCTTCCCTCTACCTGCTACATATATCCTTGTAAATTAGTTTTGAGAATTTGGTATAAGATCAAGACAACAACTTCTACCTGATGACTTTGAATATTCTCATTACCTGTTTGCTGGATAGTGTAAGGATATTATAGAGAGGAGTTTCATGTTGATCACTTCTGGGAATTAAAGGGTTAACAATAAAATCAGATCACAAACTGGATATCCTAGAGTGTAGATCTCAGCTGAGATCTTGGGTGTTTAATCTGTGGAATGAATATTTGGAGTTGAACCTTCTTTTGCAATTATCAGTCAATTAACAATTATTGCAGCTTGTGCAACTGATCTTCCTGCACTTCATGGTTGTAACATGGCTTTTCTCTGAATTCTTGTTGGCTCCAAGTGATAGTTTCCTTTGTTTTTATTATATTATTTGTCATTACTTTGTTTGTTTTGGGCTACTGGCACTTTGAAAGAGGTCCTTTGGGTTGATTTTACCTAACCATGAAAAAATAAGCCATGAGTACTGGTAATTAATTTACCTCTATTAACAGATCACCTACCATGGCTGGAGGCTTGTTTGCCATGGATCGTAATTATTTCAATCAGCTTGGTCAATATGATGAAGGAATGAATATTTGGGGAGGTGAAAATCTGGAGATCTCATTTAGGGTAAGTAATACAAGTATCTCACAGATGCAACAAAAACTCAAGAGAAGCTTCACCAGTTGTAGGATTGATCAGTCTCTTTAACCCTTTGAAAGAGTGGCTAAGATCTATTACCTCTAAATCAAACATTAACCCTTTAGCCCCTAAGAGTGACCAGCTTCCAATTTCTCCTAACAATGTCCCCTGAATCAAACATAAGGTCACAAGAATTAAGGAAATGATCACTAACTTATAAAGTTCTTGATTTTTAAACAAATTCTCCCTGTCAGCACTTGACGAAATGTATAGAGAACAGTAGGGAGAAAATATATACTGATGTTAGGGTGTGAAGGGTTAAGGTCACGGGAATAAAAGAAAAAATCACCAACTGAAAAGCACTTATTTAAACTTTGGGCTGAAAGGAGGCCAGGGGCACTTATTGGAAGGAGGGAGCTTAATTGAGGGTGGTGCTTATTAGGAAACTACTAATCTGTGCTGACTCTACTGTAGTTGAAGCTTAAAAAGTCAAAAATGAGGTGGCAATATAAACAAGTTTTCCTTGTATCCCTCATATCAAGAAAGTGCAGGAGGAGGGATGGGACACTTGTTCAAGGGCGGTGCTTGTGTGATGGGAAGGTGCTGATTTGTGGGGGGGGGGGGGTTGCTTATTCAAGGGAAGAGGATAATTCATGTAAAATGTAAAACTTTTTCTCATTACTGTATAGATCTGGATGTGTGGTGGTTCCCTTGAGATCATTCCCTGCTCTAGAGTTGGACACATATTTCGTAGATGGCGCCCTTATGGATCAGATTCACAAGGTGACACTATGTCATACAACTCAATGAGGGTTGCGGAAGTATGGCTTGATGACTACAAGAAGTATTTTTATCAAATCAAGAAAGATCTTGTGGGTAAACCCTTTGGGGATGTAAGTGCAAGAACTGAGCTAAGAAAGAGGTTGAATTGCAACAGTTTTAAGTGGTATATGGGAAACATTTACCCTGAACTGAGACTTCCTGAAGAAGGTGTTGGTGGTAATAGTGTTATCTGGAATGCTGCATCACGAAAAGATAAAGTGATTGTTAATAAAGGAAATGTAAGTAAAAGATCAGTTTTGTCAAACTTTTTACTCTAAGAAAATCATAAAAATGAAACTTTCCCTGGCAATTTCAGATCACTGTCAGTATCTGAGAAACTATGTACCTACCCCTCCCCAAGCTCAACAATAACCCTAACCTGTTATAAGTTAACTGTTGTTGGGTTAGGGGAGGGGTAGGTGGGCAGTTACTCAGATAATGACATTGATCCACAATTTCAATGAATTGTCTGGCAAACTTGTAATGAGAGTTTACACATCTATAAGCTCAACGATAACCCTAACCTGGTATGAGTTAACTGTTGTTGGGTTAAGGGAGGGGTAGGTGGGCAGTTGTTCAGATACTGACATTGATCCACAATTTCAATGAATTGTCTGGCAAACTTGTAATGAGAGTTTACACATCTATCAGCTGTATGGTTGTACTCCTTATGATAGCAATATTCTTGCTATGAGAATTTCTATTTGAAACAGTTGCAGCAGTGAAACTTTATGTGACACCAAAGTTTTCGAGACATGAAATTTAGTAGAAACAATTGCAGTACTAAAAACAAGTACAGTACTGATGACTTGTTTGTGCACAAAAATATAGTTTTTAGCTTTTAGATCATTTGTAGTAATGTGGTAAAACAACAGTCCAATTTTAAACTACTGGTTTTCAAATGCTTGTTTAACCCTGGACACCTAAGGGTGATCAGCTTCTAATTTCTCCTAATAAATCTCCCTGAATCACACAAATAGAGGAAATAATCACCAACTAATGAAGCTTTTCATTGTTACACAAATTCTCCTTGTCAGGGCCTTAGGAAATGTTTAGAGAACAGTATGGAGAATATGCATTGTAATATTAGGGTGTAAAGGATGAAAGCAATTCACCTTAGCAAAAGGCATCAAATGAACCATTGAACTGAATGCAATTTAAGTTTTTCTTTTGAGCCTAGAAGAGATGTTTACTGCATCTAGGATGGTTGTATAACAACGGTCTTCTACATCTGCACGAGGCCACATTGGCTGTCTTCAAATGAGTTTGGATAACATAGAGATTAAGGCTAAAATTAGCCTTTAACTTTGTACACTTGTTGTGACAGCTCTTTGTTTTATCTTACAGCTCCAGAATGTTGGTAGCCTCTTGTGTCTTGACATTCCTGGACAGTCAAGTGAAAAGCAAGCCTCTGCTTTGCTACGCAATTGCAAAGAGACCCATGCCAAGGTTAGTCAAAATCATGAATTCTACCATGCTTGAGGACACAGTTGCCTTATGGGTAACACAATGGACTTCTGATCAAGAGGCCTGGGTCTGAGCCTTGGCTGGGTTGTCATTTTGTATTTTGGGGCCAGACACTAAATACTCCATCAGGGCCCCTCTCTACCCATAAGTGGGTATTAGTGAACTTTTAGCAAAATTTGACAAAACACTGCCGCACAATCTACCATAGACTAGTGTCCCATCTAGGAGAAGTAGACAGTACTCCAGGGAACCAGTAGATGGCTGGCTGCATGGAGTGGATGGGTGACAATTTAAGGACTCTTTCCCAAGGTCTTAGGGCATGCTTCACTACAAAATATTATTTTTAAAATGTAGAGGCTCTGAAATGCTATTTTATGCATTTTCTTGGAAACCATAGTCAAAAACCTGAGGCCTGTCACACATAGCCCAAATGGGAACCTCTGCCCAGTTGCTTAAAAGGGGGAAATCACAATCTAGAGGGTAAGTGTTGGCCAAATGTGCACTGAGCCTCTCACTGGATTGAGAGTTATCCAGTGCATATAGCATTATCCACCCTTCAAACTACTGGGGTCTTTAGGCTGTCCCCTGGAAAGCATATAGGTTATTACAATTTATAGTCTTTTGATTTCTCAATGGACCCTTTTGTAGGTTTGGTCACTCAATCAAGACAATGAATTGAAAGTGGATCGCTTGCTCTGCCTTGAAGTAACCAGACAAGAGATGTTGAAAGTTATGAAATGTCATGGACAAGGAGGAGCTCAAGAATGGCGGCATAATAAGGTACGTACCTTATCATTCACAATGATGAAAAACATGGCTTTCAAATTACAAGCTGTAAATGACCAGGCTGTGGTTTGTTTGGACAAAAAATAGTACCTGAAAGGATCAGAATCACCTGTGAGAATTTGTATGGTTGCCCCAATCATATGGATCAGAGCTTTGGGCTGGATTGTTCAAAGCTGCAGGCTTTAGATAACCCAGGATTAGTGAGAAATCTGATTTCAGATGTGAAAGCTGTAGAATAAAATTCAGTCAAATTCTCTTTGTTTAGAATATGATTATTGGATGCTCTAAAAAGAATGCAGAAAAGTATCCCAAAGGGGCTTTTGAATTGAGGAATAAAGAAACCTGGATTCAAATTTAACCTTGGGTTAGTGCTAATCAACCTTTGATCAACTGGGTCTTGTACTCTTTAGGTGATTTTGGATTCTCTTACCCTTAGATTTTCTAATTTTAAATGGAGATTGTTTTCTTATTGGTCTTGATCATAAAAACAAAGTTTGATTGCATGGTGTACTTGTCTGGTGAGCAGTTAGGAAAGGACTCTTGCTGATGTTGGTGATTGCAAAGTAATCACCAAAGTCAGGTGCTTGACATTCACAGTTCTTGTCACAAAAATTCACTACACTCATTCATTGATCAAGGAAAACTTGGGTTCTATCTCTTGAGGTCAAACTCTTTATTTTTAACTTTTCTTTAAGGTCAAACATTTTATTTGCAACAGGTTTACTTTTCAGGTTCAAGGTTTAATTTAATCTTCCCTCTTTATGTTTAAGACTCTGCAGTTGTACCACAGAGCATCTGGTTTGTGTATGATGTCTACCAAAAAATCAACTGTGAAGATGGAAATCTGTGATGATAGCCTCACCCAGAAATGGTACTTCACAACTGACTAAGGAGGAGAAACTGATTTAAAGAAGTCAGGCAAACTCATCTGTGGGAGAGTATGTGATATCTTGAAATAATGTCAAGCTGATAGAAGGTGGAAACCCATGTTAGCTGTCAGACCATTTTTCACCAGCTATGTTTTGAATTGTGATTAAATAGAAAATGAGTATTTTTTAAATGATTCTAATATCAATGTATGGCCAAAGAAAAGTTTCTCAAATATGTCCCAGAATGCTGTAAATCATATCTCATCACTTTACTATTTATTGATATTGTGAGAAATTACTTTTTTTGGTCATTCCTGTTTGTGAAAGAGTTTAAAAAGGTTACAATAGGCTTAACTCTTTAACTCCCAGATCAAATTTGTAATTCTCCTTACTGTTAACCATACAATTCTTATGTTAGTTCAGAGAATTTAGTTCTGGATCTACTAATCATCCCCAAATTTATATATTTTTCTTTATTCTCATTTCTTATCTATTAGATGTTGTATTGATATTGTAAGGAGAAATTCTGTCTTGGTCACTCATGAGAGTTAAATGGTTAAGATAACACTTTTGAACTGGCTCACTAATTTTATATTCAGACTTCCAATTAAGTGGCCTTTCCCTTCAAGGTTACCTGGACATCTTGATGTAAAACATGGATACTGCCTCAAAAACTGAAAAATTGTAAACAAGTCTACAGACTATAAAATGTAAATTTAAGGATCTCATGGTTATATTTTTGTCCAAGAAAAAAGAACTTGAAAAAATTTGTTCCCTTCAATTCCTACACAAAAAATGACATTGAAATTTACCGCAAAGTTCTCCTTTCTCTATTGAACATTACGATGTAAACAATTTATCATTTTATGCTTAATTCATGGAAGGAAATTATTGACTGTAAATTGTATTCTATTTATCAATGTTACACAATCATATTTTCAACATGGATTAGGCAGTAATTAATTTTAACTCAAGATGCTTGTATATTATGTAATAAATATTTGCTCTGCTAAATCTGTTTTGAACAAATATGGGTGTCAAGCGTAGGATGTTGTCCTTCAAAGATGCCACCTACATTCCCTGATGATGCTGTAGATCGGCAAAAGCTTGAAAACCAAATTATCATAGCAGACCCAGCCTCACTTGATTTACATGTGTGACTAAATATAGGTGTGTTTGGCTAGATCCAGTTTAGGTCTTGTAATCTATTGGGTTGAAGTGCAAGTCCAGTGCTCTTCCACAAAAATCTTGGAGATGAAGTTATCCGATAGTTTTCATGGATTATTTGATTTGCAAATTTTGACCAAATTTTGTTGTTGTTGTATCCCAGCCTCACTTCTTAACATCAGTATGTATATTCTCCATACTTTTCTACCCCTATTTTTAAGATATTGACAAAGAGAATTCATTTAAAAATCAAGAGCTTTCTCAGCTGGTGATCATTTCCTTTACTTTCATGGCCGCAGTGTTTGATTCACCAGTGATACTGTGAGGAGAATTTTGATGCTAGTCACCTTAAAAGTTTAGAGGGTCGCATCTTCTGGTCCTACTTTGGGACCCTTTTCTTTTATTCATGTACTTTTGATTTAAATGTAGTTTTCATTCTATGAGCATGCAGGAATTGCTACAATTTGGAAAGAGAGCTGCAGGAACACTTCTTTTCTTGAAGTTTCATTTCCAAGTTTTCTCTTTTGGGCTTTAAATCAGCACTTGGACCAGTCCCTCCTAGATATTCTCTTAATGTGCCTCCCTTGAAAGTACTTTTAGACTTTTGCAGCATATCATTGGTCTCCTTATAATTTTCACCTCAATCCCACTCTACTGTTTGTTCATGTCTGAGTGGACCCATGGTCCTGAGCCAACTGGAGGGCAAACTAGAAGTCTTCTCTCATCTTGTGAGATGGAATGAGGATTGTCAGTTCTGGAATAGTCACCTTTGGGGCAAAGGATGGAATGGTGTAGAAAAAAGTTCTTTAGGGGGAGGCTTGGCCACAAGAAAACATTTTTGACAGAGAAGGCCCAAGTGTTAATGTTAACCCTTCTGCAGAGCAAATTGAGAAATTGGGGGTTGTGTGAAGTCCATAGAGAAAAAGACAGAGCAATGCTATTGGTGGAAACATGGTAACATGAAAAACACAAGAATAACTTGAATGAAGCATTGGTTGATACTGTGAGGAAAAATAGTGCTCACATGAAAGATAAATCTTTTTGGTTAAGTTTAGTGACTTTCTGAGCTGCCTAAATGCAGAGAAAGGCTGCATGTTGCTTAGAATGATTAGGGAAATTTTAAGTGTCTAGTGACTGATTTGGATACCTTTTCATCATCTTCTCTATGTTACAAAAGTTTTCTTGGGAATCAGTCTCCTAATTGTCTTCCTGGGTTGCATTAACAATACTCAGACATTTTCCTGACCTGAAATTTATTTTGATTAAAACCTTTATCAAAACTCTACAAAGTGGAATAATAAAGCAAAACAAGAAAAATAGCCTCACATGAAGTTATAATGAATTTATTCAAAAGAAACTAAAAATCCACTTGTTGAGAAAGCTGTCTTGAAAGAGACATGCACATGCAGGGATCCCATATACATCAGCATCAGTGCTCTTTCAAGAACTTTCCTCAAAAGATCAAGATAAACTACTGACAGCTTAAAATATTAATGGTCCAGATACAAATAGTACTACTTGCCCATAAATGGATGTAAAAATATTCAACATCTTTTCATTTGAGAATTTTTTCGGGAGAGAAAGAGGATATACAGTTGTTACGGCAACAAGTGAGCAAATTATGGCCAAGACAATCTGACTAAATTACCTTCCTCTATCCTTTAAAGCATTGGCCAGTAACTGGAAGTGACCCCAGTCTCCACTGATAGAGAGACAGAAATGCAGAAAGCTCAGGACTGAAGTCAACTTAGTTTAAATGAAAAGGAATGATAGTTATTCATCATGATTCCTTGAAGTTTTATGGACCAAGCCCTCCGAGACATTGTTATGCAGAGATAACTTGGATGCTTAATGAAGTAGAGAAAACCTGCTTCAACCCTTCTTAATTAATACATACAATACCTTAACCTCAAATAAAAGTCACAAAAGTTTGCTAAAAGTATAAAATTCCCTTAACTTAACCTATTTCCAAACTACAAGATCCCAATCCTTCTTCAAAACCATTTCCATTTTTGCCATCTACCTAATATGTCTCTCTTTCCTCCACTGTTGAAGAACAGTGGATGAAGAACGCACTTCTTGGGTCAATTATACTAACAAAAGTCAAGTAGATGTAGTAAATGCCCTGGCTTTCCCTTCCAGAGGATTTGATCAACTTGGAATCAGGTGATAGCATGTAACTTGGTAAATTAAGTGTTTTTTGCCCATTATCTTTCCCGACAGATTTGTCTCCCACCAACTCCTCTGCTACATTGATAACTGCTGTATTTTTTTTTATGTAATCAGCACCAAGCTGATTATTCCATAGGCCCAGGGGCGTGATTACTGAATGCTGTGAGGAAATGAATAGCATTATCAAGATAAAGTTTTTATGTAGGGAGGGGTTTGCAATCCAGTTGTAAGAAAAAAAACAAAGATATAAGAAGAGGAACAAAGAAAAGGCAAAAAAAAATGAAAAGAATTCCAAGCTACTTATAAGAAAAATAGAAAAGCATAATGTGAATGCATAAGTGAACATATTAGCATAAGTGAACACCCAGGACCAAGAAAAAAAACAAAGGGGAAATAAAACAGGAACAAGACAGAAAGCCGGCAAGGAAGCAATGAGTTAATAAGGATCACAAAGAAAAAAAAATAAAAAAATTAAATGAAGATGAAAGAGAATCAAAGGAACAGAAGAAAGGACGACAAAACAAAGAAATGAAAAACCAAACGACAAGGTAGAGCCAAGGAGTAAACAAACTAAAGAAATAGTAGAAATGAAGAAATGAAAAAGGGGAACAAACTGCATACTTACATGTTCCCTGCAAAGGTCTCAACACCAAAAACTTAAGAATATCTGACAGAGATAACACCCCAATGCAGTGACCTTCTTTATCAACAATTACAAGACGATGAACCTAGAAGCAAAGATATCAAAAACACTGTTAGAGAGTTTCTTAAATTTAAAAAAAATCACAGACTAGAATGCATTTTGATTGCGAGTCCCAAAAGCATTGTAAGTGACTAGCCCAGGCAATAGCTAAGGAGACTATATACTGAACAGCCTAGCAGTTTATACTATCTTTCTAAACTGAGCAGCTGGCAGGGTTAAGTGTGCTAAATGATGAGCAGCAAAGAGGCCTGAAGAAAAAAAAAACAAAAACATTCAAAACTATTTTTGTCACATGGCAAATGCTTGCCACCACATTGGAGCACATAACACCTCCAGCTATGCAAGCCATTATGTTACCTACCCCTGCATCAGTTAATCTGTCAATTATGGTGTGTAGTGTTTCATCCAAGCAACACGTATGGACTCCTTCAAATCCCTGCAACAAAGAAAATATTGTTTGAACAACTTTATTGCACCATTATGATTTACTGAAATCGGTAATGGCCAAGAGACATTTAGTCTACAGATGCAGCTTCAGTTCAGTGAACTTCCCTTGTAAGGAAAATTGCGCCAGTATCATGTTAAAAATGCCTGAATCAAAATGTCTAAAGCAGGGCAGGAAAATACAAACGAGCAGGTGGCCATTGGTTTCAGATTTGTACCTGATCTGTTGAGAAGGTGGAACAGGTTTTCTAAATTAATCACATAGCACAGTCGAGCAAAAACAACACAGTCAAGGATTACTTTCAACATTTGTTTCACAATCAAGAGCTTCCCTGGTTGATGATCATTTCCCATGACCTAAATGTTTGATTCTAGGATGTTGTTGAGGGAAATTAGATGCTAGTCACTCTTTAGGGATCAAAAGGTTAAAGTGCATTGTTTAACAGTAAAATGATAACATTAAAAGAATGCTTGGATATTTTGCTATTCCATTTATCACTCCAGACTTACATCTGCTCTGTGTTCAAGTGCCTTCTTTACAGTAATATCCAGGTTATTGTAAGTTTTCTCAGCAGCCAAATTCTACAAAGAAAATACAATCATCTTTAGTTGAGCAAACCTCTTCAACACTCAATTGAATACTACTCTATTTTGATTTAAAATTGTTGAATACTTACAATAACATCAAATCTTGCATAAATATCAACTACAACCCCTGAAATAGAAACAAAGAACATTGAAAAAAGGTTCAAATTACATCTCAAGTTTCAAAGTTCATTTGAGAATGATATCAATAAGTGAAAAATTGCTATTATCACATGAAAAATTCTATTCAATATTTAAGGAGACACCCCTACCCTTAGTCTGAAGTTTTTCTTAAGTTACCAAAGAGAAAAAAAGTATATTAAGCAAATGTTGACTAAACAGGCTTGGTTGTTATAAGATTAATTACAGTGCCACAGTACTACAACTTAGAATAATTGTTTATCAAAGAATTTTGCATCACTCTTTTTAAGAAAATTCTTGACTTCAGCTTGTCTTTGTTTCCTTTGTTTAACTTTCCTCAAGAATGAAATCTTATGAATGAAAACAGAGAAAACAAATCATACCACTCTCGTCAACCACTGGTAAAGCAGAAACTCTCTTTTCAGAAAACATATGGAAGGCTGTTATCAGTGGAGTCTCAGGAGATATCTAAGAAAAAAATTTCTCACATTTAAAGATAAAAGCATAGACTTTCTAATTCTCTTGGATCATTGTCCACAGCACGAACAAAACAAGAGCCACAGAAACACAAAATTTTTCCCCCACTGCCCATATTGTCACATGCTGGCTCTCTAAGAAATGATACAGCCAAACTAAAGACCAGCATATCTAAGGATTGTTTGCCAATGTTACGAAAGATGACAGAAAAATAGAAACAGCAAGTAGGATAACATTGAGTATATGTTGGCATCATATTAAAAGACCAAGGTAAGTAATCAGAAGGGGTCAGAAATTTCAATAGTAATTGCTAAGTCTTGAGCAAGTATTAACCCTTAATGTAAAACAGAGATAACAGCAACAAAGGATCCACTTGTATCTGAGTTTAAGAGGCCCTTCTGTCATGGTGTCTAGATTCTGATCAGGACTAACATGCTCGCTTTCCTTTTTCACTTCCATTGTGATGAAAATCATCATGACCTCATATACCCCAACAAAACAATAGGGATAAATACTATTGTAACATGATACAGCCATAACCATTTACACTATTAATACCTACCACAGCTACATCACGGTACGTTCCAATTCCAAGTTCTTTCAGTGTGTTATTCATGAACTCCGGTGGACTGGTTTGTGTCAACTGTCAACAAAAAGTCAATACTTACATGCACTTATTTGAATACAAGTTGTTACAATTTAGCTTACTACTAACAAATCCAATTACTTTACACTGATCACTGGATAAAACATTAGTAGCTCTTCTAAACAAGCCAAACCATCTCCTTATTTCAATTTTCCACCACACCCTTCCTAAAACTCAGAAACAAACCCCACAGCATTCCTAACAATCAACCCAGTAAGTCTCTATCACATTATATTACAGGCATGCATTTGGTAAATACAGCACAGCAATAGTGCAGAAAGACCAAAATAGGTGATGTTTTGGGACAGGTCGTGGCCTTCCCCATATTTGCCCTTTTATTTGATCCTTATTTCTTTCTCACCCATCTACTAACCAAATGGCTGAAAAATCTACCACATTTAGTGGAGTTCAGTTTGTGGACAAAGAATTAAGTCTTCAGTACATAGTACAATGAACAAAATTAAGCATGCACTAATGGATCAATTTGGGCCTGCTGTGCCCCAATTTCCTGTGCAAAAGGTGGACAGAAAATATAACAAACAATAACTAGCAAAATTTGCAAAATAATGATCTGCAAAAGGCAAAAAAGGTTAGGGAAAGAAAAACCTAAAACTTCTCCAACGTAAAGACTATTAAGCTATGGGTTTCTTGACGATTAACACTGTTTTTGTTGGTTTTTTTTTTTTTAGCTTTGTCAAAAAGTTATACTGGTATAAAACACCATGGCTTGCTTATATGTCTAGCGAGGCTACATGAGTCTGACAGCCTGAATGCACACCACCTAGCCACTTAAACAACCACACATGTGCAGACGTTTGACTGCTGTGTTCTTAAAGCTACTGTACATCTCAACCTTTTAAACTTACAGATGAAAACATGAATCGCAGGATTCTCTTGTGGGTCAGGATATAAAGAGCATTTCCTGTTACAGGATCAAGTACAGGAAGTCGATGGATTTTATGCTCCACCAATGTCTTGACAGCATCAAGTAGACTGTAAAATAATGTTAAACCACAACTTACTTCAGGTGTATATGTAGCTCACTAACTTTGAAATAATATTAGTCTTTCTATACTCGGAGATCATTATTGTCAGTACCTCTGCATCGGTGATATTTGAATCAACTCAGGCCTCAAGTTGGAATCATCATAATCTTCACAGGAAAATAAAAAGGCATCAGAAACCAGAAGTTATTCACAATAATTGCAACCACAGTTGTAAAAGATATGTGGTGACAAACAGGGTGAGGTTCTAAAAATCTGTGGTGCTGCATCGATAGAGCTACAGCAGGATAATTTGGTTTTACCAACTGAACTGATAAGTAAACGTAACTTGGCCACAGTAGAGCATTCCTAAAGCTGATACTTCTAACGAGCTAATGCTTGAAACATTCATGAACAGTGTTATGTCCATAAGCAGTGTCTGGGTGTTTGAAAAAATACATGTATAAGAAAAATAGTAATAAATGTACAGCACAGAAGAGTCTTCTTTTGTTTCTTGAAGAAAATAGGAGGCATACATGAATGCAGGGGCTACACATGTACATTAATTGTGTCACCTTATTTATAGACTTTCTCGTCTTGGCAACAAATAATAAGTGCTTGCCCCTTTCACTCCTAAGATCTCATTTATTTTAAAAAGTAATTCTCCTTTCTGTCTGCCGTACAATTCCAAGATTTGGTATTGGATCAACGGATAATCCCCTTGTTCATATTGTTCTCTATTCTCATCACTTGTCTGCTTGATAGTGTATTGATATTGTAAGGAGAAATTCTGTATTGATCACTCATGGGAGTTTAAGGTTTACCTCGAAAAGCTTGAATATCATATTCCTCTAATTCATCTATTTGGACCTGAAGAATAACAAAAGGTTATTGACTTTAGATTAAAACTATTACTTCTGTGCAACGCATGCCTTGTGCACACTATAGTATAACCAGCTCCTATTAATTCAATACAGCTCTTACCAATGGTGACTTGTAATAGTGGCGAAGAATGTTGATAAAGTCTGAAATAGTAAGCATTCCTGCAAACCAGAGCAGAACACATTAACTTTGTAACAAAGAATGTTCTCCATGTTGTCCATTTGTACATAAATACAGTAGAACACAAAAGACAGAATTGATGACACAAAGTCCTGTTACCAATGGAGTCCAATTTGGTCTGTAATCATACAACTGATTAACAAAATCGGGTAACTGCAAGGCGGGAGTCAGATTTTTTAATCACTTGTTTGGTTACAGAGAGAATTGATGACGCAAAGTCCTGTTACCAATTAATCAAAACTATGACAAAATTCAAGAAAGAAACTAGGTCAAACTAGGCTTCAGCTTTATGTTTTCATAAAAAAAAAAAAAAGAAGTTAACTCAGCAAAATGTGAGACAACAATGCGAGCACATGACATGTTCTGTCCACTTACACAGCCATGGAGTGTTAACTGTCCCTTTAACTCTCCTATGACACTGTCCAATTACAAGCATGACACATACACTGTCCTATTAGAGCTCAAATCAGGCTGGTAATAACTAATCACATTTGAGAATTTTTTCATAGTTTTTGATTGACCTCGAAAAAGTTCCAATTTCCCTTGATCCTGTTTTTTCAGTCATTTACTAGCTAACTCAAACCCCTGACAACCTCAAACCATTTTTTTGTTTCCCTAGGGAGTTTGAATTAGCAGGGTTTTACTGCAGCCTGTTCCAAGTTTTCAGCAATTAAAACAGTACAAGTAAACCGTGCATAATCAGTGTGAAATAATAAATAGCTTCAAAGAAGCAGTAGAGAGAAAACAGAGGGAGGTCTGGATCTGGTTGGGTCCACTTACCAACAAAGGTATGTTTTTCACTGTCCCAGAGAGGTGCAGATCTAACACCTAACAGAAAAATACAAACAAAACATTTGACATCCAGCAAATAGTTTAATCTTGTCTCATGACTTAAACATTCTGGTACTTAGGGCATAAGCCATGTGAATAAGCTCAGAGACTAGACATTAATAATGCACATAATTTAAACAAAGTTGTTTGTAGAGTGCTTACCATTGGCAACCAGTCCAAAAAATGCTTTCTTAACCTAATGCAAATAAAATTTAAAAATTAATTATAAAATATTAAATGCAGCTTAAGACAACAGACAAACATTTTAATGACATTTCAACAGTAAGACAGACGCAACAATAGTGCAGTACTATCAAGTGACTTAGCTCACCCTTAGCTTGGTATCAAACACTACAATCTTGGAGCTTTTCGGCATGATGTCGTAACAAGTTCTTGTCTTGAGAAAGTTGGTATACATGTAGGTTTCATCCTCATCTGACAAGAAGGAGAAACGCAAATGTTTATAAGGGATATTGTACCACAACAATCAATGAGAGAGAGGGTGCAAGTTGTCACTGTTGAAGGCTAAGACATGTAGATAAAAAATCTGACAGTTACTTTTAAGGGCTGAAAGAGTCCAAGGTTTGGTTATAAGAGAGGCCATTACAATTGTACTGTAGAACTTGACATCCCACAACCCTTTCTTTTAAACAAATCCTCCAGCCACAAATTGAAAGAAAATAATCAATTTGTCAACTATTCAGAAAGTTTGGAGAGGCCAACTTAAAAGTCCTTTAAGGCATCATTGTGGCAACTGTTTGCTACATGTTACCTTTTTTACAATTAGATGCCATACTGCTGTGTGTTTGTTCAGTAATAGGTTACAGATGAGGTCAGCTGGAACTCCTTTACAAACCTCTTAAAAATTAATGTTTTACATATGTGCAGTCTGGGCCAGGGTTTTGGAGGGCAAAGTACTGTTCAACATTCCATAAAAAAACTTACTAAACTTACTAAAGATTTTCTAAACATTTTATGATAAAAAAATAACTTTCCACAGAAATACACTATAAGACAAATTCACCTGATGTTGCATATTCCATCATGTCCTCCACATCATCATCTTGAGCCTTAAAAAAAAAATGTTTAAACATATCAAGACTGGTACATTGAGCAGAGCTCAATATAATGGCTGGTCAGTGGACAATGTCTGCTCAAATACAGGTTTTGTCCGCTCAACTTTTTGGATGGCAGGACATTTTGTCCTATTGTCTGTAAACTTAAAGAAGAATTTAATTCCAAGCTAAGTTCAGGTTTGAAATACCACTGTATCAATTTTTCCTGCATTGAGCTTGAGACTGCATGTACAATAAAAGTGTAGTAAGAATACTTGTTTTATAAGGAGGATGGGATTTCTTGAGATATGATGTACAGTAATTGATGTTTGTCGAGCCAAAAATGCCTCATATCCAAGCAAAAATAAGTTTGACTGGATAACTTGATTGGCACCAGCTAAAAAACAATTTTGAGACTTGTTGTGAAGTACATGTACTTTGAAAGCCAAGCATTCAAAAAGAAATTTCAGATTGAAAGCTCAAAAATTTTTATCATTTGCTATTGTCATGAACTCCCTATTTTGCTAAACCAAAGTACACTGTAGCTCAAACTTACAAAGACTTGACCTGCTCCTCTGCCATCATCTGCGATCCCTTCATCGGATGTCACCTCACCCCTGGTCTGCCTCAGTTCCATGAGTTTCTTGCTTGGTGAACGTGACAAATTCTGGATTTCAAATGGCTCACTTTCCATCTGTTCCTCTTCCAGACCTGCTGTTCTTGGCAATGAGCTACTACGAGCAAAACTCCCTGACGGCGAATCTGAGTTTGTTTCAGGGGCTGATGAGCTATTTGACCTCTGCATCTGCTGAAGATAGTGCTCAACCTCGCTGGTGTCACTTTTTCTGTTCCACTCCAGGACCCATTCCCTTGATGACTGTTGTTCTTGCGGCAAACCATCGTCATTTGAGTTGCATGATTGTGGATAATTCAAGCCAGGAATTACAAATGCATTGTGGTCATCTTTAACATGTAGATTCTAGCAAAGGAAATATGCAAAAGCATTCAGTCAAAAAGGAATTATTGTTGGGTGTTACACCTCATCTGGCCTGAAATCGGCAGCACATATTTCTCCTTTAAGAGCATCACTTTAAATACTCCATGCAACAGCAGAAAGTATTGATGCTAAAGCCATGCAGTATCAAAATTTCTAAACACAACAGAATGACATTTTTTGCATGGTTACAGGTTTGGAGAAATTTGTATGCATGCTGGTGCAAATGCCATTTCTTTAGTCCAAAATGGCATCAAACCCTTCTTTTACATATAAGGGAAGGTTAATAAAATAAAATACGTTATTAACAGATGAAATTTTTCAAATTCACTAAAAAAATAATAACTTACAACAGATGCAGAAACTGTGATAAAATGCAGTGAAAAAGTTATTTTCAGTTGACAAAAGTACACACAGATATATTTAATAGCTAATTCATGAAGAGAGATAAATCAATTGTTTAGTAATTATTAAATGTTTTATCACCAGTGGTTTACTGAAAACATGCAACATGACATCTAGACATTGTTGGTAATAAGGAATTGCATATTCTTCTGTAACTGCATGAAATTAAGTTTAGTTATTGTAACAGATAAAAATACGAATACAATTTACATTGTTCTTTTGTAGATTAATACATTCTTCTAAAGCAAAAATTTTAAGACAGCAGCTGTAGTTAGGAATTGACTTTACAGTTGTTTTACAAACCATTTTTAGAATTCAAGCATATGTGTCATTATCCTATCAGACATTACTAACAAATTTCAAGTTAGTTCAAGTAAATGAGTGTTTTATCATTATCACAAAAATCATCATTATTTAATTATTTGATAGATGTCACCTTTAAAACACTAAATAATTCCCCCATGAATTATAATTAACCCTTTAACTCCCAAGATCTGACTGTTTATTCTCCCCCTCCAGCTTTTACACAATTCCTGGCAATAAGGTAGTCAATTTGGTATTAGATCACGGTAACAACTTTCCCCTGATAAGTTTGGATATTCTCATGTGCCTTTTGCTGGATGATGTATGGATATTATGGGGAGAAGTTTCATGTTAATCACTTCTAGGAGTTAAAGGGTTTACGATGATAATAAATAATTTTTTTTTTTAATCAACCTATTTGTTAAAGTGGCACTTTGCCCATCACTGTTATGGAGAGCTCTGCAGACAACACTAAAATTAACTTGCATTTAGTCATTTGCATGTTGTGGCTCATGATAAGCTGTTAAATGGAACAAGTGTAGCATGTTACATCGTTATTTAAGTTATCAATGAAATTTCCATTTCAATCATTCTGATATTGTATACAGAGATCTGATCTTCTCATGGATGTTCAGGGTAAGAATAAAAATATTACTGGGTGCACAGTAGTTAAAATGAAAAATGTGTTAAGTAGAGGCATGAACCAAAGAACACAATTAACTTTATGAGCAAAAATCTAATTGCGGTTTTATCTCCCTTACTCATCAAAACAATGTAGTTGCTGCATCAACATGGCATCATTTCTTGGATGGCTTTTGCCTGACAGGTTAGCGCTCATGGTATCAAGTCTACTGTTTCATAAATTATTCTTAAGTTACTCTGACTATTCCCTCAGTTAAGATGAGATATTACATAGTTAATCAGTCAGTAATACAATTTATATAAATGTGGACAAGCATGGGAAAGGGACGCAAAAGACTGAGAGTCTAACTAGAAATTCAACTCATGCTGAAACAATGCACATCGCATTTTCCTCTCAAAGTTTCTTAATTTTCTTCAGCTAATCTATTGACAAAAAATTATATTCAGATGTTATTATTTATCATGCTACTTTTGCTCACCAAGCAAAGGTCAGTAAGATGTTAGACTTAGACTTATAATACTTAGAGAAGGGTTACAGATACAGAACATATAAAGGAAAGGTTCAGATAGAATAAATGTCTAAAATATATTACACCATTTCAACAAGTTCAATACAAATTTATCAATTATTTGTGTCCATATAAAGCTGTTAAATTAGAGAAAATTCTCAGTCTTGTATCTTAGTTTTACCATCCGTCTTTAAATATGAACTGGTGTGAGGTTCCATTGTTACACATATCGCAATATTTGAATAAGGACACAAAGGAGCGGAAAAAGTCTCTTTGAAGTTAAACGAAAACTACTTAAATATTCCATCTGTTTCTACGACAGAGTTAATAACCAAAAATTAATTTTTAATAAAATTATATACCTTTTTACACCAATTAGCATTACATTACCTCCATTTCAGCACTTCTCCACAATCTATCTCCTATTGAATTCCTGTTTCCATACTGTTCCTGTTTGCAGTATAAATGTGTATACACACAAAAATAACTATTACTTACTTTTACTTTCATTAACTTACTTTCTAGTTTACTACATAAAAATGTTGAATCAACAGCTTCAGAAGTAATAATTTGTGTACCATACTACAGTGAGAAGTGCACTTCTGCATTGGTTACAATGGCAAACAAGAATTGCACTTTTTTCTATACAGGACTTCCTTGGGAATGGTATTCAAAAGAATGCCAAATAATTTATTTTCAGCAAGTTGAGATCCTTCTTTGGTCAAATAAGGTTACCAATACAAGCAACCCAACAGCCTTTAAGAAACACCTTTAATTTTAGTTTTACATGCTTGCAACTCAAAAATGAGTAAAGTTAGCCGCAAGTTTTTTTTTTTTCAATTACCAAATTGCAATTAACATATCAAACTTCACCTGTCTAGAAACTGTAACAAAATCTGTAAAATCATGTACAATTCAGACCCAGTTAAATTCTTTTTTTATGCTAAGGGTGGCAAAGATTTTTACAGTTTTCTTATGCAGTTCAACCATTGAAATATGGAGGAAAAGCAACAATCCCAAATAATAGCCTTGTTTTTACTGAAATCAGAATACTCTAGCTGTACAAAGGAGTTGAGCTTAGGAGATTTGAAAAATCCTTTTAAATATTATGAAATCAGAATGAATAAACATGTACATCCAAGTACAAGTCATGTTTCATGTATATATTACTTGTGGTTGTTAAGTATGTACATGACTGTATACTGTAACTGAATAAAGGGGATAAGTTTCTAAAGAAACTGTGGTGCTGTGTTGATGGGAGAGTATAACAGGATAATTTAGCATTATCAACTGAGTTGATGACATTAATTGATCAACGTAGAGAGTTTAAAAGCTGATGTTTCAAGCATTAGCCCTTTGTTAGAGTAACTGGTTCAGTAAGTGGCTCATTTACCAGATAAAAAAGTAAAAATTTGAACTGCAGTATCAACTAGACAATAAACTGGTTCAGCTTAAAGACAGCCAGGCTGAAAATACAATACCAATTGTGGAAAAAAAAAAACATGAATCAGTAGAGTAACTCTTAGTTACACTTTAAAGTATGGCTTGAAAATTATTCAGTAAAGCTAGGTTCACTTCACAATAATTATAAACCAGTTTCAAAAAATTAATTCTGATTTCATTACTTCAAACTAAAGATTAAATCTTAACACACATCTTCATTTGGTACATGTATGTAAGCGATTTTTCTGTGAGCTTTTTTAACGGAACCCATGAAAAAAAAAATTTGCTTTTTTTCAGAAAAATCACCCTATTCTGATACTAGCATGATGAATCAAGCACTTCTTGAGGGTAAAACCACATCCAAGATATTTTTTCAATACATTGAAATGAAAAAAGCTCACCAAACAAAATTTCCAATAATTTCTGCGGACTGCCACTGTGGTGTCAGCCATTTTTTGCATGTGAGAAGATTGGGATGAACCTTGAAGTGACCCAGTTTCCAACAATGAAAGCCTTTAGATATAAAGTAATACAGTTCTAAAACAGCAGTAAATTGCCAATGAAAACACTACATGTATTTAGAGGAAATGGTACATCTGTTGGTCATTTAAAGCAGGAGACAATTGCACAAAACAGGAAAACAACAGGAAATCAATATCTCATAGCCTTTTGTAAAACATCGAGTCATGACATGTGATTGTGGCATGATACCTTACTGACTAATTTTTTTCCTCTAATTTCCTGTTTTTTCACATCACAAAAATCAGCTAGGGAACAGAGACCACATCTTTAGAAGAACGTCTATCCCAAAATTAATATGACAGCACATTTCTTAAATTTTCAGATGTCTTATTTAACAGTTTGTTCCCTGTAATTACTTGAAAATCTAAATGTAATGAAACTCCAATTGTGTTTGAACTTTTGAAACATGAAACATGAAACTACATGTTTGCAAAACATGAGAACCTAACAGTAGTTCAAAGTTTACATTTCATAAGGTACACCATTATTTTATTACATGGTAAGTCATTTAAACTCAGACTTGGTGTTAACTGTTCCTGAAACAAAACCCTATTTAATAGCCAAAAAACTCCTCAATAAGAATAGATATTTTCAAAATTAATTATTAGTCATACTTTACAAGGAATAACACTTTTATCCCCTGTTGACCATATGATGAAGTTCAGGGTTATCATGTCTCTAACATGATATGACAGGTAGCTTTAAGCAGTCATTCCCCCACATAAACACGCTTGTAATAGTTTGATCCAAATGATTTTCTGGGGGTTCAAGGCAAATAAGACAAATGATGTCTCATGTCAATGATTTTAAATAGGCCATGATGATACAAAGCCATCAAATTACAAAAAATAAATTAATAAACACCCATTCAAAACAATTGACTGTATTCTTTAATTTCCCTTACACTTCTATTTAAAGAACTCCTTCTAAAATTACCTCTGAGTCATCACTCAGCAAGAAAACCCATTTTAGGCAATAAATTAAATTATAACATACTCCCTGGAAAATCATGCAAAAAAAATTAATTAACTGCTGTAAAATGACCTTTCCAGATTGAAGGTCATACTTTAATTGAAGAAAAACACCTCAGATTACTTTGCATAGGCAGACCTTATTCTTTAGCAGAACAAAGAATATCAAAAAGAAAATAATGTGATTAAAACCGATTCCATGACAGTAGAGGTCTTAAAAAAAGTTTTGACTCATAGAAAAGGAATTACAGAGAAATTTAACAATTAAACGCATTTACTTAATCTTCAACCAGTGAGTGGGACAGCTTTTGATTAAGAGCTTTCAATTAAACATTGTAGATCAAAAAGCGGAAAGAAAATGTCCATTTTAACTCCATCCTGTAGCTCTTGAGTAGCTATAAAAAGCTCTCATCTCAAAATATTTTTGGCAAATAAGTTAGTAATATTCCTGTTAAGGGAGCTAAGAAGTGAAAAGGTTTTAGAACCCCTGAAACGGTTCTTTCCTTCAGATTCTTAAAAATTCTCAAAATCCTCAAAATCTCTGAACGTAAGGTAATATGTTCAGATATATGGATCATAAGGTAAGTGTATGGTGCATCTTTGAACAGGAAATAATAATAACAGTCGTAATGATTTCTGGTGATAGACATTCATCCGTATGGACTGATTACAAATTAATTATAACATTCATTTCAACTAAATTATAAGCTGTGTCAATGTGTAAAGTTATGTTACTTGTGCAAAAAAAAGTCCGATACAAACAAAAATAAAAATAAGCTCGGCCAAGCTCAATTTCAAATAAGCTTTTTCACAGTTTAGGGTTAAGCTCTTTGCTATTACATGCAAATACGTAAGCCAATTATTAGTAAACAAAGAGCGATAAGACAGAAAGCTATTTGCATTAGGTGAACAAATAACAGTATGAAGTATTTTGCAGACACGTTGACAGAAACATTATGAGCTAAAAAAAACCTTAAGCTGGAAAACGCACAAGTCGATGGTATTACACATTCAAATCGCGAAAAAAGTTACTTTCTTGCTCTTCCCAAATACGCCGATTACTAGATGGCCGAGACCACAGACGACCACATAGATCAAAACAAAAGCATAACAAAAAAAACAATGAATTTATGCATCTATAACTAAAAAAGAACTCATAGAATTTGCTCTTGTAGAAAAATGCTCTATACGTGTTAAAAATAAACTTATTTAGAAGTACTTCGTGACGTTTTATGTCCTCGAGTTGGCGCAAAGTCCACACACCAGTTAACCCTCGCGGCCGTGCTTCTCTGCACACATGTAGCACTAGATTATATATTAACAAGAAATGTGAAAGCTGAGGGCCGTTTTTTTTTAACATCAAAATGAGCTCCTAAATTGCATATCTTTGTAAATCTTGCTCGATAATACCTTATCGGCGGTTACTTCCATCCCGTTCAAGGCATCAGACGACATCGTTCGTTTTGCAATAACAACTCCGCGATGAACAAGTGTGAAGATTTCTCTACACAAAACAAAACAATGCATGAATTATATAACGCGAAAAAATAATATAATTCTAAAATATAAACAACTTCAGCGTAACAGAGGGAACCGGATTTGCTAATAAATTTAGAAACAGCTGGAAACATTAATTTAAAAAAGTTTAAATTTTGTTTTGGTGTCGCTCCATTGCTCGGAGAGTAATATCAATTTAAAATCGTCACTTTCTCTCATTAACTACAAATAAATCACCGTTACCTACCAAAGCGTTCTCATCTTAAGGACGAGGTTAGCAATCGGTCGCCACAACAGCTACTTAATTACTGTTCCAGTAAGCTTTTTCAAGGCCACCTTAAACCGAGAGTCTTATTACGATTTCCCAGCTTAGTGATACGACGGGCGCCGTTTGGTTCAGCGGTCTCACTATTTGATAATGCGTGATTGTGTTGGTTCCCATACTAAATTCGTCCCTCGGGTTTTCGGGTGCAGCCACGGGTGTTAAACATGCCCGGGGTCATGCACCAGATTATTGTCATTCTGGAAAGAGATGATAGGAAGGAAACGAACTTGTTTGAATTTTAAGATCAACCGTTTTCTTCCTCTTGCTTTTTTAAAATTTTTTTTCTAATTTTCCGTGGGCAGTAAGGGCAGCATCATTAAGAGCCTTTGAGGTCAACCTTGGTCCCAGGGCCCTCCCTTGAAGGAGAGGAAGAGAGGACCCTAATAGTGACGTAGGAGTACACAGCTGAGCCACATGTCTTGACCGTTTTTTATTTTAAAGAAAGAAAACACCAGCAACAACAACCAAGACTTTTTTACGAATGTGGGACCACAGTTTAGCTACTGTCACTGTTTAATTCATTACTTGTAACAGCAATGTTTTTATAAACCCATGCACACAGGCCAGCATGAACACCCAACTCTTACAACAGCCTTTAAAAATGTATATGGTTGTATGGATACTTCTTGGGAAAGGGATAAAGGGAATCCAATTTTGACTGCAATGGTCATCCCTTAAGAACAAGCAGCAACTCAACAAGCTTGTCACCTGCACATACACTTATGAATCTATGATGATTAACTCACAAAATTATGCCACCTGGCCCTCTGGGTGTTTTTACAGTGATAGATAATGGCTCACTGGTTGTTTCTTACAAAATCAGCCATTCCTTCTTTCTACTCTAAGCTTCGTTTGTAGCATCCTGGACTTGATCATCATTACCAGTTGATCCCTATACTCATATGTTGTGAACCATTTACTGCCCAAGAGTGACATGCATCTAATTTCTTCTCCCAGTGTCACCCCTGGATCAAACATCAAGGTCATGAGAATTAAGGAAATGGTCACCAACAAAAGATCTTGATTTTTAAACAAATTCCCCTTGTCTGCACCTTATTCAGGAATATATAGAGAAAATTATGAAGGATATACAAACTATAATAGGGTGTAAAGGGTAGACCCTTTAACTCCCAGATCAAATTTGTAATTCTCCTTACTGTCAACTGTACAATTCTTATGATGTAGTTCAGAGAATTTTGTATTGGATCAATTAATTATCCCCAAATTGATATTTTTCTTTATTCTCATCACTTATCTAGTTGATATTATATTGACATTGTAAGGAGAAATTCTGTCTCAGTCACTCATGGGAGTTAAAGGGTTAAAAGATAATAAACAGAGACAAAGTAACATCATGGGGTATACTGCAAGGTTAAGAGGGAAAGAAGCTTGGATTGCTGAAGTGTAAACTAAAAATGTCACAGGCAATATGCATTTACTATTCAGGAACTGGTATCAACTAACATCTGGAGACCAACATCAAAAAATTTCGTAGAGCTTTATTTCATAACTTGTGCAGATTTTCATCCCACAATTCTAATAATAATCATAGCATGATGTGCTGACTGAGACCTGAAGTTTCAAACCCAAAATAAATGTATCAATAAATACCATTAAATCATAAATACAATGGCCAATTGTTAAGAACCAATAACTACAGACTCATCAAAAACATTTCTGCAGAACAGTTACAGAATTCCTTAACATAACTTACTTGTTACAGGCCACACATTAAAAATTACAACACACTATCAATATAACACAGTAATACCAAAATGATGTACAAGACTATGCAGAATAATTCCCAAATATCTAAGATCTCAATAAGTATTTTAAATGATGTTACTTCCTATCAGTTGAGGAATTCCAAAAAAAAAAAATTGGTCCTGCACCAATCATTTTAAAATAAGTTTGTCTTACAAAGGTGCTGAGGGACAGTCTAGCCTAACATCTGCATTCTGTAACTTCCTTAAGTGATTTCAAATGCACACAATGTCATCACAGCTTCAACTGAGACAAAACAAAATTCACCAGGAGCCTTAATCAAAGAAGAATTTGTTTCTGAACAAAGAAGAATAACACACAAACTATTGCATTAAAGCCATGATGAAGAGGATGAGAGCCAACAGAGAAATGTTCGGGACACTGGTGATGCCAATGCCTTTCACTTTCTTAGATGGGTCCATCATTAAACAGTTGGAGTAGTCAGCGTTTGGCAGGGTGTATTTGTATGACTCTCCCCACATCTTCTCGCAAAGGTTCTTACCATTTCCATACATGGCCTGGTACGACTTACAGCTGCTGTTGACAGGACAGTAATTCTCTTCATGTTTGGTGAAGTTATAGTCCACAAGAACATTTTCAACACAAATCTGATCTTCCTTACAGGCTTCATACCACTCATCACAAAAGCCAGAACAAACTGGTACACCTGAAAGGCAAATTTTCAAAAGTTGTACAACTCCCAATGCAATAAGTATCAAATAACAAAATAGGAACTTCTGGCAACTTTAATCCATTTTTTTAAACAATTGAGAACTTCTTTCATTGGTGATCATTTCTTTTATTCTTGTGGATTTAATGTGTGATTCAGGAGTGTTATATTTGTAAGGAGGAATCAAATGCTTTACAATCTATAAGGGGTCATGGAGTTACAATTAATCTGGGCCATTCATAAAACCCACCTTCTTCAACCTATAGGTACGCAAAATTTATCACAGCATACACATTGCAAATGGTTGCAGTTTGTATCAGTAAACACCCTGTTGATTACAGGCATATCCACCACACACACTATATATTGTATTTTACATCCTGTCATGCACCAGAGAAATTGATGGCTACTTTTAAGTGTCAGCAAAAGATTGAAGAATATATAGAGTATAAAAAAGATTAACCAAAGAAAAGATGACGCTTAAACACAACGTAAAGTCAAATTAAGAAGGCTACTGCGACAACAGCATGAAAACATCTGGCTTTGTTATACACCTAAGCCTTCACCCAATAAAATGAGTACTGTGATTGGTTGATTCTTGGTCACGTGCCCCTGATAAATGCAAATGTATCCTGACCATGATACAATTGCGCAGTTGTTGCCTGTGTGCCGAATACAACAGCATGTTTTTGCCATATGATTGTTTAAGGGAAAGTCTAAATATATAGCAAAGCACATAATGTATGGGTCCCAAGGGAGACTGTTTTGTTTTCCCTCTTGACCATACATTAAGTGTATAACACTAGTCTTGAAAACATGCCTGAAATGTGAAATGCAGAGAACGTGATCTTGATCTCTTGCCAAGATGTCTGCTCAGATGTAAGTGGAAACAATCATACATTGTCAAGCATAGTAAATTAGTATGCTATCTTGTATATTACCTTTCAGACCCCCTTTAAAATTTGGATCTTCATATCGGTAAACCTTGGGAGAACACTGATAAAAACATTCCTGAAAAAAAAGAAAAAAAGGCAAAGTCATTAAAACTCAACAGACAGGAAAGATTCCTGCATGACCTCGTACTGTTCTAAAACAAAGCCGAAGTCCAAAAGGCAGTCTATTTTGGCTTTGTTTTTTTTTTTTTATCCGAGAACTGTATGCATAATGACATTCGGGATTGAACAGAAATTTTTCCTTTTGGGGTGGCATAGTAAGCTTTCAATTAATGATCACTCTGAAATCACAAGACGTTTTCCTGTAGCTTCAAAGCAAAGCATGAACCACTGTGACAGCCATGTCCGGAGCTAGAGTAAATCTTTTTTACATTTGTGTAAAAGATAGGAAAACAGAAAAAGTAAGATTTAGTAAACCTGAATTTCTACTCAATTTATCGTACGCAATCACCAAGTATTTTGATATTCCTGCTAAATTTAATTTTTTTGGTCAAAATAACACTTGACAGTTGCTGAAAATCGCGTGACAAATATTGAGTTACCAAATGGTTCAATGTTGCATAATTAGTCATAAATTCTATGCGGAATGCCCTACTTGATACTTAAAAGGCTTAACAAAATTAAAATCAGAAGCCGGGCTAGTTGTCCAAATCGGCCTTTGTATAGCTGCCTAGTACTCGAAGTGAATATCAAAAACCTGCTCTCCAAGATTGTCTTCTGATTGCTTTTGTTCAGAAAAAATCACGGCGAGGCGATAGCAACAGGTGTGTTTAACGACCTCTTTCTTCAACCTGGAAACGAAGCATATTTATCTGATCCCCCCCGAGTTTACCTGTTTAACCCAAAAGGATTGACATTTTGCTGAGAGAGTACCGCAGCGATGCCAGGAATGGTTGTACAAATTGCGGGTTTCGTTGGCCATCAATTCCACCGTAAAGGCTGCGTTGCAACAACTGCTTTCTTTAAAGGCATGGCAAGTTTTGAACTCGGCTGTTTCGGGAGAGGGCGACTTTTTGTGCCACTTTCCTTCTATGCACTTGTCTACATACTCCTCTGCATTTACATAAAGGGTTTGAAGGAATATTGCAAGGAAAATAGACAAGATAAATTTCGCCATCGCCAGCGCCTTCCTTTTGTTTCGAAGTCCGTCAGCACATGAATTTGTAAGGGCAGAACGCACGTGCATGCAACGATGAGCATTTCAGAGTACGTAAACATGTGGAAGCAAATATCGCTACCCTACCCTACCCTCCAGGGGTATGAGTAGACTATGAGATAAAAATATTATAGATTAAGGTGATAAAATAAAAATTTAAAAAAACCCGGAACACCAAAGCGATAAGAGTTGATATTGTTATTATACAATTTCCCATCTTGCACAGATTTCTTCATCACTCAAAAAAAAGGGAAAATTGAATTGTTCGCCACAGACCCAGGGGTAGACTGGGGAATTTAAGGATCGTGGGAACCTGAGATTTTGTGTCCAGTCCTTCTGGTTCTAAAATAGCAGCCTGGTGGAATTTAGCCAGGTTCAGAAGTTCAGTGGCGATAGAGTTTTAGGAATTGTTTTGTCCAAAAATCGTACTTTGTAGGCCCAAAACGACAGCAATTGAGTCACCCTATGGCGTAATATACTATTTAGGGCGAAACAGATGGTTAAAGGATCGAAATGAAAAACCAAAAACGAAAAGCTACCGACTGTAAGTAGTGTTACAGACAAGTTTTATACTTTGAGATGGGTAGTATTTTGTTCATTGAATGCACTCCCGTTAATTGCAAGGCTTAGATAATAGCAGTTCATGAAAATCTTCAAACAGGTATGACCCAAATAAGATATTTTAAATGAATTTTGTATGGTTATTACAAGCAATATTTATAGTAACATAAATACTCTGAAGTGAAGGTCGTGTCATTATCTTATCTGTCTGACCTTACAGCTTCGAAAACATCAAGAAAGGCCAAGAAAAACAAGGTATCATGTTAGAGAATACCCTGAAGTTAATTTTTTATTTGTAATTGACAGAAAGTCGTGGAAAAATCGTAGTAATTCTCATGTTGAAGACGCAAGTAGGAGTTTTAAGATTCAAAATGATGATGTCTCAGTTGGACATATTTTTAACAAAAAAATGCTTCGTTATGAGTGCAATTTACAAGATTGTTCAACCAGGTGTTTGAGTTAATAGAGGGTGGCAAAGGGGGGAGAGGAAGGGGGGGAGATCCTGATCCTGTTTTGCACATGAATTTTAGAAAAATAGTATTTTACATGTCATGAGTGTAAAAGGAAAAACTTCATATCTTGCCTTACCTCGCATTTCTGTATGATTCATTGTTTTGACGATAAATTCTTCAACTTTTACAGATTCGAAAACAAAAATGCAGACACTAAACATACTGTTTTTGTCCGACCTCTTCGACTGCTGAACAACAACTAACACTGACACGACCGATTTGAATTTTAATTAGTAAGGCTTAAATTCTAGCATGCAGTGTTTATTGGGCTGTCCCATCGGACGGCATTAATGTCAATGATCAAGTGCTCACCAGAACATTCATTTGTCACCTATTAGCTTTGGGCTTAATCATGCATTATGTATTAGCAGTCACTCTGAATTGCACCCCATTGGTTGCCATGGAAACTAAAAATGTATTTGGCAGTTAACATTTTGACAACAGATTTGAAAAAAAAAGGAAAAAGGAAAAACAAGAAAAGTTTCAGTCCCTGGCTGAATCGTCAAACAAACAAATGTAAACAAAAGGTTCTGGAACTCTAAAAGCAACCAAAATATTTTTTATGGCCACCATTTTATGATTGAAGGTGGCCAAAAGGTGACACATACTCTTTGCCACCTGCTTAATTGCCATTCAAGGCCAGGCTGTAGTTTATTCTTCACCTTTCTTTAACTTATCTTCCTACCACCACATAGCAAAAACTGATATCAAACCCTTGAACAGTACAAAATTTTGAAACCTCACATCACATGTCTTTGGTCTAACTTAAACTGGAAAAAATCATGCCCCAATGTAATTAACTAATTCTTCTTATAATTAGGTTGAAGAAGAGGAGGAGTTTGTAGATGATGAGCCTGTAGATGATAGTATGTATATGTCTTTTTAATGGTCAAATTGTGCATTGTAATCCCCCTTGTTAAGCCAAGGTAATTTTGGGGAAAACATTGAAAAAGATGTTTAACCCTTTAACTCCTATGAGTGACCAAAACAGAATTTCTCCTTACAATATCAATACAATATCAACCTAGCAAGTGGTTAAAATAAAGAAAGCTATCAATATGGGGATAACTAGTTGATCCAATACAAAATTCTCTGAACTAACATTATAAGAATTGTATGGTTGGCAGGTAGGAGAATTACAAATTTGGTCTGGGAGCTAAAGGGTTAAATAAAAAAAATTGTGAAAGCCTAAATTTTGAAGATGTAGATGACTGAAGTTTCAATATCCTGTTTTTAAGGGTCTCTGCTAAATTATGTTGCTTAGTTGTTCCTAAGTGAAAACCAGTTTGAAGAGAATCACATGTTTGTTAGGATTACAATAACATTTTGGTTAAAGGCTACAAGCAGGAAGCAGGCACATTGATTACTAGCAGGTGGATGTATCTGCTACCCCACTGCTGATGAAAATCCAGATCTTTGTCAACTCGTGACTTTCTTAACCCTGTTACGGCCCTAGGAATGACTTCCTTAGTATTTCTCCCAACAATATTACCCCTAAATCAAACATTTAGTTAATGAGAATAAAGGACATGATCAACATCTAAAGAGGTTCTTCATTGTTATACTAATTCTCCTTGTCAGCACCTTGGGAAATGTATATAGAACAGTATGGAGAATATCAATACTGATGTTAGGGTGTAAAGGATTAAAAAGGCTATGGAATAATCAATGGTGACATGTTTTAATTTAATTCTAGGTGAGGTTACACCAAAATCGTCTTCTGCCACAGTGAATGATCAGGCAAATGAAGTGAGTTTAGGAGTGATTTATTTTCATTTGATATCTAAACCTGACATGACTTTTGATACAGAAATACCGATTGATGTCAAAATGGTTATCTATGAAAATCCTTAATAATTGAATTATGATTGCTGCTAGGATGAGTTTGGAGCCAAAGATTATCGTAAGCTGATAGAGCTCAAAGCAGATCATTCCTCTAGACCTCTCTGGGTGGTGAGTAGGAAGTTATTTCTGGCATAACAGATTTTAATCAGTCTTAATTATTTATAACTTAAAAGTCAATCTTTGAAATTATGAAAAAGATTATTATTAATAACATTTTCTTTACATCTGAACAAGTTAGATTAGCACTGTGATAATAATATTGGCTAGAGAGAGCCCATGATCTAAAACCCCTTGGGTTTTTCATGGGCTTCCCTATCAGCTGAAGTCTTAAATTACTTATTTCAATTGTAATTTGATAATTAAATTTGTGCCCAAAGAAAAAGGAGAAGGAAATAGAAAATCCTTTGTTTTTCTCTTATCAGGCTCCTGATGGTCACATTTTCCTGGAATCTTTCTCTCCTGTGTACAAACATGCCCATGATTTTCTTATAGCCATTTCCGAGGTAGGTCATGATATACAATGAACCAGGGGTTAATTTAAGCTCACACCAAGTTATTTGAAAACAGTTTTACCATAGCCCATTTCTAACATGATAGTGTGGAAAGATTAATTTTTTTTTAAACTTTTAAGTGCACTTGACATTGATTAATTATTTATTGTAATTAAGTCAATTACATATTTTCATTTTTTTTTTCAAAACGGTTTGTTTAAACAGCCAGTCTGCAGGCCAGAACACATTCATGAGTACAGGTAAGTACATACTTAAATTATTATTATTATTATTATTATTATTATTATCTTTATTATTATTATTAAATTATTAATAAATACAATTAATGAGTTATAAGCATTCGATAACATTGGATGATCTCTGTTTCAGTTTGCCAAAAATTAAAAAAAAAAGACTTGTAATGAGATATGCCTTAGCAATGTCCTGAAACCAAATGGGATTTGCTCTACTTGGTGTCATTTGTAATTCATTTAATAGTTTAAAATGATCTAACCCAGATTGATTTGTTTTTTTCTGTCATTTCTTTCTTTCTTTCCACGTTGTATAATAATTTATTGAAGATAAATTATTCTCAACTGGAATAAAAAAAAATGTGATCATTTTTGTGTGAGGTATTTAACATGATATCCATATACAAGACACTTGTGATAGTATGATTCAATTTTTGTCACACTGTTTTTCTTAAAGGTTGACGGCATATTCTCTCTATGCTGCTGTCTCTGTTGGTCTCCAGGTGAGGATTGTAGTCTCTAGGCTTCAATGTACACTGTTATGTAAGAGAATAAATTAGAAAAAAATAGATTCAGTGCCATTCTTATTGAATTTTGTAAAATTTCCTTATGAATCAGAGCTTGAATAGGAAACTATTTTAAATTTCTTTTAATAGCATGTTTGTTATCTCCTTTTTGGTCTCCTTTGTTTGTGTGATTTTTTTTGGTCATTTCTTTTGTTTGATGCGACAGTTTATGTTCCATAAAATATTTTGGCTAGCACATGATTGGTCTTAACCCAGCATGTGACCCAATTTCCCCCAGCTAAAACTGGGTGATATCTGAGAATATCACCCTTGAAAGGGATATTCCCCAATTTTCAAACCTTACATCCACTACAAGAATTCTTTGTTTCAAATTTAAATCAAGATTAGAGAGGGTTTTTATGGTTGTTACAGAAGAATGGAAATCTTTTTTTTGTGCATTAAGTCATACCAGAGAACAGTCTCAAAAGAAAACATCCCACATTGTATACAGTAAGCTGTTCGTAATCTTTTTTTCATGCACGTCGCAAAATATTTGCAAAGAAGAGAATTCATGGAAACAATAGCCCCTATTTGGTGCAAAAATATGTGTGAATATTTGTCCTTGGACATTATCTTTTCCTCGAAACCCACAGTTTTCCTTGTGCTTTGCTTTAGGGAAACTGTTCGCTTCTTGAAGCAGGTAATGTCTACAGGCAAATATGTGTACATACTTTCATGCCAAATAGAGGCTCTTGTTTACATTATTTCTCTTCGCAAATTAAATACAATGTTTTGACCTGTCCTTTAATTGTCTCAAGGTTAACATAAAAAATATATTATTTATGATGCGACTCTAAAATTCACCACAGCAAACAAAACGCTAATGATATTCTCTATTTTTCAGACAAGTGATATCATTGAATATTTAAGACGACTCAGCAAAACTACAATCCCTGATGGAATAATCCAGTTTATAAAGGTAAATATGAGTGGGTATCTTAAAGCGAAAGATTTGATAGAATGAGAGTGTAGAGTAATGCAATTAATGTCCTCTGCTTCCTTGAATTTATCTTTGTTAATTAATCAATGTTCTGCTCCTTTATTTGCTTGTTTTCTTTGTTTGTCTCAAGTTATGCACATTGAGCTACGGAAAAGTGAAGCTGGTGCTGAAACACAACAGATACTTTGTGGAGAGTAGCCATCCAGTAAGTAAATATTCAGAGGTCTTTGAGATTGAATCTCTCCTCTCACAGTATAGTTGATCAAGGGTATGATTAGCATGTCTGTACACTGTCCCAATGATGATGATGTATATAAAAGCATTATTTTAAATATAGAAATGCAATTTTAGTGTGAAAATTGTTTAATGTCTTTACCATTTTAAGCAATCTTATCTTAAATCTCCCAAAACATATGAGATGTTGTTGCTTAGTTTCAGGGCAGAAGGGAAGGGATGTGGAAGCTCACCTTTCTTTCCCTCCCCCCCCCCCCACCCCCTTATTAAGATTATTTTAGAACATTTACCCCCTTAATTTGAGAGGATTCCCCTCTTTATGATAATAATGAAAAACCTTATTTTAAGAGGAGACCTCCATCACTCTAAGTAGTTTTCAGCAGGTGTCCTCTAAAGATTAAGTAGGCCAGAAATCTTTAAGAATAAAGTACAATTTAACTATAAATTTTCTCAACTTTGCTATTTAATTCTTAAACAATTGGCTTGAGTTAACCTGAGTTATAATCATTGATTTTCAAATAGGAAGTCCTTCAGCATCTTCTCAGAGACCCACAGATTCAAGAATGTAGAAAACGAACAGAGGAAGACATGGAACTTGGCACAGGAGAGGACCAGCTTGTTAAATCTACTGTGAGCGGAAAGTCGTCATTGAAGGTGGATAAAGGGAAACTTGAAAGGCACTTGTACTGTATGCTTAGTTAGCCAGGTTGAATTGTAAACTGTATTGGATGTATCTAGTAGGTGTTTAGGGCATACCAATATGTTGAAAAAAGTTATTTGCCTTAAGTAAGTAACTTTATATCAAATTGGGGTAATGAGGCTGACTAGGCCCCTGGCAGTACATGCTAAAATGCTGAGAAAAGTTAAAAAAACCTTACAAAAACTGTTACACAAGTGTCCTATTTTAGAAGCTAGAGTCTGATTATAGAAACTAGCATTCAATTGTAGACACCAGTGTCTGATTTTTGGACACTAGTGTGCAATTCTAAACACTAACTTCCAACACCAGTGTCTGATTGTAGACACTGGTGCATACAATTATTCTGCCATTCAGAGGTTATGAGCTATAGCTTCATTTCCATCTATTTACTTTTCTTATTTAAAACAGTTGAATAAACCACAAGAATCTAATGGAGACTCGTCACAAGCAGCAGAACAGGTGATTCATTTACCGTGTTATAGAAATTTTTTTAGGCGTGAGAAGAAAAACGAGCAGATTCCCTTTTGCTTTTAAACATATTTTTTCAACTGGTCCTCTTGTAGTTTATAACATATGAAATATCATCAATGAAAATTTATCAAAATTCCTTAGGATCAGCCGTCAGAGGGGACATCCATTCCAACTGACATTTCAGATTATATTGAGAGAATAGACCAGGACGAAGATGAAGAAGAGGTTGGTAAAGAACCATGTGTTTGTGTATGTCTGAAGAAAAGAAACATTAAAAACCCACTTGCATGACTTCAAAGGTAAATAAATTTTGTTTATTGCTCTTTAAAAGTTTTTTTTTTCTCTTCGAACCTAATTGTGGTGTCATCTCTTTCCAGAGTCAGACTTACTCTTTTGAAGTGGCTCAAGAACACATTGAAACGTTACAGAGAAAGTAAGCATTTTTCACCTCAACATCCACACAGGTTTATCTCCTCCGAGAGCCACGCCTATTCCTCATCACTAACCTAATAAGCTCCCACCTCTCTGCTCTCTTAATTTATTATCAGCTTCATTCTGGTTCATTTACACGGAGAAACGGGCCTATCGCGCCAGAGATACTTCCGCTCCCTGCTCATCGTTACGCATGCCCGGAGAAATGCATCGTGTGAGTAAAGTGACCTACCCAAGAACATAACACCAGGACTCGGCGACGACTCAGACCCAGACTTCTCGCTCTGGAGTCCTGCGCTAACTTACAGGCCACTCTGTCTCCCATACAGAAACCTATAGATTGACCTAAAGAAAGCTCTTTACTTTCTCTTTTCAGGTGCATTGAACTGGACTATCCTTTACTAGCAGAATATGATTTCAAAAATGACGCAGTCAATCCTGATCTGAAGTAGGTGACGCTATCAGTTAAGGGTTTATTCTAAGGCGCGGCGTTGTGAGATTTCCGGCCGCATAAAATTCACGTCAAAGGGACTTTATCTCTTGCAGGGGAGGTGGTGGGGGTGGAGTTGATTAACAGAAAAATCCTTCCTACTCCCCCCCCTTCCCCCATCTCTGGCGATAAAAAATGATTGTCCTTCCTAAACGTCAAATGTCCCCCAAATTTGTCCCCCAGTAAATCGACAAGTATAAACAAATTTCATTTAATTGGCGTATTTTGAACCTTTTTTTCTGACAGCATAGACCTAAAGCCAACTACAGTTTTAAGGCCATATCAGGTATGGTGACTTTTACTCGAGTTTTACTTGTTTTACTTGTGCATATTTGTATTATTTAGATCGTTTGCAAAGTTGTAGATGACGTTTTGTATTCTCATAGCGCAAGAGGCCTTTACGGTGTGAATCAACCCCTTGCTGCTGATCCCACAACACTCCACTTGTATTTTTACTTGGCACAAGCGAATTTGAAAGGAGCATCATTGTGCCCTTTTGAGTCTCGTGGCTAGATAGAATCACTCCATTTCACTGTGCGTCTCCAATATAAATTCCCATCCACCCTCTTTTTGTCCTCACTTCCAGCGCCAAATATTTGTTATTTTGTTGTGGTCGTTCATTTTTTTCCCATCGTCCTTCATCTGAGACAGTGCCAGTGTAGTTCATGTCAAATAATCCCAGTTTTTTTCCGTTAGGAAAAAAGCCTTCGGAAGATGTTTGGTAACGGAAGAGCCAGATCTGGTGTCATTGTCCTACCTTGTGGTGAGGTTCAAAGTATATTAAAATTCTGCGCCTCAAATATGCAAGCGCAGGAATTAATCGCAATTACCAATCAGTAAATAGGCAAATATTACAGACCTGGGGGAAATTCAAAATATAAATGAACAAACTGCTTTTAGCGCGAGAAAACGCGAATAACCAAGTCGCGGTAGGTGTAACCTTGTTATCTGATTGGTTAAGATGGTGGCACGGGTTTTCTACACCAACATACGAGCGAAGTAGAGGAAAGTCAAACTCTGTTAAAAAAATAAAAAAAAAAAAGCGGAAACTGATCATTTTAGCCTCTCTGTTTGTATAAACAGGAGCTGGGAAGACTCTTGTAGGAGTGACGGCTGCATGTACTGTGAGAAAGCGATGCCTTGTCCTTTGTACTTCAGGTAAGACGCACGCCCACGTCCCTTATTCAATACTCTAGTGTCAATTTCATAGGCTGTTCGCAGACCTTCCACTTATTCTCCTGTTATCGTCCAGTGATATAAAAGCCGCCTGGGATTTTACGAACACGAACGTGAGAGGGCAGGTTATGCGCTTTTTCTCTCGCGCTCGTCCCGCGCTTATTCCCTCGCGCCTACTCTGCGCTTTTTCCCTCGCGCTCTTTCCGAGCTACCTCGCATGACTGATCAAATTTATGGCCCAAATTAGTGGCCAGCTTGTTTGATTAGCTAGTTTCCTTTAAGTATTATTTGGAATCGTTTTCTAGAGAGGTTTCAAATATGGACAACCTCAGAATCTCCGAGATTCTCCGAAATAGGCTATTTTCCCCTGCCACTTTTGCACTTAGAGAATGATATACGTTTCTTCATTTCCTCGAAGGTGTTGCAGTAGAACAATGGAGAACACAGGTGTGGCCAGTTATATGAAATTACCAGTATGAGAATTAGTACTCATCACATTTCAGGCACAGAGCTTCTCTCTGTCCGCATGTTGTATTTTTACGGTGCCATAACGTTATTCTTGTGAACAAGACATTCACTCTGAAAAAAACCATCATTCTGGCTCAAGCAGGCTGTTGGCATCCATTGTGTGATTAACTAGAATTTTAACTCCTGTCATGTTGTAGGCATCTCGCCCCACGTATTTACGGTGCTGCCTCCATTTGCTTTTTTTCACTCTAGTTTAAGATGTGGTCAACCATTGACGATCGCACAATCTGCCGTTTTACTTCAGACGCGAAAGACAAACCTGTCAGTACGTATCTTTCATGATTGGAGAGGTTTCATGAGTAGGAAATAACTTTTGCTTCCATCAATGAGTGTCATAACTGATACTAAGGTAGACGCCCCGTACTCATCTATAAAGATATACCTAACTCTCATATTTTCTTTTTAACAGATTGTAATATTGCAATATCTACGTACTCTATGGTGTCTTTCACGGGAAAAAGATCCTGGGAGGCTGGCGAGGTTGGTATTGTTTCGATATGTCTTCTAAAGGTCTATGGTTAAGGCTTTTAAAGGGCGCATTATTTGGTATCTGTGCCTTCTCTCAGATATTTTGCGTGATCTTCGAACTAAGGTACGTTTCCTCCTTCAACGTCGACCACCGATGTTACTCGAAGATCGTTATGCGAAACGACTGCTGCGAAGGAGGAAAGTTTATAAACAGCTGGTTTTTTTTCTTTTGGCAGGTCATGAATTTTATGCAAACACAAGAATGGGGCTTAATGATTTTAGACGGTGAGTGTTCCACATTTCTTGTTCCTAAAACGAGTATCCACTGAAACGCGAAAAAAGCGTCATGCCTCGATAATCTGTGTTGACCGTTTTTTAGACGGCTTTGTTATTTCCTTTTTTGGATTCATGACATTCACTCGAAAACCGTCCACTTTAAAAATGCATTTTCAATCGAGTGTCGTGAACCAAGACCTGGCGGCTGGAGTATGAAGAATAACAAAGGAACCATTGTCTGAGACCTCAAATTCAACAAGTAAAATACCTAAAGCGCCAGAAGACGTCAGTAATCAAGTCGTGATTGATTTTAGTCTTGCATCTGATTGGCTGAGAGGTTGGCGAAAGTTTTCTGGACCAATCACAAAGCGCAGTGAAGGGAAACCAACAAAATTGTAGACTACTTCCAAACTCTAATCGACAGTAACTTTGTAGAGGCCACTCGCTTTCAACAAAAATTGCTTCCTAAAGTAATCTTTGTGTTTTCTTTAGAGGTTCACACTATCCCTGCCAAGCAGTTCAGAAGAGTTTTGACAGGTAAGGACAAAACATTGCTACAAATCCTCTCATACACAACTGCACTTTAAAAGAAAAAATTATGCGAGACCTTTAGTGTTGGCATTTCAGTTAACATCTTGACCTGTGTTTCTTAATAGTTGTTCAAGCGCACTGTAAACTGGGACTCACAGCAACTCTGGTGCGAGAAGATGATAAGATTCAGGTTTGTATTCTCTCGTCAATTCCTAGGTTCCATTCCTGGACCAGGCCTCACACGTGATTTGAGTCTGTTGTTGTTTCTCGACCCTGCTCCGAGGGTTTATTTCCAGGTCCTCCTGTTTCCTTCCCTCTTACGTCGATGCCCAGGAAACTCCGCTATTCTCATATCCAGTCCTCTCACAGTGATATAAATGAGGAGATTTGGTGACGAAATGAATAGAGAGGCTGTTTTCAGGCGCGATTTTTGGATGTGCTAGTGATCTCTGTGTCCAAGAATAATCGAGATATTTATCAATAATTCTCTCTATAGGATTTGAACTTCCTGATTGGACCCAAACTTTATGAGGCCAACTGGATGGAACTTCAGAACAATGGATTTATTGCACGAGTCCAGTGTGCGGAGGTATCTGTTCTGCCTACTTCTATGCTTCTTCGTGTGAATTTACTTAGGTCTTTTATTGGGAGCGGGGCTGGCGCAGAGGTAAAAACGCTTGCCTTCCATCCGCTGTGGCCTGGGTTCCATTCCTGGACCTGGTTTCACATGATTTGAGTTTGTTGTTGCTTCTCATCCTTGCTCCGAGGGTTTTTTCCCGGGTCCTCCGGTTTCCCCCCCGTCACGAAAACTAACATTCCAAAGTCCAGTTCGACCTGGAAATAGTGAAGAAGAAGAGCCACCTCGTGAAATATCCACTGCTTAATTCCCATTATTATTAAGTTATTATTATTATTATTATTATCATTTTTATTAGCAATATTTTTTTTATCAGGTATGGTGCCCTATGACACCCGAGTTTTACAGAGAGTACCTCAATATAAGGACAAGAAAGAGGAAGGTATGACAGCAAGGAAAAGGTTGTGCTGAATTGAATGAATTGTATCGTTTTCCAAAGGTCTTAAGGATGTACTCATTTCTGAAGCCATCGCGTTCAAAAGTATGCCCGGTAAAGTGGTAGGTGACTGTTCCCGAAAGCCGCTTCGATTTGAAAGTTTTCCAATCTTGCTGACAGGTTCACGGTTTCTTTTTTCGCGAAAGTTGAATGGAGAGATCCTCTTCTTACTGTTGATTGATTAATATCCCGGTTGCTTGGTTAATGTGGTTTGCTTCGTGAAGAGTTGGGCTTAGTATGCATATTCTCCATACTGTTTTCTATACATTTCCTGTGGTGCCACAAGGAGAATTTGTAGAACAATCCAGAGCTTCTCAAGCTAGTGATCATTTCCTTTATTTTCGTGAGCTAAATGTTTGATTCAGGGCTGATATTGTATGGAGAAATTAGATGCTGATCACTCTCAGAGGTTAAAGGGTTAACTTAACCGTCTTTGTTTCAGTTACTGTATGTGATGAATCCGAACAAGTTCCGGTCTTGCGAGGTAAGATAAGATTGTGGGGATGAATACACTATAAAAACCAACTTTCTTTCGCCGCTTTTCATGTAGGTGAAAATGAAAATTTTATCAAGCTTCTCAACCCTGAGATTGTAAGGTGAACGAAGAAACTTCGCAGTCGCTTCTTGGGGAAGAATATTCACCCAGAAGGCGAGAAAAATTAATTTCTGTCTCCCTGTGTTGTACCAAGGTAAAAACTATATTCTAAAACGCTTTTATCAAATCCCTCTTTACTGTTATCCTTTCGATTTCAAAACTTTTTCCTTTATTCTTTTTCCTTGCGCAGTTTCTGATTCGTTTTCACGAAAGGTGAGCATAAGATTTCTAGTGTTGAAGTTAAATGAATATTTTTTTTATGCAAAGAATTAATGTCATTTTATGCAAAGAATAGTTCGCCTGAATTATAGTTTTTTACGTTTTTGGTGATGAATTTTTTTACTTATTTCTCTTAGACGAAATGATAAAGTTATTGTTTTCTCCGACAACGTTTTCGCGCTCAAAAAATACGCCGAGAAGCTTAAAAAGTGAGTATTATAATGACACATGAGTACATTTTACCTTTCTGGCGCTCTTGAGGGGCGCAGAACGAGAGGAGCGATAGACTAGGCTAGACGGGCAGATAGCTAGGCTGGCAGGCAGACAGACAGAATGTCTACAGGCAGGGGCCAAGGCAATACAAAATTAAACGAGGTCTTTAGTTTCTGAAGAAGCCGTGTTGCTGCGTGAGCGGGAAACTGTAATAATTGGTCAGTTGTCTCTGAACTGGTAATCGATACAATAGGTAATCGACCGTAATGAACATTGGGGAAAAAAATTACGTCAAAAAAGTTAGATTTTCGCGTCAGTGCAAGTCGGAAGTAGGGTGAACCCTCGTCAGCTTTTCAAAATTTTGCAACAGCATTTAACATAGACAACATACATTTATCAGCTTATGGTACCTTGTTGTGATCTTCTTTCTCTTTCTTCAGACCGTTTATTTATGGACCAACTCACCAAGGAGAACGGATGCAAATCCTACAGAACTTTCAACATAATCCTTTGGTTAACACAATTTTTATATCTAAGGTAAGAAGAATTTTATTTTCCTATTTTTTAAGAAGCAAAATTTGGAAATGTCTTTTTCTCCCAGTCCCTGAGAGTTGAAAATGTAATGCGAGAAAGAAACCTTTGGGATCCGCCAACAAAAAGATTTGTCATTTTGGCCAAATTTACCAGTGCAATCCTCTCTGCCATTTTTGCTATATTCGCCAGTAAACAGATGGGACATAACTTCTTCAGTTATTTTTGGCATTTTTGTTATATTTTTTATATTCGCTATGGTTTCCTTGCCAAAATTGCCATATTTACCATTAGTGATCCTTCGCCAAAGTCCTTGGCACAGTTTCGCCAAAATCGCCATTTTCGTTGCAACTTTCATTTCTGGACATAAGTGAAGTTTTTAAATATTAGAGATTAATAGCACTGGATTTTAACTCGTCTTTTATTACTTTCTAGGTTGGAGATAACTCCTTCGATCTCCCAGAGGCAAATGTGTTAATTCAGGTAGGCTTAACTTCAGGATTGTTGTCGAACACTTGACAACTTCAATCTAGCCTAGAAATCTACTTCTCAAGATCCATGACATTTAAGAATGTGTTCCTTTTTTTCTTTCCAGATTTCCTCGCACGGTGGCTCAAGGAGACAGGTTAGGCACCAGTCCTTATTCATCACCTGGGACCTGGGAGCGGGAGGGGGGAAGGTGTGGGAGGTTTTGGGTCGAAACAGAGGGGAGGGGGATCGGTCGTCGCCATCAGAGTAGAAATGGGAGACTACAGGAAATTAACTGCCAATTAACCACCAGTTAGGGGGGATCTTTAGAATATTGTTGAGCCTTGCTGGGAGATGGGGTAAGTTGTATCGCGACACAACCGAAATCCTTCACTCCCCCACTCAGGGAATTAAAAATGAATGGTCAATGTGTAATTCATTTTGGGACAACTTCGGGACAGTTCAGAAATTTAACACGCATATGATTTTCGTGATGTACGCGGCATGACCTTGTGTGATACAACGGAATTTAAATAATAACCCGTTAAGAGAACCTAAGAATTTGTAACATATTGCAAAACCTTAATTACAAAACCACCCCCTCTCCCCCTTCTTTGTACAATACTGTTTAGGATGGCTTTGTTGCTCAGCTCCGCCTTACCGTAACATTTGTGTAATTTTTAACAGGAAGCTCAACGTCTCGGAAGAATTCTCCGGGCAAAGAAAGGTATGAGTGAGTCTGTTCCCTGCACACTTAATCTCGTGGATTCACCCTGTGACCTCTAAGAGTGACCAGCATCTAATTTCTCCTTACAATATCACCCCTGAATCAAATATTATGGTCACGAGAATAACGGAAATGATCACCAACTAAAGAAGCTCTTGATTGTTCAACAAATTCTCCTTGTCAGCACCACAGGAAATATATAGAGAACAGTATGGAGAATATGCATACTGATGTTGGGGTGGAAAGGGCTGAGCCTTTACCTTTCATGTTCTTAAAGTATCAATTCATAGAATCTGTTTTCGTATATTCTCTACGTTTTGGGAAATTAGTATAGGGTAAGAGACGATCTTCGGTAGTATGGCATAAATCAGAGTTATTACAGAAGCAAATCAGTGCAGTGGAAAAATTTACAAGGAGCAAGTGAAAAGTGAGCAATCCGACTTAAGTAAATCGGAGCGAAATAGCTAACGGCGCGATTTTAGTGGAGGAGTAAAAACGGCTGAAGACCTGGGTCGGGTTCATTAGGCGACTCGACCCAAACCTCCCTTTCATTACTCCGCCATTTTACTATCGCGCTTCGATTTACTAACTTAAAGCCTGGAACAGGCTGCGTCAGATTGATCTGATTGATGAGTAATGTGGAGCGAGTTTTCTTGTTTTGATGAACCACAGAGCCAAGAAAGGCAAACTTAAACCAGTCCCACATTAAGTTTCGTATTCGGTGGAAATTACCCCATCCAAAATTTATTTGTTCCTTTCCCCTTTCTCTTTTTCGTAGATATGGCCGCGGAGGAGTACAACGCATTCTTTTACACTCTTGTCTCTACGGTAAGTAATTTATTTGAAGATGTCTCATGAGATTAAAAACAGTTCCTCTTGGAGTCGAATTGTGGCCCTTTTTATGTCGAGAGGACTGAACCAACCAGTTAGAAATCCCTTATGCCAGTTTGCTTCCTCTTGAACTTGAATGGTCAGTGGGAGTCACGGTGCAAGAAGCGTGAGACAATCCGTGCGCATGTTCAGCCGTTCTGCAGCCGTGTCCAGAGTTCAATGTATTTGGACGCGAGCAAGGTATCTGGGTCTGGCACATGAAAGAAAGGCTTGCTGGCAAACTTCCGTGGAAAAATAATGTTGCGAGACAAATCCATGCTCTTCTTTTTATGGGCTATTTTTTTTTCGGTTGTAGCGAAGAAAAAGATTTGCTTGAAGAAAATTAACGTGGGGAGAATTGAGGGGTCTTGCACTAATTCCAATTTTAGAAATAAACCCTTGGTTAACAGTTCGTAACAACTTTCTTTGCTCTGCAAGCTATTGAATAGAAATACTTGCTAATTCTTCTCTTGATGTTACAGGACACTGAAGAAATGTTTTATTCTGCAAAGCGTCAGCGTTTTCTGGTAAATCAAGGGTACAGCTTCAAGGTGAGCCCATTCTCAGCTCTACACATGTAAACCGCGTCGGAAATAGTGTTACCGGACGTGTTATATCTAATCCCGGTGAATGCCAGCCAAGAAACTTCTTAAGGACACTCCTTTTTAAGATTTTGCTTGAGAATAAATCTCCACAACCCCTCTTCAGCATCTTTAATAAAGAAAAAGTCTGATGAGTCAGTTTTTTGTAAAGCTGTGTTGTCAAAGAAAGACTTCTCACACTGTTTGTATACACCCAGCGGTAGCAGAGAAGTCGTATATGACCACGACAAGTGCGACTCGTTCTTAAGACTGGAAATACATTGGGCAGCATTTAGCGAATCCTGTGATCAGATTAGCTGCCTAAATGGGCAAGATGGGCCTATGTTGTACTCTAGGGATTGCCCGATTTGATTCCATGCCAAAAAAAATTGCGTGAAGAAGACTGACAAATTTCGTACTTTTTGGACAATGTCGGCAAAAAATTCGCATTATGCGGAAGGGGACAGTAAAAACAAAGAAAACACAAACGAATTTCTTGGGTTTATTGTGCTCCAACGCAGTTGGCTTCCATTCGTGGCTCTCTCGAAATAAACAAATCATTCTTGATTCCCATTATAGTGAGACCTTCTTGCTTTTTAATAAATCCTTTTTTAACCATGCTTTCTCGGTCAAGATGGCTGGAGATTGGCCTCTTTCCTTTTTCTGGCGTTTTCATGGATCTCGACTTCGTCTAGCCTTGTTAACCTCATGCTTAGTGAATATCGCATATATGATAATCCTCCGTTGCCTGAGCAACATTATTAAAGAAAATGAGAGGACAACAAACAAAGCCAAAAGTATTTTTGTTTTGGAAAACTTCAAATATTTTTCCTTCTAAACTGTCAACGAAAGCATTGCTAGAGAACGATAGTTGTCCAGAGAAACTTGGCTCTTTAAAGTATTCATTACGATCAAGTGTCCCTTTTGTCATAATTTTACGAAATAGCCGAGTGCTACGCGCGCTCTGATGGGTCAAAAACTCGTCTTTTATCAAACTGATAAAGTTATAGCTATTTGTACGAGCAATATATGACACTCTATGTCGGTTAGGCCTGTTGATAACCAATCAAGGATGGGTCTTTTCAAATTATATTTAATTGAATTTTTGGTCTTCTTTTTTCTTTACTTCAAGGTCATTACACGGCTGGCTGGAATGGAAGAGGTACCTATAAATGTAGACTCTATAACAATGATTACTTTCATTTTAATCGCACTTTTATTTTGCAATCGTGGTCAAGGTGAAGGTCGTGACATGAAGTGAGCTGCAAGTTGCTGATCCTATAGTATTTTTCAATACACTTTTCGAAATTTCATGGGGGATTTAGATTTTTTTTGTCCCCTGTTTGTGACAACGTTTGATATCTTTCTTATCTGTAACGTTTGCTGTTTTGCTCCGTACAAAACTATTGTCAATTTAATTTAAAAAACCTTACACTATGAGCAATGGAAGGAAGGAAACCATCAATGAGATACAGATGAACAAATTTGGTGCGAAGGTGAATAACGACGGGGAAGATTCACCCGGATTTCAGATGACTTGTTTTCATGATAAACAAACCTTGCTGCTGATGCTTTATCAAGTAATGGTCTAATATTTTTCGTCGTCCTTGGTTGAACAGGAGAATTTGGAGCTTGGAGACAAGAGAAAACAGCAGGAACTCCTACAGCAGGTATGTGCCAATAATTGCTTGCGTTACCGCGAACGACAACAAAGTTTATGGTTCTCTGTCGAACGAGAAGAGTGCTGTTTTGTTTGAAGCGATTCTACAACGAAGTGTTTCTCATACTTTGATAGTATAAACTCGCCTTCAGTTCGTAAATTATTTTCTTCCGATAACTTGGCTAATTTTTGAACACGTAAAGGTTGATCAATCACCAAGAAACTCTTCTCTCGTTCTAGTGTAGTTGATCCACATTGAAATATTTCGTGAACTGAGATGTTGGAGTTTTGCATATTTCTGCGAGAAAGATGCAGTTTCATGAGCGCATGGCACCGACGGCAAAATAGTTATCAATTTAATTGATTTTATACTTAAAAGTTATGTACTTAGCACTGAAGACAGATTTATATAACTCTGGAAAGTCAGAATGTGTTCATTGATGAGCCCTATACTTGACACCAAAGAATTGGTTCATGCTTAGCGTGCGTATATCGAGTTATGGACACACGCGGTAATTTGTACCATAATTCGCATCGCTTTTGGGATTGAAGTATCGTCTATTTTTCGTCACTTGAAAGAGCTACATGGTCATTGTTTTTAGAGACGGGTATAATTGGGCATATTTTCCTTTCATTTGAGTTCGAAAAGGTCCATCTCAGTCGGGATAGAACGGAGGAACAATCTTGAAAGGTTTGAAACATCGCGGCTAAACTCGATGGAAACTTTCAGCCGAAGTGAGATTGCACACGTCGTGTTATGGATACACGGAAGTGCGGTACATAGGGATTTTTATTATGACAGCTCCTTAAGAAATAGGTTGGCCTTACGCGCGCGCTATGATATTATATAATTTGGGTTTCGCGACTATTTGGAATGAATTTGTCCCGGTAGAAAGGCCAGTTTTTGATATACGCCCAACAAAGAGTTTCAATTACTTTTTCGACTATGAAATATTTATTGGCATAGGGTGAAGGACATCCGGTTTTTGCACCGAAACAAAACAATGCTTTGAGTAGCCAGCTCTTAGTCTTTGAATGACTGCCTTACACGTAATTGTGGTTACGTAAATGTGGATTGAATAGTGACTGTAGAGTCATATTCGAGAGACACTTGAACCACTTCCTAATTCCGCCTTCGAATTTCCTCTGCCTTTTCCTCCGCAAGTGTAATTCATGAGAAAACGTGAAGAGGAAACATTTGTCGATGACCCAAGCGGGAGATCAAGGTCGGTCGGGAGAAACAACTAAAAATCAACATGGCCAACTTCTTCGAAGCTAATTTAACAAATGTTACAAAAATGAGCAGCACTGCAAACGATGAAGCAAAAGTCCCATTAGGTATCATCATCAACAGCATCGCTTGTCCTTTCACAGTTGTACTTAACGTGCAAGTAATAATGGCTGTGAAAACGAGACCACGACTCCGAACCAACAGCAACATCTTGCTGACCTGTTTAGCGGTGACCGATGCATTAACTGGTCTTACAGTGCAGCCTTTGTTTGTTTTGGGGAGAATTCTCCGGCTCTTTGACGTTGGTGACCCCGAGAGAGTTGCAAAAGCCCACAATACTATTCTCTTTGTTGTCGTAACATCTTCGTTGCTTCATCTTATGCTGGTTACTTTTGAACGGCTAGTTGCGATCAAATTTACCATGCACTACTCGAACGTTATCACTGGGAAAAACCTAAAGTTAACAGTGGGTGCATTTTGGGGCTTTAGTTTCATCTGTGGGGCTATGTGGCAGTTAAATTTCAGACTAGTTTTATATTTTTGTATAGCTCCTGTTTTGGTTTTATGTATCCTTTTCGTTACGTCAGCTTACGTGGTTTTGTATCGTGAAACCCTTCGCCACCGAAAGATGATAAAAACTCATCAACTGCCCCAAGGAGAGGTTGAAAGATTTACTAAAGAGAACAAGGCGCTTAAGACAACTGTTTTTGTAATTGGTGCCGTAGTTGTTTGCTTTTTGCCAGCTGGGATCTCTATCATCCTCCACGTCTATGGCGTGTTTCAGGGTAACGCATACGTAACTTTGACTTCATGGATTCGAACATCCGCCATGCATAACTCTCTTGTAAATCCGCTGATATACTGCTGGCGACAAAAGGAAATGAGGAAGGCAATATTTTGTTCAAGTTGCCAGGTTGTAGCTCCTGCCAACCAATGAAAGTGAGGAAGAAAAGCGCGCTGAATAAACTTTTTAGAATGAACCGGAATACGGCTGTCCCTAACAACCAGCCTCTTTAGTCATAGAACAACAGTGGGGATTTAGTTACCTCGTTTTGTGAATAAATAAGCCGTTACTGATTAAATTTTCCCCAATCCCGGTGTTCGTTTTCTCTAAATCCCTTGCGCTAATGCTCCTTCTGAATTCTCCTTACTGTTTGCCAAATTATTCTCATTAAGTTCGTTTGGAGAATTTGGTATCGGTTCAATAAGTTACCCCATAATTGATATTTTTCATTATTCTCATCACTTGTCTGCATGATATTGTATAGTAATATAGTAAAAAGAAATTCTGTCTTGGTCACTCACGGAAGTTAAAGGGTTAAGGAAGTAGGTCTGTCAGCTAACCAATAATTAAACGTCCTTTTGATTACACAATTTCTAACACATTTAAAGTCTCAACCAAGTTTATGAAATTAGTGATATACTACGAGCGCCTCGGTCGAATTGGACAAAAACCTATTGTTTATTTAGCCTGCAGAACAGGCATACTTTTTTTGCGTTTTTCAGTGGAACAGAGGCGAGCACGAGCGCAAAAAATTTTCCTTTCGCAATCCTACCCTCGCGCGTGACTTGCCCTTCGCGCTTGCTTAGCGTTTGTCTCCGTTCGCCTGTTACATGTAGAAATTTACGCCGGTTCCGCAGGCTACGCGAGGTGTTGGAGAACACACTAGATGTTTGTAAATCTTTCGCATCTGGCTCGTGATTTTCAGGCCCTTCTCATGGTCTCCCAACATTCTGCATGGGTATTACGTAAGCTGATATTGCTTAAGGCCGTGAAAAAAGTCGTGCAAGTTTTTATCAAGACGATGTCAACCCCCTGTTATGAGCACTATGCTGATATTAAACTCCTCGTGTACGTGACACGTGACAATGTATCGTGACACTAGAATGACATCCTTTTGTGTACAAGCACTTGAAAATTTTATTTCGTGGGGGTTATTGGAGTTGTCGGGAGTTGCGTGACATTGTAGCGTGACACAGAATTGTATTTCCCTTCAGGTGCTGGCTGCTAGTGACGCAGACGCTGAGGAAGAGAGAGTGGGTAATGAAATAAACCGCAGTAGCTCGCAGGTACGATGCAAGGGCGTGGCTAAGGGAGAAGGGGGAAGTCAAGAGGGTGTTGGACCCCATTCTTAGTGATGCAAAACACCACATGTTGGTTAGACGTTGGTGTAGGATGCCTCTTGAGCTGCAAAACTCCACATGCTCTCTTGCGATGCTATGTGAGGGGGAAAAAACATGTCCTCAAGGAAGAGAGAGGGTCACATGATTCTAGACGGAAGATTTTTTGTGTCACAGGGGAGTAGGTAGTCTCTTCTAAGCGACTCTAAAAGGCAGGGCAAGAAGTGTACAAGTACTTTCCATATTTATACAAGGGAACGAGTTGAAAGGGAGGGTCAGAATTACTTCCCATTCGGACAGGAGTCACGTTAGTTTTAAGAGCACTCCACAGCTTACTCTCATCAAACCAAAACGAAAGATACTACTTCGGCCGATCGGAGCAAAGGATTCAGTACAAGTTCTTCCCGTAACGAGCCTCTGTCTTTGAGCGACCGGTATGAACTTGTTTTTAAGAAAACTTGCTATTTAGAATTTCTGAGATAAAAATATCCAGCCCCTTCCAAGCCTTGACTGGACAAGCTGTTGCTTTTAGGATGATGTGCATCTTTTCTCCCATGGGCAGTTGTTCTGAACAGTGGTATCAGGGGTTTGGGCCATCCCGCAAAGCTCACCACGTGACTTCCACTTTTTGTTGGTTTTCATTTATACTCGAGTTTTATAAAATAGATCGGATTCCCATTATGTTCAGAACTATGGAAAAAATTCCAATGCTATAGGTTCTCCACGAGAGGAGGAAACATTATTGTAGCTTTACTTACATGGGTTAATTTTTTTTCTCTAGAGCTCTATAGTATCTCGGCGCCAAGGCTCAATGGCTTCCATGTCTGGAGCAGACGATATGATGTATCTGGAATACAGGAGTAGTTCAAAACAATCCAAGTCTAGACATCCCCTGTTTAAACGTTTCAGAAAATGAATTGGAATGAACTGAGTCTAGCATTTTATGCGACTATAAAAGATTCGTTCTATGAGACTAAAAGATTGAAAAGAGACATTAGTAGACCAAGAAGGATCAGAGATGGCTAAGGATGAAAAAGTTGAAGTCACTTTGCAAATAATTCGCTAGACTTCGAGCAGTCCTTGCTTTTTGGCGAAGTTCGTCACACGAGTCAAAAAATCAGTTGGAAAGTGGAAATCGATGTTAGTGTGTCGCGCGGAACCCTGGGAGTGATGCGCACGAGTTCTCGCACGGCGGACTTAGCTTAAAAGCAGGGATTGCTTTAGTCTAATAAGTAGCTTTTCCTGTCGGAAACGAAGCAACCTGTTGACCGCAATGGAAAACGTTTCAAGACTGAAAACCTCTGCCTTCTTATGGATAGAAGTCGATCTATTCGTGCAAGGTGTTGAGATTCACGAAATTGTCTGTAATAAAAGGTGTTGCTGAAATAGTGTCATTTTATTGTCAAGTGTGCTGTTGCGTAAGACAACAGTATCGAAACGAAGTGCGCTGTGGTAAGTAGAGGAAACCGGTTGGGTGGGTCAACCGAAGAACTTAAAGGTCAATGGACCTCTTGAGCTCGTATGTTTTTTAGACACATTTTAGGTCTCAAGGGTATTCCCAACTTCAACGTCGATAATTCATGCGTACATATGCACGTAAATGAGAGGAAGTGCTCTTGAGTACGTCTTAATGTGAAACAAAACATACAAGCCTGAGCGGCAGCGAGCTCTGACTTTTTGACGCTCCAGTCACGTGACGTTTATCGTGCTCAAGATATTAAGATATCGGCTGGAACCAGTGTTATCAACTTTGATTTGACTCTCACACCATTTGGTAACGATTTAATACAGTTCAAAGTCCTTTTAAGCCTGGTTTCCATATAATCTCCCAGATTCACTTGATGTTCCCAGTTTTTTTCATCATTTGTAGCATACTTTGCGACGTTACTTCGCCCCAGTCGTCTCTGCTCAGTATTATAAGTTGCATTTAAATGGAATCTATTAAGTCGGTCTCGGCCTGAACGCAGCACAGTGCAATTAATTTTGCTCGAACGAAACTTATTGTCAACAGCTTCAGTCGATAATTATTTCAACTGTTCTAACAATTAGATTGATCTTCAACAACAACATTTCAACTTGTGACTTTTAGCTAGTTGATTTTCGTCTGCTAAAATTCACCAATTCGGATTAAGTGAATGAAATAATCACACTATCACTGATGACTGTCAAGGCCAACATTTCAAGCGACGTGACTAAAACACTTACGGTAATTCAAATGTTTTTTTTCTTTTATTGATAGGCCTGGCAAGGAATGTTCCGTGAGCAATTTGCTAATGAGGGTTCAAGGTGGTAGGCTTCCAATGATTCCCACGGTAGTTCATCGTTGTTCACAACATCGTTCTGGTAACTCCTGTGATGGGGTTGGTGCCACATTGTAACATTCCCTTTGAGGGGGACGCTCAACAGGGTCCTCTCTCTTTACCCTTAATGCCCTAACATCAGTAAGCATATTCTCCATACTGTTCACCGTACATTTCCTAAAAAGCTGTCGAGGTGATCAATTCCTTTATTCTTGTGACCTTAATGTTTGATTCAAGGGTGATATGCCCAGGAGAAATTAGTTGCCAATCACTCTTAGGGGTTGAAGTGTTAAACCTTGAGAGAGGAAAAGAGAGGACCCTGGGAACAAGGTTAAAGCCTTCCTTAGCCTCGTAGCCTCGCTTTTGTGTATATGCATGACGTCACCCGGAAACTGCATAGTATTCTGAAAGCAGGCTTATTTTCAAACGTAGGTATTTTGGTGCTGCTGCTACTCAGAAACTGAAAGCTTACCAAAAGATGTCAGGACCAAAGAGTGAAGGCGTTAACAAACCATCTTCACTGCTTAAACAGTATGAAAATGACGAAATTTTTAGTATGCTTGGTCGCCGTTGTGTGGTAAGTTGAAAAGAATCAGCTCCAAGAGTGGCGTTGTAGCAAGTTCGAGCCTCGTTCTTTTTCCTTATTTTTATTGTGACTCTTTTACAGACTCTAGCGACATCCGTAGCCCAGCTATATATTGCACCGCCTGAAAACCGTAGAGCATGGAAGAAGAAAGTTACAGGAGTAATTTGTTTTGTGAAAGACAACGTGAAGAGATCATACTTTCTTCGAATGTACAGTCTTGTGGTAAGCTCAGAACGTGTCACTTCACAACTGCACTCTAGAAAGACATCATTTTGGCCAATCTCTGTGTTGATTTTAATTCTATCTTCATCGTATTGTAGACAAAGTCGTTAGAATGGGAACAGGAGTTGTACAACCAGTTCAAATATACTCGTGCTCAGCCTTATTTCCACGCTTTCGCCGCTGATGTAAGTAGAAGTAATTTAGAATTTCATTTGTCTAATCTACTTTGTTTTCAATGTTACAATTTTAGTATTTTACCGATTATAACGTTACTATCTATCTGTGGGCAGTTAAACAAAATTAACTGGGATTAAATGAGCAATTGCCTTTGTTGTGAGATTTAAGAGAGTTTAGCTTATGAAATAAATTTCTCTATGTTATTAACTGATGACTAAGTGCTATTTTTGAAATACGTGCTATGATTGGTCAATATAGCAACCCTTGTTCCACAGTAGAGGATATTTGTCCCTTCCTGAGTTGAATGTCTTTGCTGTTGTTGAGCAGAAATCATTGGATAGATCTTCATTTGGACTTGGTGCTAATATAATAATGCAAAGCAAAGTAGAGAAAACCAGATAATTTGCTTTATCAACTGAGTTTGCAATGTACATGTACATTGGCCACCACAAAGAGTTTCTAAAGCTAATGTTTCCAGCATTAGCCCTTTGTCGGTTTGAATAAAGAAATTGTGAGTTTCTATACAGAAAAATCAAGCTAATCTAAAGGTGTTTAACATTTTTATTAGTCTGAACATGAAAGTGATCTTCAATAATGAACACTACTTAAGCAGTAGTGAAAATAAGGTCTGAAAAAAATTCAGGCCTGTACTGGATTTGAACCCATGACCTCTACAGTACTGGTGCAGTGATCTACCAAATGAGGTAGCAAACCAACTCTGAGCTGGTCATTATGTTGGTTTGAAGAAACCCGTGAAGTGATGAAATGATTGCTTAAACCGCAGTCCACATCAATGATTTTCATATATCCACAGTCTTTTATTAATCTGTTTATAATATGGTCACTCTGTGTTGTAGAGTTACAATGCTGGTCTAAATTTTGCAAATGCTGAAGAGGCCCAGAACTTTATCAATGTGATTGAAAAGAAGCTGAAGGACAAGGAACAGAGACGCCTAGGTGAGGGAAAGATTTGATTAGGTCAACATGTACATGCATTTATACAGTCACGTGGCTGAATACACCATGAACTGATAGTCAGAGCCGTATTGTTTGGAAGTGATTGAAAGGAGCAGTTATTTTTTGGTCACTACTAGGAGTGTGCGCAAGAAATAGTGTCCAGTGAGAAAAGCTGATACATCAATGCTAATTTTTTAATGATTAATTCTTTAATTCATAAGAGTGACTAGTATCTAATTTCTCATTAGAATATCACCCCTGAATCAAACATTAAGGTCCTGAGAATAAATGAAATCATCACCAACTTAAGAGGCTCTATATAGCTAACCAAATTCTCCTTGTCAGCACCTCAGGAACATATAGAGAACAGTATGGAGAATATACATATTAATGTTAGGGTGTAAAGGGTTGATTATGTTTCAAACATAATTGATTGCTGTTTATTGCTGTCTATTAAAAAATTCTTCATCACATTAATGTGGCTTTTTTTTGACATTTTATGATCAGCAACAGTTTTTAACAACCATTTTACAGAAGCAAATGACTCTCTTTTGTGTGATTTGTAGAAAGAAAAAAGGAGAATGCCTCAAGGCATGGCAAGCAGCCTGCTCCGCCCCCTGCAGTAGGGGGGAATGTGGACATTGGAAAGAGGAGTTCTTTACAGGCCAATGGTAAGAGTATGTGTAAATGTGCGATTTTAATATCACAGAAAAAGCACTCAAAATAGCTTGGGTCAACAGAATTCAAGATGACTCACAAGCCTCCTGGAAAATCATTCCTAACCAGCTCTTACACAAACATGGTGGTCTTGCTTTTCTAACAAAATGCAACTTTACACCAAGCACACTAGACCTCGATGATAAGCTTCATGCATTTTACAAAAAAGTGTTAGATTATTGGTGCGAGTTTAAAATCTCAACGGGCATCGATTCCAAAACAAATCCTAAAAACGAAATAGTGTGGAATAACAGAAAAATTCTTATAGGAAAAAAACCTGTCTTTTACCAAACTTGGTATGATGCCGGTATTACTAAGATAAGCGACTTGTTAAACCAAAATCAGAAATTTTTGAAGTGGCATGAATTTGTCACAAAATTTAATTTAAATGTGCCTTTCACCACATACTATGGCTTGGTCAACGCAATCCCAAAAGACTGGAAAGCTATTCTTACAAACCCTATTCCAAACGTCACACACACGAACACTACTGTAAACAGCCTAAGAACCAGTTCTATTTACTCTTCTCTTTTAAACACTGTCTTTGTTCCTCCCACTGCCGAAACCAAAATTCTACGCCACGGATTTACAAAAACTACCATCAAGAACGTTTATCTTATGCCATTTAAAGTTACAAACGAAGTTAAAATAATAATGTTTCAGTATAAAGTGATTCATAACGTGCTTCCAACTTGCGCCACTCTTTACCGAGACGGCATTTCAGAGAGCCCCTTATGCAACCTATGCAATACAGAAAAACAAACGTTGCATCACCTATTAATAAACTGCACACTAATACTTGACTTCTGGATTCTGTTTCAAGACTGGTGGCACCAAAAAACAAATGAAACAATAACGTTATCCACAAGTTATATACTCTATGGCTGGCATTATAGGACAAAGCATTGGCAAGTCCTAAATTATTGCCTATTGTTAGCCAAATATCACATTTTCTGCACAAGCCTTTGCGGAGACATCTTAGATTTTCAAATCTTCCTACTGTCCATCACGGGAAAACTTGAAATCCTAAAAGAGATTGCGACTGCAAAAAAAGAACTTCCGAAATTTTATCGCACCTGGGCTTCTTTACTTTAATTTTTCATGCTGCTGTTGTTTTAGGTTAGACTTGTACTTAATTTCATAAACATTTGTTTAAGCTATATAAAAAGTAAATATCCAAAGAAATGTAGCATTTTTGAGACCTGTATGTTCACTTGTGATTGTCTTTTAATTGAAAAGAACTTTGTAAACACGCCAACCGTAAATTAAATTAATGTTAATAGTATTGTAATACATGTATCGTAATGTAGTGTATGCATAATTAGTGTAAGTATAAGTATCAGTAGTGTAAGTAGCAAGTACAATGTAAGTGTAATTAATACTGTAAGTAGTGTAAGTGATCGTCTTGTAAATAAAATTGTTTAAAAAAAAAAAAAAAAAAAAAAGAGTGTGTAAAAAAATTGGTTGACTGTTGAAATCACCTTCATTTGCTTTTGGTTTTGCATGTACAACACTGAATAGATGTATGCTCTTTAAATCATTATTTGTTGTTGTAGATTTCCATCTCTGCTAATACAATTTGTTTTGGTATCTTTTTTATACAAAGATAACTTTAGCAATATGAGTCATTCATCATCACAGACAAGTCTTTCCTCCGTGGATGGTGGTCCTGCTCTGTCTCGGAAAAAGAGCAAAGACAGAAAAGACAGCAAAAGTAATGCATCAAACAACAAGAAAAACACCAAGAAAAGGATTACCAAAGATGACATTGGAAAACCAGAGAACTTCCAGTGAGCTGATCTTTGAATTGTTAATTTACCTTTTAACCCTTTAACTCCCATGAGTGACCAAGACAGAATTTCGCCTTACAATGTCAATGCAATATCAGGCAGACAAGAGATGAGAATAAAGAAAAATATCAATTAGGGAATTATTAGTTGATCCAATACCAAATTCTCAAAACTAACATCATAAGAACTATATGATGGACAGTAAGGAGAATTACTAATGAGATCTTGGGAGTTAAAGGGTTAACTTCCAGAAGTGATTACCATCTAACTTCTCTCTACAATATTCATACATTATCCAGCAAACAGGTAATGAGAATACTCAAATGCATCAAATGGAAGCGGTTGTCCTGATCTAACACCAAATTCTTGTAACTGATTTAAAAGGAAGTATGTAGTAGCTGGAGGGGAGAATTGACCATCAGATCTGGGAGTTAAAAGGTTAATAATGGAGGCTCTTCTTTAGGACAACCTTTATTCAGGGCACACAAGCATAACCCTTTGACCCTTATGATGACTAATATCTAATTTCTCCTTACAATATCACACCTAAATAACACATTAAGGTCATGAGAATAAAGGAAATGATCACCAATTGAGAAGCTCTTGATTTTTAAAGAAATTCTTCTTGTCAGCACCAAAAGAAATGTGTAGAGAAGAGTTTTAAGAAAATGGATACTGAAGTTGGGATGCAGACACTTAAGTCCCCGAGATATATTCATGTAACATTTCAATTTGCCTCTGTTTAGGAGTAGTGTACATGTAATCTTGTATGCAAATCAATGGTCATTATCAGTGTTGTTTTTTCTTCAGGTTTCTTTTTGCAGAACCAATTCAGCTGTATTTCCATGAATAAGCACCCACACTCTATAAAGGGTCGTCCCCCAGATAAACACCCACCATCAATGTCATAATGTCAGACAAGTGCCCCTCTTAAATAAGTGCCCCCCCCCCCCTCTCCTCTCCCTTCTCTCTCAATTTCTTAATTAGTAGGGATTTAAGGAAAAACCTGTTTTTACTGCCACTTTATTTATAACCTCTTAAGCTTCAACTACAGCAGCATGAGCACAGAAGAATGATGAGCACCCCCCTTGCTTTAGCATCCTTTTTCCAATAAGTGCCCCTCCTTTTAGGCAATATTTTAAATCAGCACCTAGTGCTTATTTGAGGAAATACAGTGATAAGAATTTTTTTAAATTTCACTACAGGCACATTGGACATATTGGCTGGGATCCACAAGGTGGATTTGATGTAAGAAAACGGTTTTAATGTCTTTAAAGGGGGAACTAAAAACTTGACTACCAATGAGGGAGGAGGTGGGGTGGATATCAAGTGAGTTTTCTTGTGACACAACCAAAATCCTCCAACACCCCCTCCATGGTAAATATTGACCAGTCCCTAAGATAACAAAATCTTCATTAAAATTTTTCATTCAACAGTAGACTATGAGTTCAAGATTTCTTTTGGATGAAGCAAGAAGCTTGATTGTTGCAATTGTCAATGACGTAGACCACAACTTTGTGGGTGACTAGTTGCCATGGAGATGTTAATCAAAAAGAAACTTTCAGAGCTGAATGCCTAAATTTCTTTGAAACATTCTGGTGATCAGTTTTTTGTCTTTGTTAGGTTGATAGATTGGATGATAAATGGAAAGATCTGTTTTCTCTAGTTGGTGTTACTGCTGAACAAATGCAGAAAAAGGAAACGATGGACTTCATCTATGATTTTGTCGAAAAGAGAGGAGGAATTGACAATGTTAGACGTGAAATAGAGAAGGAAAAAGCTACGGAACCACGTAAGCAATTAATATTCCTCTTTTTTTCAAGCTGATGGATTGACATGAACTGTTTAAATTGGAAAAATGTTCAAAATACCAGTGAGTTTTTTTTAATTTATGAGTTAATTTGCAATTTGTTAACAGGCTAGCTCAGTTTAGCTTTAAAGCTGGTTTAAATTGGGGCCTGTATAAACAGTAACAAGGCCAGATCACAATACAGAGAGCTAAATTCCCTACTCTTTGCTAGAAGAGAAGATGCAGGAGAAAGGGCGTGCGGTTTTTTGTCCTTATCTGAGAGGACTAGAATGTTTAACCATTTGCAGATGTCATAGCCAAGGCAGCAAGTTCTTCTCATACATATGTTGGCACTTAAGGGGGACATTATATATATATTTTTTCTAAGTAGGGACATAAATCACAAGGCCTTTATTACGATTTTAACACGTTAAATATTATGTCCTAGCTCCACCAGCTCCACCAGCACCATCCAGAGGACAGTCAAGAGGACCCCCACCACCCCCTCCCCCCTCACGTGGAGCCCCACCACCACCCCCAGCAAGGATAGGAAATGCCCCACCACCACCCCCTCCATCCCGTGGTGGGCCTCCACCACCCCCTCCCTCACGTGGAGGCTTACCACCACCACCCCCTCTTTTCAGGGCACCACTTCCTCCTGCAGGGGTACCTCCGCCTCCTGCCCCACCTCCTCCTCCACCAATGGGTGGTGCACCTCCTCCACCTCCACCAATGGGAAGAGGTGGCCCTCCGCCTCCTCCTCCCCCCATAGCTAGCGGTGGTGGCCCGGGTCGTGGAGCTCTTCTTGATCAGATTTGTCAAGGAACCTCCCTGAAGAAGGTAGCAGCCGAGGAGAGAAGACCAAGCAGTTCAGATGGTCGAAGTGGATTGCTGAGTGAGATCAGGAGTGGCAAGCAGTTGAAGAAGGTGGGGTTAACTCGTGCGTGACCTCCAGATAACTCTACTTTTCCGCAAGGAACCCAAAAAATTCAATGACTTGCTCATAATTGAATTAATCTCTTTTACTACTTAAACGCGCTTTTGCTATGATGCAGGAATTTAATAAGTTCCAGTTGAGTGATTGCGTGTCAATATCACATATTTACTCTCTCCTGTGAGCATTTTTTCTGTTACACGCATTGGCGTGTAGTAACACGCAGAGTGCGTGTACTATGCGTGGGAATTGCACGCGCGTGAAGTGCGTGTGCTGCAATACGCACGAGTAGTACAATATATCAGACTGATTGCGTGCTAATTTCCATTTTGTTAGGTATCAGAGACAGATGGACCACCAAAAAATTTGAAGTCTCCATCCGGAGGTGGAGGGGGTGGAATCTTAGGGGCCCTCCAATTGGCACTGGAGCAAAGAGAAAAAGCCATCCACTCTTCAGGTACACCAAGTGATGGACATGTAACTTCTCCTTATAATATCCAAACATTGTCCAGCCAACACGTAATGAGAATACTCTAACTTATCAAGCTACAGTTGTTATCTTGATCCAACACCAAATTCTTGTAATTAGTTTACAAGGAAATGTGTAGCAGCTAGAGGGGAGAATTAACAATCAGATCTTGGGAGTTAAAGGGTTCAAGCTAAACCGGCGGAAATCCAAGCTGTCGATAATGGCCGTTGTGCACACCGCGAGGTCTTTCTTTGATAGTAGTTAATTATTTGATTCATTTGTTTGCAGAGAGTGAAAGCGAAAGTGCATCTGAGTTTGAAGACGACGAGGACGAGTGGATGGACTAGGGACTAGCACAGGCCACAGTATATGAAGTGCTAATTACGCATATTAAAGCGGGAAGACACTTGACTTTCGAATATATAAGCGTAACAATTTACTCTTTGTATCTTATAAGTAGATGAATGATTTCTAGTGTAGTGTTTGATCTCTGGTATCAATTGTGATTGGAGAAGATGGGCTCATTTCTTACATGCGTTGTGGGGGGTGCGGACGGGAGGGAAGAGGGGCGAGGGCGGACACGTGCACTTTTTGTGATGTGTTTTTTCTCCCTCGTGCGTGTGTCGCCTGATCAGTTCTGTCGCCTCGCCTACAGAAGTTTAGGACCGATAAACGGCAAGTTGAACTTTAGTTGTCTATTTTTCTGCTATCTGTGTATAAATGTGAAAATGATGGAATTTTTTGTGAGAAAGAAATGTTCCAGTTTTCTGTTGATTCCTTGAACGCAATAAGAGGTAACTTTTTCCCAAGAGTTTGTAAACCTGTCGTAGCTTCCTTTAAGGCTTTCTCCCAGTTCTTCACGGTCAATCGATTCTGGTGACTTAACCAAGGAGAATGGGATGGAGAAAGTTCACTTTTTGAGAAGTAGGAGAGGGGATAACCGTGGCGAAAGTTTTGGGCTTAGGTACAAGGAAATCTGATGAGGAATGATCCGAGGGCGTATCAATAATGATATCGTATGGAAATGATGTGCAATTTTGAACGAAATCGTGATGAGGCTAGGGGAACTGGATGAGGTGAATTTTGTAACAATTGTGAAATGCTAAGATTGTGTGTCGCCGTTGAGACATGTTCAGGAACAGAAGACACACTTTAATGTATTCACCATTTAGGTTAAACAATAAAACGTGATGGAAAGATGAAAGTTTTGTCAACTTTTCTGATTATTTTGTTGAAAATCCTGAGGAGAATTTAGATTCCGGTCTTTGGTACAAATTGCCTGTCGTCAGGCAAGCATGCGCGGCTGTGCTTGTGCTCAGTTCTCCGCACCCTATTTTGGCGAGAAGAAATCTGGAAATGAGAAAAAATGCGAGGCGATCTGGAGCACAAACTACATTTTGTTTATTAATAAGGTGTGACAGTTGTCTCGTAGCTGTCGGGTAAATTACAGCTCGAACGGAAACTTGCGTCCTTTCGGTTTGATTTTGTTCAGCTGAGGCGGAAGATAATCGTAGCTATGTCGGTGACGGTGTTTGTGAAGGTGAGTTGCCAACGTTACAGCTATGGGGTCGCACTTCTGGAATTGAGAATTAATTCATTCCGTGAAAGCGGTGTTAATTTCACAAAATGTTGTGTTTTGGGTTTAGGGATCTAACGACCATTTTAAAGTTCACAAAGAGCTAGGAGATTGCCCTTCCAGTCAACGAATTGTGATGATATTGCGACTGAAAGGTGTTCCGTTCCATCAAGAATTCGTCGATCTGACGAAAAAAGATACGAAAAAGTGGGATGAATTTGTGCGAAGAACCCAGGGAAGATTAAAACCACCTGTGCTTATCCATGGAGATTTGGAACCGATTGAAGACGCCGACGCGATCGTGGGATATTTGGAGGAAACCTTTCCAGAGCCTGATTTGAAGAGTTTGAAAGCGCAAGCCAACATCGCCGGCCGCGATTTGTATTCAAAGTTCGCTTTATTCATGCGGAACAGCATCCCAGACAACGATGCTAAACTGCGCGCCGCGCTCGTAAGGGAACTTAAAAAGTTGAATGAGTTTTTAGACAAGGAGAGCCCAGGTGCTTACCTGGACGGAGACAAATTAAAGTTGCCAGACTGCAATTTATTGCCTAAACTTATGCACATCAAGGTGGCTGGAGAGCTGAAGGGGTTTACGATTCCGGAAGAATTTGAAGCCATTTCGACTTATCTGAGAGAGACACACAGACAGAAAGCATTCAAGGAAACATTCACCGAACCGGTAAAGCACGACATAAAACAGGGTTGGCTCAAAAAGATGGGAAATTCTATGGGTACTAACTCGCATAGATAAACCTTACCGGAACCTTTTTTAAATTATATTAACGCTGAATACTGAGACAACACGCTGAAGCCGTAAATGTTATTACTTAAAAATCCGAAAGGTGTTCTCTTAAATAACAAAAGAAAGAAGGGGTCGTTTGAAACAGAGTAAAATGTTTGAAGCTCGCTGTAAGCGATACTTCGTTAAGTCACACTTAACGTGTTATTAAAATGGTAGACCAACATTTGAATATTAACAAGTTTCTCTTGTTTTTAATGACTTTTTTCGCACAAATAGAAAACGCTGTACTAAAGGCGGAACATTTTTGCAAAATTTTCACACAAAATAATTTTTTCTACACCATCCGAAACCAACCAGATCGGTTTTCAAAGCTGACAACGGTAAATTATTCATTCTTTCAACATCAACACCAGGGGTCGAACCGATCTTCTGAAAATAATATTAGTATTGCTTATTTTTTTCTTTCATTTTAAAGCAAAACACAACCGCTTCACTTACACAGTAAACTTTTTCAACTTGAAAGAACAAAATATATGAATAAACTGCATGCATTACTAATTACTCCACGGAAAAACTAGGCGTTTCGAAACAATAGAAATAAGTTATGCTAATAAAAGTGTGCGGTTTGGTTTTCGTAATTTGCATGCGGTGGAAGCAAGATCATGATTTGAGGTTTTTTGCGCGTTCTTGATCTCTAATAGATATAAATAATTTTAAGTTTTCGCTTCAAGTTATATTCAAATCTTCAAATAAAGTATTATCTTGCTGTTTTTTCAAATCTCATATTAAATGCTTCTTTGTTTTAGCTGTATTTACTTTTAATACAAGCCAAGGTCTTTTATACAAATCCATATAAGGACAGATAGACTGTCTAGAATATTTACTTGAAGGATACAAATTTCTTTATTTTTATTCAGTGCGTTAACAAAATAGAGACTTGAGAAGTTAGGAGCGAACTCACGAATGGCGAAATATCTTTCGAAAATTTGTTTAACTTTCGGATTGAGTGCGAATGATACACATCCCAGTTTTAAGTCTTAAGATATGAAGCGCTTCATTTGAAATTTGGCAGCGTAACTGAGTAAGACATTGCAAAGGCACCCCATCTTCTCAGTAGGAATATTCGCGGTTGCTCGCTAAAATTGAGGCTGTGTTTCCCATTACAGCTGTTTTCCGTTCATTCTAAGTCAAAGTAGTGAATTTTTGGCTAGTCGGTAGTCTCCTTGCGTCTCGGAGGGTAATTATAAGGCCGCAGTTGTCAACGCAGAGCTTGCAAATTTGCCTGTTATGAAAAAAGTAGATTTTAATTGCTTGTCACAAGTGACATACATCTCACTATACGTCGATTTGCCGTAGTTTTCGGGCTTTTATTTCTTTATGGAAGTTTCTAGAATTTTAAGTGCAGGTGTACTATCTTCAACTGTTAATTTCTTCGTACACCTTATTTACTCCTATTTTAATTTCGTTATAAGCCCTCGCCAGCGAACAATGAGTTTTGCACTAAACTTCTTTTCAAGGCGGTAAAAAAACAGTAAATTGTTATGCAAGTTTTTGTTGACTTTAAATGGGTTTTCTGAAAGTCTTGGCTCGGAGACAACTTGTATTTTAGTTAACAGCTGGTTCTATCACTGTTGTCATGCAGATATAGGGGGACTTCTCGGACGAATTATCGTTTCCTTTAGGACCAAACATGAATAAACCAGCGACACGTTTGACACCCACGCTTACAATTACATTCGCGTAAAATACATAGGAACCACTCATTATTTATCGACTGAAGGGGGGAGCGTGGAGTATTTTAGGGGGGTGTCACATGGTTCTTTGGGTGAAAGGAGGGAATCAGTGGTCGTTAAGAGAGTATAAAGGGAGGACTGCAGAGAATTGACCGAGAATGAGGAGGGATCATAATCATATCCCAGAACCTTATGGGGATCATTATTCCCCAGTATGGCTTGAACAAGCGAATTTAGTAATTAGTTTATCTTATGGCACTCGGATCAAACTTGTTTATTTTGAATTTGCCGGCTTTCGCAAACAAAAATACATGGTTTTTGACCGTTTCCGTGGATACTGTCCATATAGCAATATCCCAACCAAGTAAGCACCAATCAGAACGCTCAGATTGGGTCTTGGTTCAATGGGTCACTTTTTGCTGGGTTTGTGCCGCTGGCCTCTTGGAACCCTTACCCCGGCCTACCCTGTGGTCAAATTCAGACTCCATCTTGGTCACTTTTGGTAATATGGAAACAGCTATTTAACTACAAATCTTCCCATTTTTAATCCCCACTTACCAGAATTTTCTGATCCCCAAAGTACCGAAAAAAATGTGCGACCCCATCTTCATAACTCTGTTGAAAATGTAATCTCATCAGTAGTCAATCCAGCGACACATTCCCATAACTCTGTTGATAAGAAGTACCCCCTCCCCTCCCCCCCCCCCGAAGGTTAACGTGTACCGTTCAATATCATTTTCAAAGCAATGCAGTTAACATGAGGTACATCCACGCAGTTTAGATGTGTTACTGACTTCCTTTTTGCAGGTTCCGTTCCTTTATCTTGAATCTGATACCTCTCTCGATCATTGGACCGGATTCAGTAGAGAACCTGCAAAAAAATAAAACAATTGTCTTTATTTAAAGTTTAAATTCGATCGGATTGGTTCGCACGTCTTCTTAACTCCAATAGGCTTAAAGTATGACACTTGAGTGGTATATTGAAAAGAAATACTGGTGGCCTTCCAAATAATAACAGGTGGAAAAAAATTCGACAAAAACAAATTTGCCCGACGGAGAAAAAACAACCACTGGCGGAAAGATGGCGGGATGTACGCACAGGAATTACCAAGAGGATGAAAACTGGCAAACAGAAAAAAGAAACATTGTGGAGCGAAATCGTTACATGTTCAACAACGAACTTATGAGCGATGTGCATTTTCTCGTCGGAAAATGCGATAAGTTGAGAATTCCAGCGCACAAGTACGTAATGGCGATCAGCAGCCCAGTGTTCTACGCCATGTTTTACGGAAGAATGGCCGAACAAGGGGAAGAGATAAAAATCGGCGACTGCGAAGCAGGCAGCTTTTTAGAGCTGCTGCGATACATTTATTACGATGAAGCAAAAATCGATCCTTCGAATGTCTTCGGCATTCTATACTTGGCCAAGAAATACTTCCTCCCATTTTTAGCCGAGAGGTGCGTGGATTTTCTGGAAGAGAACATCGACCATCAAAATGCCTTCACGTTACTCGCGCAAGCGCGCTATTTCTGCGAGCCTAAACTGGAAGAAAAATGCTGGGAAATTATCGATAGGGAAACAGCTCGAGTTTTGTCGTCTGAGGCGTTTACCGAAATCGATCATGAAACGTTGCTAGCGGTGCTAACACGTGATACATTGACGGTGCTCGAAGCAGATCTGTTTAAAGCAGTAAAACGCTGGGCCGAAGGGGAATGCAATCGTAAAATTCTTCCACCGACGCCAGAAAACAAACGGAGTGTACTGTCCAGCGCTCTGAATTTCATTCGCTTCCCCGTGATGACTCTGAAAGAGTTTTCAGAGGACGCAGCACAATCCGGAATTCTTACCTCTGAAGAAACGATCAATACGTTTCTATACTTTGGTTCCAAAGATGATACCAAAGTAAAGAATTTTCTAACTCACCCTCGTCCTGGAGCGCACCGGGCTTATCGTTGCACGCGGTTCCCCACTTACGGTCAAGATTGGCTTTGCGAAGGAACAAACGTTGATAGTATAAAATTCACTGTCGATCGAGATATCACTGTGCTTGGTGTTGGACTTTACGGAGTAAGTAACAAAGAAGACTGCTCAAGTCCTTTTAGCGTTGATGTAGAGCTTCTGGATTCGCACAATGATGTTATGTGTACGTACGAGGGAACGTTCTTCGCTGATGTTAGCAAACGCGTCCATGATATTCTCTTTGATGAGCCCGTCATCGTAAGAGGTCATCGGCCGTACATCATTAGAGTCTTGCTCAAAGGACCGACCACGTTGGGGGGTACGGACGGGATGAGAGATGTTGTAACTGAGGGGATAAGATTTAGATTTGACGTAGACGAAGCCAGCTTCAATGGGACTACAACAGCTGATGGACAAATTCCAGATATTGTGTTTAAAATTTAAGAAACGAGAGGGAAGACTGTTGTACAAGGACTGTAATCCAAAGTTGCAAGATTTTACACCCCTGGGAACAGGTCATTATGAATCGCCTGGGAAGGGGGGGGGAGGGTTCAAAGGATTTTGGTAATGTCACGATAAAATTAAATTAGTTAATTAGTTTAGTTAATTGGCTGGTAGGTTCTATAGTCTCCTCTTTATACTCTGTTGGCGACGACTGATTCCACTCTCCGTTCTCCCTGAAAACCATTTGATCCCCCCCCCTCAAAAAAAACCTTTCATTCTCCTTCCACCTTCCAGTCGATTAATAATAACTGGTCCTTTACTTTACCTTTAGTTCTACTTTGCAACATTAGAGAAGGGGGGAGGGGAGGGGTCGGAAAGAGGTGAAGAGGGAGTGATTTGCTTAAGATAAAAAATAAATAAAAAAAACTCAGACGAGTTTTTCTTTCATTTCAAACCAAACGCATGTTGTGGTCTCGATGGTTTATGTTTAAAAGATTTTCTCGAATGCTCTCTGTGTGCAATGTGACCCCAAAAAAGCGTATTGTTAGATTTTTCAAAAATATGGTGCTCGCTGATCGCACTGTAACTTAAAAATACGTAAATAAATTTAATTTTTTTTCGTAGGTCCTATTGTCCTGATGTTTTCTATCGTCCTCACCATATCTGCCCATACTCTCTGAAAATCCCACAAAAGTAAATCACCGTGAAAGATTTTGGGGTTTTTTTAAGTCTCTCCGTACTTTCACTTTCAGACTTTCAAGAGTGTACTATTCTATTATTCTAAGTTTTTGTATCACTTTCAAGTTGAAACAAGATCTTACAATACGGATCTTGGTTGCAATTTATGGCTTCATATATTTATTTTGTTAATTGAGTATCGCACGGTTTAAGTTGATAGGAAGCCCTGAGCCTTCCTAAATGTTCAGTTTTAAATTTCAATTGTGATGACACTTTGCTCATTTAGGGCCTTTTCGATTGAGTGTCATAAACCCAAAACCAAATTAATCCCAACAACCAATCAGAAGGTAGGAAAATGCATTTAAGAGCCAATGAGAACTCAAAATAAAACCGACTAAACCTCCTAAAGCGCGAGAAAACGCGAACGACTAAGCCGTGATTGGATTTAATGTCGCGTCTGATTGGCTGAAAGAGTAGCGCAAGTTTTCTAGACCAATCACAGAGCAAAGTAAAGGAAAAACGATGCAGTCCCAAATTACTTTGGACACTTAACTGAATATCACTTCTGAACTGATAATAAGTTGGAGTTAAGTTGTAGCATTTGCACGAGGTGACTCTACATTCAGCGTATTATCTATCATTTGGAGGACCGGTTTTCGCAGAGGGAGGAAAACCAAACAATTCTGAGGAAAACTCTCGGAGCAAGGACGAAGAAACAAGAAAAAAAGTTAACCCGTGTATGTCATCAGTATTGCGAAATCGAACTCAGGCTTCAGCGACGGGAGACAAGCACTTTCAAGATTGCGATACTTCTGCTCCACTAATTGTGTTTTAATTTGATTAGTAAATCACCTCTTCTCTGTTCACTGAAGGTTTTTGCCTCGTCAATACGATCAACAAGAAGTAATTCAGACGTAGAATTTGTTTTATCACAGAGCTGTCAAAACTTACAGGTGTTCTTTTCAATGACGACACGCCTGAATTCACCCGGTTGTTCACTCTTTGCTGGCGAGAGTGCCCAAAATAACTTTTTCGCAAAGCAGGGGAGGATTATTGAACTTCCTTTTACCTTTCGTTGCGGAGTTTGATGGCTTTTTGATCCTCTTCGATGTCTAAGTACGTGGATTTGCGGTTATGTTCGTTCGATGGATGGTTTTGGTACTTCTCCTTTTGCCCTTAGCATCGAGCGCGTCGGCTCCGCCGAAATTTGAACATAAAAAGTCCACGATGCTGTCATTTGATTTACGTCGAAAAACCAAACATCACAGACATAGAAATACGACTGCAGTAACTGCAACACCTGCACCAACAGCAGACAGCGATCAAGAGGAAATGGAATTTACACTTCGCGTATGTTGTATTATAATTGTTTGTTATTATTTTTAGTGATTTGCGTGAACATGTAATGCAACGCCCAAACGCGCCTAACACTAATTTTCTACTCTATATCAGCTTTATTTTCGTTTGAAAGCTTTATATTTGACTGGCTTCTTGCAAAGGTATTTCTATCAGCGTTTTTACATTTCTTTTTTTTTTTTGTTTGTTTTCCCATAGAGCACCTCCTATGCTTATGTTATCGAGTTGGATCTAGGCACACCCCCTCAACGGGTAATTGTATTTGTTCATCATGAGAATGTAAATAAAATGTGAACTTGCTTCAATCGTTATCGATAGATAATGAGATATGTTGTTTAACAGAGTAACTGGTCACAAGAGAAGGGAAAACTAGCTGCTGAATAACTTAAAGACGGAAAGATTTTGGTCAGTCGAGGAGCGTACCGGACCCATAAGGGCAGATCAAGCGGAGGGGGGGGGGGGGGGGGGATTTAAACTTTTCTTTCTTCTCGTTGCCTTTCTGTTTAACAATGTACTTAAACCTGATCTTTTTCGCTTTATAAAATTGGAGGGAACATTCTCACGCCTAAATCGAGTTCAATCCACGAATCTGACTTATTTAAACAAAGGCCTAGCTAATTTTCCCATTCCATTACTTTAAAGCTGGAGTTTTTGATTGATACTGGTTCCTCCAACATGGCTATTGCAGGTAAGAGTTTATCTGAAACATGATGAAAAGGATCTCCGAGAGTTGATCATTTCTTTAGCGAGTGAACGAAGTGAGATACTGTTCAACATTAATCTAAAATACGGCCGCCTCGTGAAGACCGCTGAAAATATTTTCCGTCTTTTAAAGTGCTTACATCAATTCTATTGGTCTGTTTAATCTACTAGCTGCGTATTTTCATCCTTACGAAGAGGAAACCTTAGTCAAAGAGATTGTGGCTAGGGCAATGTCAAATTCTGAGCAACTCGTACCCACCCCTCCCCTAACCCAACACTAACCCTTACTTGTTATCGATTGACTGTTGCTGTATTAGGGGAGGGGTAGGTGGGCAGTTTTTCAAATACATACATTGATCCGTGTGGCCTTATAGCTGAGATTTTTCAAACAGGTGGTCACCCAAAGGTGTAGGAGCACGAAACAAAGATGTCACGCCCTGCACTTCACACCTTTGCCCGGAAATTTGAGTGCCTGCGCTTCAGACATTAGTTATAATATGATAAAGGTAAAAAGTTAAAATAAAAAATAATTCAAATTGTGTCTTTTTTGTGTCTCGCTTCTGAAGGCCCAGAATGTCAAGATGAAATGGATCATAAGTGTCAAATAGAGACCTTCTATCATCCAGAGAAGTCCAATACATCGGTAGATCAACATATTCCAGTGAGTGCTTTTCATATTTCATCTTAGAGCTGAAATTTTGAAATACCGTTCAGAGTAAAATTAAGGAACAGTCAATTTTTATCGCCTGGGGGTGGGGTGAGTTAGGGAGGGGGAAAGTCGAGGATTTTCACGGGATCACATGACTTTCAGGTGGAACTGAGGGGGAATCAGTAGCCGTCAACAGAGTATAAGGAGGGGACTATAGAAAATTATAAGGGGGGGGAGAATCATTAAAATATTACAGCGCCTTAGGGTGGGAGTAAGTAAATTTCATCGTGACACAACCAAAATCTACCAACCCCCCCTCAGGCGATAAAGGATGACTGGTTTCTTATTCCAAGGGATTTTGTTGAGTGCTTAACAGTCGATCATGTATGAAAGATCATACAGGTGTGACAAACCTTTGGCTGGTTTCTTTCTGAATTACGATATTTTTCTTATCCTGCAGATCGAAACAGAGTATGGTAAAGGGGCGTGGTCAGGGGATATTTATCTCGATGTCGTGGCCTTCCCAGGTGAAGGTAAGATGAATCTGATGCCTATCAAGTTAAAAACCACAGGGTAAAGGGATTTTTTTTATATATGTGGTGTGTATTGTGAATCCAGCCGCTACAGAATCTTTCACCTCTCTACTTCTTGATTGTCGGCTTAACTTGTGTCACAAAAAAGTTCAGCAACGAGGCTTTTCCGCATCAGTGATGTTTGTGTTAAAGAAAAACGGGAACAATGTCAGTATCTAAGCACCTGTGCACCCACCCCTCCCCTGGCTGACCCGACAACAGTCGACTGAAAACAAGTCAGGATAAATGTTGGGTTAAGGGAGGGGCAGGTGCGGAGTTGTTCAAACCAATTCTTTTTCTTAGCCACCGTTATTTCCATGCTGTTCTTTATTGTTGTGTAAATCATTTCAGCAGGTCGGGTATGCGTCATTCAAGGAGAGAGGGAGGGGAGGGGAGAGGGTTGAAAAAGAAAATAGACTGGTGATGAGCTTGTAAGATTAACATGACATAAAATAGGTGTTCAGTGTTTAAAGAGATTCTTTTCCCATTTTTGAATCCTTTAGGTCCGAGGACGACAGCAGAATTTGCGGTCATAAGGCACGAAAAAGACTTCTTCCTCAGTAAGATGGAATTGAAGTAACAGTTTTTAAAATTTGTTTTGTAAAACAATATATTTGCTTGCAAGAACTTTAAAAAGTTTATGCGAGCAAATGTGTTTGCTTGCACTTTGCAATAATTTATGCGACGGTCGTTAACGTACCTTTTTAGCCCTCGAAGTGACTAGCATCTAATCTTTCCTTACAGTATCACCTCTAAGTGTAAACTTTTTTATGACTGTAAACGGTTAAATTTGTCAAGTTTTACACTTAACAGTCAACCCGACCCATTGAGACCCTCTGAAATGTTCTTAAATCACAACGAAAACCTGCAGGTCAACAGGCATTTCCATCTCGATAAATTCTCTTGGTATTCCTCTGACACTGAAACAGACGATATTGAAGAGATTTCAAAACTTACTACCTCTTCGACTTACTTCGTTTTTCGCCTCATCAATGCAGGAAATTCCATAAATGAGGGGATTCTTGGCCTGGCGTATAAAACCCTGGCGACTGATGATGTACAGGTACTTATTAGTTATCACCATTGCAAATATTTGTTTTTCAAAAAATTTCTGCTTTAGAGCTTTTGCTTGCAAGCAAAACTCTAAAGCAGGAATATGCAATCAATTTTTATATGCCCTTTTCATACTCTGTTGGTGAACACCGATCCCCCCTCCGTTTCCGCTGGAAACCATGAGATCCCCCCCCCTTCCCGTTTCAGGCGATAAATAATAATGACTATTTCCCAACTGAGGCAAAAGTTTTCATTCACATTTTTCTCGTAGCCATTGTACGATCAGCTCGTCCAGGATAACAAAGTTCCAAATGTATTCACTCTAGGGCTGTGTAATGGAATGGTGAGCGAATTTGACCTCTATATTTTATCTGTAATTTTTTGAGCAGGCCAATCTACATAGCTTGATAAGATTAGTCGTAATCGTTTCCGAAGGCGCCCAAATATTTCCGATGGGTTCCGACGAGTTACAGCACAACCTCGTCCTTAGTTCTCTCCCAATATATTTCAGAGGTTTTGAGGAAAATTGGATTATTTGTGCAATCTTCTCCGTCTTTTATTGATCTGAGTTGATTTGATTTCATGTCTGTTTTTCAAATATATGCTTCTTTGACATTAATTGACTGTAAATATGAGCTGGTGTAGCATGAACAGTTTCGTTTCGCATGTGTGGGTGTTCATGTCGAGAGGTATCACTAAAAAATGAACATTTCATTTTTCCAAAGGGTAAAATCTGGCTGGACGCTCCAGAACCGTCGGCGTATCGCGGGCCTATTCACTACACGAGCATTAATCAAGAAACCTGGTACAGCGTTTCCATGACAGGCATTGTAAGTGAGTCTATCGTTATGTATAACAACCTGACGAATGTGAAGTCAGAAGAAACCGATTGTTTAAAAAGACCATGTCTATCATTTTTTACTTGTTATCCTTGTACTGGACATGGTTTTCCCAGGTAATTAAGTGTTATCAACAGAGTTGATAACGTAAATTAACGATCGCAAAGAGTTTAAAGGCTGACGTTTCAGCGTTAGCCTCTGACAAAGGGCTAACGCTCGAAACGTCAGCCTTTAAACTCTTTACGTGGCCAACTGACGTTATCAACTCAGTTGATAATACTAAATTACCCTGTTATACTCTCCCGCCAACGCAGTACCACAGTTTCTCTAGAAACTTACCCCCTCTATGGCTTTCCTTGCTCATGTCTACCTAACTCGAACGTACAAACGTACAAGCAAGCCTGCATTACAGCGCTTTTTAATTGTATTGAGAGTCGAAAAACCAAAAACAAATTAATTCCAGCGACCAATCAGAGCCTAGGTTTATATTATCATTAGACAATGAGAACTCAAATTAAAAACAAGCAAACTGCCTGAAGCGCGGGAAAAACGCGAGCGACCAAGTCGTAAGTGGTTTAAGTTTTGCTTTTGATTGGTCGAGAGAGTGAACCAATCATAGAGCAAAGGAATAAAACCAAAGCAATCCCGGATTACTTTCTATATTACTAGGTAACGTATAACGCTTCTTCATTGTTTCTTTCTATTCACGTGTCATTCCTGAGCTATGATATTTTTTGGAGAACTTGTTAGGTTTTTTTTCAGGAAGACGCATGACCAGAGGAAATCTTATAGAGAAATACTACGATTTCCGGTTGAGTGAAACGCGACAGAAGTTTGGCGACCACGTTTTGATGTTAAAATCTTGTTGTCACGAGCAACCGGCTCTGTTTCCAATGGTAACGTGTCGTTTGACCGCTTTTAGCGAGCTTTCACGTTCGACGGTTGGGGACGGACGATTTTTGAGATTCGGTCACTACTGGAAATAAGGAAGATCGCCTTTAGACAAAACCGTAATTTTTACCGTCAAAGCCCCGTTACCAAACTTATCCGCGCCTCACTCAACTGATAATCGTAGTACCATTGCTTATTTCATCATCAACTCTTAAACGCGAACAACAAGAAGGTGCAGGTCTTGCTGCCCTTACCCACTTGGCCGCAGAACCAGACAGCTGATTTGTACGGCTCTTATATTCATCTTTCAGGATGTTGCTGGCAATAGTTTAGGTTTTTTACCCCCTAGTTTCTCAGCCGCTATTGTTGACAGTGGTAAGTACTTCCATGGTGCACATGCACATTTTGTTTTCAGTGAAAGATTTCCCCTTTAATTAAGAATTTTGGGAGCACTGCGGAGATGTTCGTGGGCTCGCTTACTCGTTGCTTGATGTGGGGGCATGCTACTGATTCTGCTCAATCAAAAAAAAAATTTTCCTTTTCTAAGGCACAACGGATATTTTATTACAACCTGAGATTTACGCAGCAGTTATAGCACAACTAAAGGAGGTAAGAAATTGTTTGTTTTTTTTTTCGAGACAATTTTCTAACTAAATGATCCTCTGGACGATCACAACTTGCAAAAAGGGGTCAGTCCGGGGTAATTGTGAAGAAGAGCTCCCCAAAAAACCTGTCGGCCGACTGTCGGTCAACTTTCGGCCGACAGGTTACCGACAGTCTACCGACAGCTAACCAACAGGTTACCGACAGGTTAAGAAAAAAGAAAAATTGTGTTAAAAACGAACAGTTAACGTGACATAACAATCCGTAATGGTGATGTATGACTCGACAGACTTCACCTACTTACCGATCGACGGCAAAGTTGAAAGTATGTAAAGAAACGTTTCTTCCAAAATGTTGTTATCAGATGCGTGTAGGATATATCACTTGCGTAATTTACAACACATCAGACAATCTAAGAATCGCATTGGAAGATAATTTAATCGAAAAACTCGGCCAAAAACTCTGATAACCATAAGCTACGTATCAATTCAAACACTTTCATTCAAATCGCCCAACAATGCAACGCTGCCTCTTATGGTATGTTATGTATGTATCAATAATGTTTACCTTGTGCATTTGTGTTGCTAACATCGTCCTCTATCTTGCAGGTTTGGGATGAATTGCTATTTCCAATTTCAAGTTTAATAAATGATACAACTGTGAATCTTTTTACTCGTTATGTTAAGTAATAAATTACTATACGCAACAATTCGATAATTTGACTTGGATGCGTGATGCGATAATTGATTTAGGCGCGCGCCGCTAAAAATAACGATTCTACGAGTGAGGTATCTTGTGTATTTCACCACTCACAAAACGGCTCCTTTAGGAGCCACCAAATCTTGAAAGTCAATTGTCAACGTATTACACATGTTGGATGTTGTATCAAGCGAAAACCGAGAGAAAACATTAAGGTTTGTGTTAACGTTTCACGGACAAGCTACCGACAAGCTACCGACAGGTTACCGACACATTACCAACAGTCGGCCGACTGTCGGCCGACTGTCGGTGCACTGTCGGCCGACAGGTAGCCTATATTTCGGGCAAAACCTGTCGGCCGTCTGTCGGCCAACTGTCGGCCGACAAACGGCCGACAAACGGCCGACAGTCGGCCGACTGTCGGCCGACTGTCGGCCGACTGTCGGCCGACTGTCGGCCGACTGTCGGCCGACAGTTGACCGACAGTCGGCCGACAGGTTTTTTGGGGAGCTCTTCTTCACAATTACCCAGACCGGCGTAAAGAGATCTGGTGTCCAGTCCACTCAATCTGCAACCTTTTCATTTTAGAAGTTTCTTCAAAATGGCAGCACTTAACAAAGACTGATTACGATTCTGGGTGTAAAGGTCCAGTTGGAACCTTGGCCGAGTTAATTACGCGTTTTGTTCCTGGAAAGACACTTTATTTAAAGAGTGCGTCTCTCCAACCAGGAGTCTAAATGAGTATCTTCCCCCCCTCCCCCCCCCCCCCAAAAAAAGTCATGGAAAGCTATCAAATTGTTGGACAAATACCCTACCATGTTGCGGTTTTCCCTCGACTGAGCGGAGGAAAGGGGTTAGTGCACGTGATCGTTGAATGGCATCTTTCGATGCAAAGTAAGCTCCGAAAATAACGTATTCCTTAGCGAAACTGTATATCCTAATTGTTAATGTGTTTCTGCCCTTCTTTTTTCCTTTGTCTTGCCAGCGTGGTCCTCCTGTTGATGAACGCTTCTGGAAGAGCTACTGTGTTGACACAGATCCCTACCAGTGGCCTTACATTACTATTTACCTAAAAGATATGAGTAAGTAAAGAATACTTCTTCCCTGTACCAGATTTGCCTTTTCTTAAAATAAGGTAGCTTCATGTCAGCTTTTCCCTCGCTCTATTTCATAATTTATAGGATTATAAGTCGTTTAGTCGAACTAGAGATTACAAATTGCTTGCAGAGCACCTTCTTAAGATAACGAAATTTTCTGGCGTTCCTGCTTTTTCTTAAACATAGTGCTTAAGCTGACTTAATCCGGCATTTTCTCTGCTCTTAGAGCGTGTTGCAAAAAAATTCCTGCCTGGTTTCGATGGTAACTTTAAGCGTTTAATTAATTATCGATGTGGTTTTTCTTAGTCGTCTTACTATTTTCGAAGTTAACCTTGTTATCATTTTTTGTAGTTGGAGGCTCATTCGGACTGACCGTTCTTGGAAAGCATTATGTCAGAAAACAGGAGTAAGTCATTGTGTAATGTCATTAACAAATTATGAATACTTAGAATTCTTATAGCAGTTATAAGTTTTTTTGAATCTCTGTTTCAGTTTCAAAATGCATAAAATGGGAAAAGGTGTTGGGGATTACAACGAGTACGAAAATGTTTTGCTAATCTTCTCGTAAAATTGCAGTGTTTTTCCCATTCCCGCGTGCGCTTCAGACATTCATGTTTGAGAGGGAGAGTTTGTGAGTCCGACGCCATTGACGGCTATAGAGTCGTGTGTGTAGCTTAATGCATGTATGTCTACTGATTCTTGAATATATTGGACTTACAACTGAGCACCAGATGTTGTCCGAAATTGCGTTCATTTCATTTTGCATTGTGACACTCTATGATTGGTCTGGAAAACTTGCGCCACTTTCGCAACCAATCAGATCCAAAATTAAAACCAACTGCAAGTCACTCGCGTTTCTCGCGTTTTACTCCTACTGCGTGTTGACTCCGAGCTCTCATTGGCTCTCTGCGGTTTTATACTTGTTGTGATTGGCTGTTGAATACCAGGATGTAATTCCTTTTTTTTTTCCTGTTTACATCTCTCCTCAGCGAGTTTCATTGCCTCAGTATTGGTGCCAAACCATCAGGGGCTGTGTTGGGTGAAGTTGTCATGGAGGGGAACGTAGTAGTGTTTGATCGAGCCAATCAGAGGATTGGATTTGCACCGAGTAACATGTCCCATCCTGACGTTGGACAATGTGGTAAGAGAGGGCCTGGTAAAGGTTTTTATTGGTATGGGAGTGTAATTCTAGTTGGTTGCTCGAGACTTTTACAGCCAGTAGCAAATTGATTGAGACATTTCAGGCTTTTCTTTCCTTCTTGAAGTGGCGTTAGATTTCTGCAGGGTGCCTCTGACCACAAGAAGATATGATAGAAAATTTCAAACAAAACCTATAGATTTAAAGGGTCTCCAAAAGGTTTTCTTGTTGTTATTTATTCAGATAAGACCTTCAATGCAATGTGTTCAAGACACGATGCCACTCGCATTTCACTTGTACTTCACTTGCATTTCACCTAATCAGTTCATTCTTCCTTCCCAATTAGGAATTCGGTAACTTACTTTATACTCACACTCTGATATTAAAGCATAATTTGCAAATTAATACCAAACATCAATTTTTTTCCAGGGAATCCTATTCGTGTAAACAACACTGTCAAAGGTAGGATCACTGTAACAAAATTGAGTGAAATTTAACGTTTAAAAGAAGCTCTTCGACGCGATCACCAGGGTATAAGTAACATCATCATAACGGTAGAAGTACGTACCCCTCCCAGTTGACTGTTGTTGGGTATAGGGGAGGGGAAGGTGCGCAGTTACCCAGATACTCATATTAGTCCGAATTATATGCAATTTCTGTAAGAATTTTCACGTCCAGTCGTCGTTTTAGTTGTCCATGGGTTGGCGGGCTACTTTAGAAATCTACCATTTTAGTCACTAGTGCCTTGCGGTTGTTGCAGATTGATTTGGGGATTGTTCTCTGGTTATCTCCAGGTTGGGGTGTTCTAGCTTCAAATTACTCCACCCAGTTTTGGTAGCCATTTTACCCTTGTAACTTATCTGTTTTTAGATGAACTCTACATTCACATTTTTTTCTGCTTCTAGGGCGTCTGCACAAGTATTGCCGTGCTCCCAACATGCCCCAGGAGACGTGTTTTATGGGTTGCAAGCCTTGTATCGAATATGGTGGCGTGTGGTGCCCTAAGGGTCACGTGGTTGTCTGGATTAATGGAGTCAGGTAGACCATTAAATTTTCGCTGTTATTATCTATCACGGGGGGGGAGGAGTCACCAGGGAGGATCTGTCATTTCCAACAGAATGTAAAGGGGGAACTATAGAACACTGACTGCCAATTAAATTCCAATGGGGGGGGAATCATTGGAATTTTAAATAGCCTTATGGGGGAATCAGGTAAATTTTATCGTGACTAAACCAAAATCGTCCAGTCCCCCGAGAGGATAAATAACGACCAGTCCCTTAGTTGTAATTCAACGGCCTGTCAGAAGCTGAATTCTGATTGGCAGTTGTCAAATCAAAAATATCTTTTTAACTTTTTTTCAATCGCAGATCTGTTCTCAGCACCAAAAGGGGCTTCTGCTGGCCAGGTAAGCTCTAATGCGTGGAAGAGGTTAAATAATCGGAATCCTTCCGAGCATAGCCTTTTTTTCCACGAAGTGCCGTCTTGGTTTTTCTGAGATGTATACAATTAAACTTTTGTAAAATTGTTCTCTGCAATATAACAACTTATTTCATACTCAACAGGAGGCCTTTTCACCTTAGATGATACGAAAGTTCAAACCTTTCTTACGGGACATGGCAGTGCCGAATTCCAGGCGTATTGTGAATCGTTTGTTCCGATGTATAAACAGTGTTCAGGTGAGCTAACCAAATCAAAGGTACTACTAGCCTAACTATCAGTCCTTCTAACCGAAGGGAGAGTGGGGCTGAGCGAAAGTTAGCCCTAACCCCTCCCCCCTTGGAAAGCCTGGTACTTATGATCAGGTTATGGAATCACGTGCATAAGAGGTTGTTACTACTGGAAAGAAAGCATCAGTTCTTGCGCCAACAACGTCAATAAACAGTTCATATAAAAAGAACAGCTCAGTATTTCATGAGAATTGATAAAATGGTTGGTTACATTTTAGCCGATTTTAGGATTGCACGCACAGACTTAGAACCACTTCGTACAGCAAATTACATAGTACAATATCAACGTACTGCCTAATAGCTTTGTCAAAAAATAAGGCTGTTCTACATGACAATCGGTACTGCATTAAACTGCCGCTCTTTAGCGCTCACCGTAAGGATGACCGACTCTCCTTTGAACAGGACTCAAAAGCGCCAATTCAAAATCCCATTCACTATTTCTCATTTGAAGAGTTACATGCTTCCAGTGAATAGGGTTTCTTCAGACCTTACAGTTGACACCATAATGAGCGTAAAAGCAAAAACTTTAAAACACCATTAAACAATGTTTTTATATCAAGGTTACAAAGAAGGGTTGTATTCTGTTATTAAGTCTTAAAACAGAGAACCATCTAAGCTCAATGAACAGTAAGCATGACCAAGACAAGAGCTAATTGATCTTCATGGTAACAGGTAACGTTGCCTCCTTACACGGTCGCCCCAATTCCGTGTAACCCTTCCCCCAAGTATGTTTGAGAGCCCCCAACTTTCCAACGTATTTTGTCAGAGGTTGGTGGCTACGCTACTTCAAGCTGGGGGCGATGCAATCACACTTCGGGGTGACGGAACTTCAATTAGGGCGAAGAAATTTGGGGCGACCGTGAAAGGGCGTAGTCACTTACACTTGTCTTTATTTTACTGATCATACTCATGGTTGCATAAACAGTAACTAATGACTGTGATCTTTGTTTAATTGCCTCATTTTGTTTCTATTTCAGTGGAGGGTATTTGGGTTTTGCTGATGAGCGGCACGGTTTTTTTCATCCTTTGTTCACTGTTCTTGTTCGTGAGCTGTCGAGGAAGCATTAGAGCTAAATCGATCAACAATCGTCAGAATCCGGGAAATGACAGCAAATCTCCAACACATCACAAAGAAAGATTTCCATCCAACAGATGACATCAACTCCTAACATTCGCTACAACGAATGCAAACGTTTCTATCTGAGTGAACGTTTGGAAAGAGCGGTGAAGTTCAGCTGATTAACAACACCGTTTATCAAGAATTCCGAGCTCAACATGATTGATTAAATTTTTTGAAGTAAAAAAATTGCGTCCTAAGGGTTTTTTCCCTTAGTTAGCTTTTATACCAAATTTCATATTAATATCTGAGCATGCGCAACTGTGCACCTATCCCTCTCAGTTAACCTGAACTTGTTGTCAGTTAACTGTCGTTTGGTTAGGGAGGGGAAGGTGCGGAGCTGCTCGTATATTACCATTGATCCTATTCCTTAATATTGAAAATTTATTGAGGACCTTTTGGATTTAAACAAAAACTGGTTAATCAAATTACCTTTAATATTTACTAGATTATTTCCATTTCACCAATACCATGCCTGCAAGCAGGAGTGCTTTTATATTTTCTGGTCAAGCGTACAATGAGTTTTAACGAAAGTCGTTTCTTTCAAGGTTCCAAGTGATTTGTGAAAGGAGATGTCTAGACATTTTTCAAATTCAAAAGTTTACAGCATTTTGGGTTATTTTTTCTCTAAATATTCAGTATCATTGTACATAATATTGTTATTATTGTTTTTTAATTGAATTTATCTACTCAACAACTCTTGATTGACGACCAAATACAATTTATTTGTCAGCCTGTCTGTCTGCCTGTGTGTCTATCTGCCTGTATATCCGTCTGACAGCCTGTCGGTCGGTTGGTCTGTCTGTCTGTCAAACTGTTTCTGCATTTTTTCGTCTGTATGACCGTTGGAACTCCTCTTCAAAGTTGTGGTACCCTTACAAATGCAAAGGCTGGAGTACAAATAGGAAAGCTTGAACGTGAATGTTAAGTTCTCTGCTCTCTTGATATTTTCTTCAGGCCACGAAAATAACAAAGGTCCTGCTATCTAAAAAACAAATTCATTGTATTCTCGTAGACGGTTTCAGCGAGTGACTGAACATCTTCACCTCGGCTTCCCGCCACAACCTCTAACACTTGTCTAAAAAAAGCAGAGACAAGGAGAAAACAGCATCGGCCTTCGATAAAGCAAGAACACAACGACGACATTTTAAATGAAAGAGGATTTGGGAAAAGAACGCTTCTTGATTGTAGAGGCAAATGGGAAAATTTCGTAGAAGTTTTTGATAAAGCTCAAAACGAAATGTCAAATTAGCAGGATGCCCATGTTTAAATAAGCGTTGTGTTTGAATAGCCTCGAGTTTTTCTTTGCCCTACCTCGATTTCCTTTTCCAGATTGTTACGTTTCAATCTTTTTGCATATTTCACGTGACATTTTTTCCCCAGTTTCCTTTGAAAGTTTTGCGCGGGAAATTAGCGCGCGGCCGGCTCTTTTGATTCACTTGCGCATGCTCCTGTGTTGTATTTGTATTGTTGGCTTAAGGTGCCCGATGGGATACTTACACAATGTTCGCAGGCTCATTACGACCTTTCACGCACTGTCCTGCCTGCCATTTCTCCTTTTTCCTGCTCTCAAACTTTGTTTTAACGTGTTTAAAGCCAGCATGTGTGGGACGGATATCACACCAAGGCGCATCTAAACAGTGTAGAAGAGGGAAGTGTTATTTACGTTCAATTATGGAACGCATTCACGGAAGGAAATTAACCGTTTCTGACAAAATACCTCTTCTCATGGGACTCCTTTGTTTAAAGGGCCTTGGAACCGAATCGTAAGAAGTGCCCTATTACCATTTGTATCTGTAACCTCCCTTGGTAGGACACCTCTACTGAGGCATTTGTTTTAAAATTGGGATCAATGTCGGTATCTGGGCTACTATGCACCTTCCCCTCCCCTAACCCAACATTAGTCTTAACTTGTTATCGGTTGACTATTGATGGTTTAGGGGAGGGGTAGGTGCGTAGTTGCTCAGATCCTGACATTGATCAGTAAATCTTGTTCTAACCTGTTTCAAGAAGTAATCTTTCTGAAGGAATTGACTTCATGACTTCGATATTTTCGTCTGTCTTTAACGAGCTACAGAAAGAAAAAGAAAATAGTGATTTCAAGACAAAGGATTAGGTCATCTTCGCTCTTGCTGAGGAACATAGGGTGTTGGATCTCAACCCCCTTGGTGATGATTTCAAGCCAAAGGCATTGGAAATATTCACCCGAACGAAAATCTAGCTCTTAAAATTCCCCATATTTAAAATGTTACCGATAATTCTGCCGGGAGAACGTACCAACCCGTGATACCGATATATAATCCCTGGTCCAGATAATCAGATGCTTCTTCCTTGGTTCCAGTGAAGCAGTGAGCCTGAAAAAAAAATTTAACGTAGGTCTCAATAGTTCGTTCTACGAAAGTATAAATGAAATTTTGGCCAAAAAACTGTTCAAGTTAAGTGTATTCCATGACGACTAAGACAAACAACTCACAACGAATTCTACAACCATTAACGCCTTATCTCCCACGATCTACTTGATAATTCTCCCCACCACCTACCACACATTTCTTTGTAAATAAGTTACGAGAATTTGGTGTTAAATCATGGTAACTTTACCTGAAAATTTTGAATGTTCTCATTACCTGCTTTCTGGATAATGCACGGATATTATGGGGAGAAGTTAAAAATTAATCATTTCTGGTAGTTAAGGGGTTAACAGAAGTTTGCAATATAGGACACTAACAAGCTCGTACTTATTCCGGTTTCTCCCGAGGGGTGGGATGCTATCTCAAAGCAGGTATCCCCCCTCTTCCTCCCTCCCCCCCCCACCCCCACCCCCACCACAATCCTATTTTTTCACCAAGCTTCCCTGACAATTCACTGATACCCAGTTACACTCCTTGGGGACGAGTGGCGTGATAATTATTTATCACTTGGGGTGGGTGGAGGATTTTGTGGGGTATTACATGGTTTTCAGGGGTACGGTGTAGGATCAGTTGTCGCTAGAGGATAAAAGGGGGTCTATAGAAAATCAACTTAATAACCGATCCCTAAGAGTAAAGTGACCAGACCAATAACCAATAACGTCTTGACCCAGACCTTTCGATCTAGACCCCAGGTCACCTCGTTCGTACGTACAGCTAGGTCCACAAGTTTAGAAGTGGATTCCAAAAATAGAAAAAATGTCAGTCAATAAACAGAAACAGTGAATTTGTGATGTAAGCGCAATCACCATTAACATAACCACACGGCTACGCCTTCCACTAAAGAACGAATTAACGGAGATTTTGGAGATATAAATTGAAATTTCCAGAAAACTAAATGACCCCACGCCCGTTTTGCTGGCAAAATCAACTCGTACTTTAAAGATAGAATTGATTTAAGAATCTGATGACTGGGACTCACCACACCACCCACAAATCTATCTCTATTTCGTCTGATGATTTCTGCAAGATATGTTGTAGAACACTGTTAAACAAATGATTATCAGAAGTTTTACCGGTGGTTTCGTTGACGCGTGCTGATTTTGTAAGCGACAAAACTCCACTGTATATTATTGTACTCTTCCAGCACGTTATCTGGGAAAGACGTTCTGTCCCAGCCAATGGAAAAGGCGAAGGAAAACAAAAATCTTCGAGGTATTTTAGACCAGAAAAGATTGGAAAAATCTTGCAAAGAAAAAAAAACATAAAAATTGCGTTTCATTGTTTCTACGTCAAAAAGATTCCAATACGTTCTATGTTAATATTTTCCTGGTTTAAAATTTTAAATTTAATGATGGACATTGATCCCAACATTTCAATGTAGTTGACTCGGAAGAAGCAAGGTGGCAGCTAAAGAGATACTTCATTATAGACTGACAGGTCGAAGGTTCGAGTCCCTAACCCTAACCCTAAGCAAAGAAATTTATCGACATGCTCAAAGTGTTTGTAGAGGATAAAGGGGTTAGGTTCTATAGAAACTGTGGTGCTGCGTCGGTGGGAGAGTATAACGAGGTAATTAAGTATTATCAACTGTTTTCGTTTTCGTTTTAACAGCTTTATTGGGTACGTCTACGGATAGACACATACGCCAAAGGGGTCAGTGCGAACGGGACATGGAGTCCCATGCGGGGCACTACCCTTACTAAATCCACCCAACCCAACCCAGGGGAGGACATCCATCACACAGTAATCTCGTGCGTGGGAAATTAACGTCTCCTACCCCAAACCCTGCAGGAGACGGGACCTCCGGCTTAACGTCTTATCCGAGAAGACGAAGCAAGGTGAGTGAAGCGGCTTGCTTAAGGCCACAACGTAGTGCCCCGGCCAGGACTCGAACCTGGGCCGTCAGACCCAGAGTCCAGCGCTCAGACCACTGTACCACCGACGCCTCACAAACTGAGTTGATAATGTGAATTGGCTGCCGTAAAGAGTTTCAAAGCTGACGTTTCCGGCGTTAGCCCTTCTCAATTGCTCGAAACGTCAGCTTTTAAACTCTTTACGGTGGCCAATTTACGTTATCAACTCAGTTAAAAAATACTAAATTACCCTGTTTGTGAGAAAGTGACCTTTCCACACGCACAAGACAAAAACTGATCTGCCTACCAATGAAATCTTGATGTGCACTTCTTGAATGTAGAAACATAGGTAGTTTGGTTTCTTCCGCTAAGTGAAACTGTTTCTCAAAATATCTGTAAAGAATAACCAAAATCTAACATGAGCGGTGTTTTCATACATTAAAACACTGTTTCTTGGTGAAGTTACAATACATCATTAGGCGGACGGAACGCGCCAACCAACTCGTCATTGCTGTTTGTTATGCACCTGATTGGCTTAGAGACTTGCTCGAGTTTTCTGGACCAGTCACAGAGCTGATTTAACACTTTTGACACTCAATTGAAAACTGCTCAGATCCGAATGGCCAATCAGAACATAGGAAAACATCACAAGGATTCGATGAGAACTCAAGGTAAAATTAAGCAAACCGCATAAGCGCGGGAAATAGCGCGTGCACAAGTCGTAGTTGACTTAAGCTCTCAATCTGATTGATTGGTTGGGAATATGGTGTGAGTTTTCTAAAGCAACCAAAGAGCGCATTTAAATGCAATCACATATTACAGACTCCTTCATATCTAATATCCGCACCAAATTTTACATCATTACTTTACTTACTTTAACTGAACTTCTTTTGGACAAAAATGGATCCTGTCATAATCTGGAAAATCAACAAAAGTTGCTCTTTGTTATTTAAACATTCTAAGACGAGTTGAACTGGCACATTATGAATCTCCTAAATACTGACATTCTTTGGTTGACTGCTTTAACCCTATACAGCCTACCATCAAAGTGCATATTCTCCATACTGTTCTCTATACATTTCCTAAGGTGCTGACAAGGAGAATTTGTCTAACAATCAAGAGCTTCTTTTGGTGGTGATCATTTTCTTTATTCTCGCGACCATGATGTGTGACTAAGGGGTGATATTGTAAGGAGAAATGATATGCTCGTCAGGGGTTAAAGGGTTAACCTTAAGGTTAAAAGTAACCAGAAAGTCCTAAACCTCATGGCCTTGAAGAAATCCCTTTTTTTGAAGTCCCAAACAAACTCACTTTTTACATCTTTCTGAAACTGGTTAGCTTCCATTAAGACACTTCTGCTTAAGGGAATCTTCCTACAGAAGTTTCAAATCAATTATCACCCCTTAAGCTGAGTTGTGTGAACCATTCTATGGCTCTCTGAATCTTTGACTGTCCTTCAGCACCTGCCATCTGTTGGTCTCTTGGATCGTGTGTCTACTTTGGTCAGTTTGTATTCATTTTTCAAAATGTCTCACTGCCAATTTGCCCAACTGCTTCTGTCTTTGAATGTCTGCTCGTCTTTCCGTCACTATCTGAAGCTAATTTGGTTTTATAACTCAAGTTCATAACCATAAAGGGTTCTAAAAAAGACATTTTTAAGGGTTAGCCCTTCATCTGTCTGTCTGTTTGACTTTGACTGTCTTTAGACCTATCAGTTTCTCATCAGGTGATGTTCTGCCTATATGTTGGTCTCTAAGGGTGACCACTAACAACTTCTATTTCCAAACCTCTCTCAGCACAACTCCCCGCATTTACGTTGAACTGAACATATAACAGAGTGTTTAGCTACACGTAACAAGAAATATACTTGCCCAGGCCACATTCCCCAACAGCAACAACTTTTCCTTTATTTTCCTGTGCTACTGCAATCAACTGCTGCAGGTAGTCAGTAGGGTCTTGGCCATCCTGATCAAATTCACTGCATCGAGTTGGGTGACACCCAACTGTAGAGTGGAAAAATTCTACAGAAAATGGCAAGAAATCAAATGAAAATAACTGTTCAATGTATGAAACCTAGATTTAATGAAAATCTTCCTTATCCACAAAAACCCATTCCTGTTTTGTGTTCATCTAAGGAGGTTTAACCTTTTAACTCTTTAACTCCCAAGGTCTTGTTGTCATAAACTGTTAATAACATAATACATTGCAAAATGCACCAATCAGAGCTGTTGAAAAACAACTAATCACAGCAGAGCATCATGCTTTATAAGATCACGCATGACCAGTCAACCTCATCGCCTGAAGAAGACCAACAGTATGCAGTTGGAACATGGCGATCTACATCACACGTGACTACATCATGAGACAAACAAAAAACTTAGCTTTTATTGTTATTCACCAGGATGAATAACCACAACCTTTTCTACGAAATTAAATTAAAAGTTAATCACTTCTGGGGTTTGAGGGACAAACCCTGAAAGTGATCGACAAAAGAATTCTCCTTACAGTAATATACTGCTGAATCATAGTTTAACATCATGAGAATATGGGAAATGATCACTGACCTGAGAAGCTTTGATCGTTAAACAAATTCTCCTTGTCATTGCCAAAGAAAATGCATAAAAAAGAGTTTGGAGAATTTGGTTACTGATACTGGGGTGTAAAGGATTATTGGAAAAATAGTTACAAAAGTGCAGAATTGTAGCTTTGATTATTACCCTTTGTTTGTGCAAGCTCCAGTGCATTGTGACTCTCAGATAAATTTCCTGCTGTAATTATCATCTGAAACAGAAAGTAGACAAAGCTAATTCTTAAATAAAATTTTATTTTTTTTATTTTTTGAGATATTTTTGGCCGGACTTAATTTTCAGAATATATGCCCTTGAGAGCTGAATGTTTCACTGTCTTGGATATAATTATTTAATTTGTAACATATTTCTTACCTTTTGCACACCAGTATCAGATGCCCTCTTAAGTACCTCTGTAAAATCATCTGCGAAAAAAGCATGGACATCAGTGGGGTGGTAATCTAACAGTAATCTGTATCTAAGACCTTTCCTTTTTACTAAATCCTAAGATCAGTTTTAAATTCTCAAAACTGAGAGCCACGCATTTCCTTAAATTGCAATGAGAAAATTTAGTGTCGCAAGTTTGCATGAAAATGTATTGAAATTGTAGGAAAAAAATCAATGCAAATCACTTCTTTGGGTTGAGGGGTTAATGCATGAGTAAAAACTCTCTCCAAAATACTAAACATGCATCTTGAATCTATCATATCACCTCCTACAATTTTCTGTAAAAGCCTCCTCACAAAGAATGTCGTAACAAATGACATATATTAACAGATTCACCAATAATTAACAGACATCAAAAAAATTCTCTTAGACTTGCCTGCATGAGCTTGCTTTCCATGATAAATTCCTTTAAACATTAGATCTAGAAAAATTGTAAGGTACATACTTAGAAAATATTATACTCCTCCTCTCTCACTCTTCCCAAGATCTGATTGTTAATTCTCCTCTCAAGCAGCTACACATTTGCTTGAAAATTTTTTAGGGGAATTTGGTACTAGATCAAGATAACAATTTCTACCCATTAAGATTGAGAATTCTTATTACTTGTTTTATGGATAGTGTATGAGTAAATAGAGGGAGAAGTTACATGTTTATCACTTCAGGGAGTGAAAGGGTTAAAATCACAGAGATGGATTATTAATTTAAATTATACGAAACAAGTTAAACTACTCTAAGAAACAATTTCCATTGAAAGATATTTCTCCTCCGAACAAGTTTTGTTCCCCATTGTTCCTTCCCAATCCCCTAGTACAGACACCTTGTGTGCACAACCATAAAATATAGGGGTACCTCATTTCTAATGATCTTAATTTGGTACCTCAACCCCTTAACTCCCATGATCAGATTGTTAATTCTCCCCTCTAGTTCCAACACATTTCCTTCTAAATTGGTTTGGAGAATTTGGTGTTAGATTAAGAAAAACAACTTCTACATGATAAGTTTAAGTATTCTCATTAACTGTTTGCTAGATAGTGTATGGATATTAGAGATAGAAGTTGCCTCTCAATCACTTCTGGGATTTTAAGAGTTAAAATACACTACAATTACCTATTTTGAATATTATTAATACTATTACTATTATCATCTATAACTTTAACTTTCTGTGTGACTTCCAGATCTCCTGTTCCATTTGGGTGACATTCCACATGATGCCAATCCCATTACAACACTTCACTCACTCCCACCCCCTCCCCCAGGGGTTGGGAACAAGGAAAAGGAAACGAACTTCCCTGCAAGCTGAAGGGGAAGGTGGAAGAGGAACGTGAAGTTGAAAGACGGGCAACCCTCTAAATAAACCTGAAAAAACCTGAACACGTACAGCAGCCTTTTTTTAAACATGACGGATAATATCCAAATACTAAATGATATTCATGGCTTTAAAATATCAGCTCAGCGAAGGGGGCAAATCTTACCTGTTAAATTAACTCCGATGTCTTTTCGGGGGAATTGTTAATAAAAACAACATATGATTATATTGAATCGTCATTCTATATCGAAGATCACCTAGTATGCTGTATGAAGAGAAAAACAATTTTCAAGTAAACTCAACAAACCAATGAACCGGAGCGACGCAGCCGCCATCTTGGGAATCATGGATACAGTCTAATTGTGTTACATAACAAAACATTGTCTTGGTATTACTGCTGACCGTTAAATTGCATAATTCTTATTCATTTTCATCGAGAAGGTGACAGAGTGAACTGAACCATCACCAAGATTCAAACTTCGATCTTAAAGGTAATTTAACTTAAGGATTTTTCTTCCGATTCATGAGTGCTCAAATCCTTTCTTAAAGGGTTAAGTTGACGCACATACCGCGCTAAGTCAATACAAGAGAAATCTGTGTTTGTTCTCAAGATGGAAGTTCCTGGTTACCTAACATTTCTTAAATTTATGTTCTTAGCTTAGTTTCAGTACGATTTGTTTGATTTTCCAAATATTTTGTTTGTTTGTAACTTAAAGTAAACAGCGTAGACAAGCTTATTGTTTTCTTTTAAAGGATAAGGTTATTATTGCTCTTTTTCCTTGTCAAGTCCTTATCGATCAGACGAAAGGGAACTCCGAGTACTCGAAAACAAATTTTTGACAGACATTGAGGATAGTTTGCTATTTAGTATTAGAGATGCATATTTTGCGACAATAATTTCAACATACGTCGTTAGCTACTGTATTTGGTAGATCTTGGTATCAATTGACGCAAGCACTTCATAAAAATACTGAGCTTTGTTCGAATATTGAAATATTCTAAACTTTCTTTCAGTCGCACAACACCAGCTTGTTGACGCCATCGGGAATCTACCAGAAATAACCACTCAGCTATGAATCGTGCAGCTCTCACGCTGATTTTTGGGGTTTTACTCTCATGTTTTTACCTCGAATGTAAAGGTTAGTGCAAGAGACATTGATTTTAGGTGGAAAGATTCCGTACGTACACTTTTCTAAAAGTCTTATAATATATGTTATTTCGTAGTTGTCAAAACTTGTGATTGCTCACGTAACATCCTAAATATTTGCGTGCAATTTTTGCTACAGAGATCTATCTACTGTAAGATTGTTTTAAATTTATTTGAAATATAATTCCCGTTGTTTTTCGTTATTCGTTAAAGGAGTTTTCACCAATCATTAGTTAATTCAGGTTTGCACTGTAACTCAGGAAGTTTGCGGCAGTTAAATTTTCGTGAAATATTATGCGCAATTATGTATGCATGAACTTTGTTTTGCTTTGTCATTCTTTAAGATCTGTTGTCGTAAGAGCAGCGGCTGTTGTTTGTTTGACACGGCAACGAATATTTTTTTGCGTCAAAAGACTGCGAAATTTTTTCAGTTCTTCTATCGATGTGCAAAGTACCTACGTGCGAAAGTTCTTTCAAAATGTCACGCGATCTTAAAAAGGAAAGATTGATTACCCCGTGCGATGACGTGAAATTCAAAATAAATGTTCTGTTATCTTTATTTGACTTGTCCTCTTAGCCCTTCAGTATCAAGACTCACGTCACAATTTTCTAAGTTCTCTCTTGGAAACGGACAATACACTTGATTTAATTCGCCATGATCACCATCGGTCCAGAAGAAATCTGGGAGGAGTGCTTACTAATGACTCAAAGGATTGTGAACAGCCAGAAAAAAATTTAAACTGTTCAGAAGTGGAGGTAAGTGTTGTGTCAAGAAGCTATTTGTTTTTTATCCTTCTTTTCTTGTCAGCGTGTTATATTGTTTTTGCAGAAGGGTCACAAATATCGTCATGATCAAACATTAAATATTGCAATTTAAGTTTGTTATCTGCAAAATGTTTTGGAAATTTTTGACACAAAAGCTGACAAAGTTTAACTCTTTGGCTCCCAGAAAAGATTAACATGTAATTTCTCCTTGTAATATCCGTATATATTATCCAGCAAACAGGTAATAAGAATATCCAGACTTCTCACATTGAAGTTGTGTTGTTGATCTAACATTAAATTCTCGTAACTAATTTAAAGGGAAATATATAGCAGCTAGAGGAAAGAATGGAAAAGTAAATCATGCATTTTAGTTTGTTACTCCTTCCCTAGTTGGATAAATGGTTTAAAAATCTGGATGAAATGTTTAGAAAGTTAAGGAATAGATCAATACATAAAAATAACAGTGCTTCAACCTCAAAAAAAAAAAGGTTTTAGAATGTAGAAAAGAGGTGCCTCAAAGTTAAAGAATCAAGGTCTTTTCAAATCTTTCTCACAGATCTCATGCAATATTGACAACCCTCAGTGGTGGCCAAATATTTTCTATTTATGGAGACTTGTTTTGAAAACACATAAATATTATAATGTACAACCCACATTATTTACATGTTGTATATGTTGTGGTCTAATTTTATCATATTATAATCAAACTCATTATCATACATTACAATACCCAAAAACAAAAGAAAAGAACATTTGAACCAAGGGTAAAATTGAACCACAACATATACATCAAGCAAAAATTGCCGTTTTTACTCAAAATATGTGACCCTGAAAGGTAAAACAGACAATAATGGAAAACCGTTCGAATGTCAAAAATGTACGCATGAAGAATGATTAACGAATGGTACTTGAAGCATTTGAACAGTTTACCTAACTGTTCGAATGGATGAATAAATTATTTGAACAGAAATCAAGGTTCCAAAGTGTAATGCTGTATTGTCACAATCCATTCTCTTGTATTGATCATGATATCTAAATCGCTGTTTAGTTGAAGTACCATATTCACTTGTGTATGAGTCAAAACTCATTATTATTAATATAAGTTGACCCCCCATTTTGAAAGTAAAAAATTCTTTAATCATTTCTAATTAAAGAAGTAAAATTTAATTAGAAATTTCCCAAAAAGTTAATCTCTTCTACATGTACAGTATATTTCTGTAAAGCATGATAAATACAGTTCCTTGTGATACTATTGTTATTAAAAAATTGGAATAATGATGAAATTTCAAAGCAATCATATCACTATTTTTTGTTTTGGAATCTGATTATACTACAGTGTTATTTATCAATGACAGAAGGGTATTCCTTCCTTTTTTCTTTCTCTTAGGTGCACCATAAATACTATGTGTCACAAATTATTAATAGTGGAAAAGACTACTGGGTTGATGTCCAAGGTAATCCTGACCATGAGGAACATTATAAACTATCAGACAGCTATCTGTTAAGAAAGGTATTTCTATTTTTATGCATTAAATATTGTTACCAGCACTAACAATAGATGGCAGTGAATGGCTGCTCTTAGGGTCAGTGGTCGATTTAAGACAAGTGCAGTCCCCCCCACTTGTACATGTGGAAGTTTGTTTACCTGTTACAACCTAACATCAAAATATATATTCTCCGTATACTGTTCTCTGTACATTTCCTAAGGTGCTGATGAGGTGAAATTGTTTATCAATCAAGAACTACTGTAAATGTAGTTGGTGATCATTTCCTTTATTCTCATGACCTTAATGTGAGATTCAGGAGTGATGTTGTAAGGAGAATTTACTTGTAGATGCCAGTTGCTCATAGGTGTCAAAGGGTTAACTCTTTAACTCCCAGAAGTGATGAACATGTAACTTCTCCCAACAATATCCATACATTATCCAGCAAACAGGTAATGGGAATACTCAGACTTATCAGGTTGAATTTGTTATCTTGATCTAACACCAAATTCTCATAACTAATCTATGAGGAGATTTGTAGTAGCTAGAGGGGAGAATTAATGATCAGATCTTGTAACTGCTAGAACATTCAGGGCAGCTTATTTACATGAAGGCTTAAAGTTATCAGGCTGAATTGCACCACAATCACTACTCATACTATTTTGATAATCAGTGCTTTAAACTTGTGAAATATCTTTCATTTTTTGTAGCCCTATCCATTAAAATTCAAGTTCCCCTACTATGGTCACTTGCTGGACTCTGTGGTGCTAACAACTGGAGGTACAATGTTCATGTAACTTATAAAAGAGAGTTTGTGAAATGAAATAGTTTGCTCTATAGTAAGTTGGAAAACTTTGTTTCTCTTTTTTTCTTAACCCTTACACCTCTTGAGTAGCTCTTGCTCTCTTCCTTTTTAATTTTCTGACTTTGTATCTTTTTTCCTTTTTTTTTCATTGGTGGGTCTGCTTTTTATCTCTTACCTTTTCTTTCCCTTTCATTCACTCTTTCCCTCCTCTCAATCCCTTCCTTTTATTCACTTCCTCCCTTCTCATAAACTTTGCCCCTTAGAATTGATATTGGCACAAATACTTCTTTTGATACACATAGATTTAAAAACCTGTGTTGTCCATCACATGATATCACTTCTGCTTGATCCTTTTTTTTGTGCAACAGGGTTCCTGTACATGGATGTCCATGACACAAGGCTAATGACACAAGTTCAGTACCTTGCTCCACTGATGGCGTACTTTAATCCTCATTTAGACAAAGATTCAAAAGTCCTTACATTACATGATGGCAAGTAAAAACTTATGGAACACTTGATGGTAGAAGCATAAAACCTTTCACTTTCAAGATCTCTGTTTGGTTATAGTATTGGTGGCAGATACTACTGATTGTAAATTTTATCATCCAAGACTTCTTGTGACCCATGGTTGACCACAAAAGAATTTCTCCTTACAATATTAATACAGTATTGAGAAGACAAGTGAATGAGAATAAGGAAAAAATTAATATTAATAAAATAAGGAGGTTATTAGTTGATCTAATTCCAAATTCTCCTAACTGCCATCATAAAAATTGTATTTCAGACAGTAAGAAGAACTACTAATGAGATTTTGGGTGTGAAAAGGTTAAGCTATGGATTCTCATTTTTTCCTTTGGTCTATATTTTGTGTGATTTGCACTTCTCCAAACTACATGTAGATCAGTTGTAAGGTTTCTAAGAAATATTTCCTCTGCATTCTTTTTCACTGGTGCACACTTTGCATGGCTAAATCTTTTTATAAGTGCAGAATCCTGGAAGGCTTAATGATCCAACATTTGAAGCCTAGTTTGAGTGGAAAAATTAACTTCTAGATCGCAAGACTTTTGCCATTGGGAACAAAGAATTTAGCAGACAGAGCCCATTTCCCTTAATGATGAGCTAGTGTTTTTACCTTTTATAAATAAA